AATTTAGGCAGGTTTGTAGGTTAGTAGTCAGGAGTGGTGTGTCTTTTGGATAGGAACATGTTCGATAATTAGAAATATTAGTTACCGCGTTTGGTCCCGACACTGTGTCAGCTATCTTCTGGGAAATATACCTTGTCCAAGATGTATACTGTTTACTATGCCAACCAGGAATTGATCCTATATCATGAGTGCTATACGTAGGATCCCAGGTGTTTCTGTTAACTGACGCCAGTGAAAATCCTGCTCGAAGAGGCTAGTAGGAGGCGATGCTATTGTGAAATTTCGATCAATGTGAGTATTCGCTTATTTGTTGCCGGAATAGGAATGAAGTCTTGGTATCTGGATGGAGTGGTTATCAAACCATAGAATGTTTTGTGCAGACATCGGCACATGCTCCCTGTTAGATAGTCAGATGTATGAATGGGTTCTATGGGCTTATTTGGCTTACTGAATGTAGTCTGTAGCCAATGTTTAGGGGGTTTTCTGTAACATTCAGCTGATAGAACATTAGAAGGGGGCTGGCGAACAACAGGTTTGCGTGGTGGATGAGCAGAATAATACCAATTACCTCGCTTTGTTGTTTGTCTGGAAGTAGTGGTTGGATATAACTGGCTTTCCGCTTGAGATCGATTAGGCCTACGTGAAGTAGGTTGTTCTACCACGATCGACTTTCTCTTAGTAAGATGGGTTAAAGGGGCTTGCACCAATATCATATCAATGGGCTTTCGTGTTCGGGGTTCGGAATTTAATTTGTTTACTTCGGTACCTCCTTTCTTATATTTACCTGGTTAATGGTGGCTAGTCGGGCAGCCAGCTCATGTTATGTAGGGTTTCTGTTAGACACCTCTGGCGCTTCACTTTTCTTAGTGGAAATAGGACTTTCTTCATAACGCCTAGGGAACTTGCTAACTTGGATAGATACGATGGACTAGTACTTCACAGTGTGAGCATTGTCAGACTGAGTAGTAACTGACTTATAAGGAGATGGGTGGAATATGAGTGGGATGGGTTTTGATGTTATCTGACTCTTGACGTTTGTGTCAGTGTGCAAACGATGTATTTCAACATTATGCTCCGTTGACTCATCTATGTCCACCATTTCAGTGTCGGGATTGGTGTCTTTATATAATACTTGGCTAATATTTATCAGTGCCTGAGAAAATGTCTGATCCATGCGGTCATCAGGTATATCACTCGATAGAACATCATCTACAGTTGTCGTATCAGAGTTATCAGCATTCAGTGTTCCTGAGCGGCATAGTCTTTGGCATGGTGTTAAATCAGGTGCAACCCTAATATCATTGTAGGGTGTTGAAGAGACTATTATCTTACCAGGTATCAGAAAATCCCTAGATTCTCTAATAGACTCAAACTTTAAAAGCACCGGACATGGATAGTTTGCAGATTTCTTACGAAGACGCAGAAATTGACAGTCTGCTAAGGACATATAACAAACCACCGAACCTTCAGATGGTTAGCGAATATTAGATCTCAGTCTTTTTACGGTACTTACACGTTTAGAACAACTCATTTATGCGAACAATATTGTTTTCAAATTAGATCTCAACAGGCTTAACTCTAATATGTATAAGTTTACAAATAAAAATTCAAATATAAACCAATCATGGTGTTTTGTCTACAGGATAATACGATGGTGAATGTAAATTGTGCAATCTGTCATAATAGTAGTAATGATAATAATAATAGTAATAATAAAAATGGTCTTATCAGTAGTAAGGATGAAAAAGTGAGGCAATCTGTGATAACACGAATAATGAAAAAACAGTACGATTAAACAAACAACTGTTCAGGTGGAAGTAGTCAATAAAGGCTAGTACAAACAAATGAACCGATTAAGTAATGTTATAATGTAAGGGAAATAAATGAAACGCGTTTATAACGAAGATGTGATAAGATTAAGGTATGATAAGAGGGGAGTTGAAAATATAAGTTAGGGGTGGTGTAGAAGTCATTAGTTGGTTATGTCTTAATAGGCCACGGGAGGGATAAGGGCTGTACGAACTTTTTCGAATACATAGTTTAGATTTAATAGTTTGAATGCCTATCGTCTCAGCTGTGTGCAGTAAACGGATACGAAGTCTATTGGAAAGATTCGGTGGGATACGATGAATTAGTTTGAAGGCTCTCGTTTTCTCGATTACATGACCACTATCAAGTAAGTGTGGCAAAATTGAGCTACGTATTGTCATTGTCTGTCCTTTGCCAAACACGATGGGAAATATTCACTAACACGTTGGCCAGGCTGTCGAGTAGAAACCCCAATATAACTGCCCCGCACTTGCAGTTGAATTGATAAATGCATATAGATGTGGCAAAACTATCAAGCTAGTCCTTCGTTTGCGTCCCAATTGTTCTTCGACTAGAGAATGACAAAAATAGGTGTGCTGCATAACATGTTCTTCGCATACTCCTTGAAAGTCTTTGTAATAAAATCTCACTTGGTAAGTCACCATTAAATTGTAACTTAATAAATAGAGGTTTCTTACGTGCAGTCAGAGTCTCCAGTTTTTTCTCCGATGTTTTCATATGTTTCTTTATGAAACTACTCCATCAAGGAATCGTGAATATATTCAAATTCCTTTTGTAAGAGGTATAACTTACACGTTTGACAGACTCAACCGTTGCAAAGACAAAACTTTTCCCGATTACCGGAAAATAGTCTTGGGGATATAAAAAAGATTGTTGTATTATCGAAGTATCAAAAACAACAATAAACAGCTATACATTGCAAAATAAAGTCAGACTTTCCTTTAACAGTGTTTCCTTGGGATAAAATCCTTAGTTCCAGGTAGTTAGAAAGGGTATCAGAAGATTACGGGTTGTAGATTCCACAAGTGAATACTATATATAGTTCCGAGCGCTAGAATATAATCTTTGTTAAGTATGGATATATGGATATTGTGAGGAACGTGGCTAATTTCCGAAAGAAAGTTGAGAAATGAATCCCACAGAGCCAGAACATCTGTAGTGCACAATAATAACTTTGGTCTGTAAGGAGCTGGTGAGAAGCCAATGAAATAAATGAAGGCACCATTTTATTCTGCAAAAACTGTTGTTCTTTCTTTACTCGAATTCATTAAGGAGAAATTTTGTATCCATTGGTATTTGTGAATTTGACGGAATTTTCGGACTCAGAATTCGTCACTGCAGTCTATATTGTGTTCGTTATACCTCATAAACCACTAATGTGTGTAAATTTTGAAGCCTTTATGTTTCTTTTTAGCACAAGCTATCTCAGATTGCCATCTTTATCAAATATTTTGGACATTCTAATTTTCTAAGAAGAATTTACATATCCTAATTAATGACATTCATCTGTAACCCACATATTTTCATGCCTGTAACAATGACTGGATACCTTGCGAGAAGTAAAATTATTGTCACACCATTCCAGTGGGAGTGGGATGTGACGTGGCCCTCCCGAAACCGGTTAGATTCAGTAGAAGCAAATCCTGTGTGGACCGAATCGTAACAATGCGCCACATTGGCGAACAGAGCCTAGAACATCAGTTGATCTTCGTCAAAGGTGAAAAGACCTGTGATAATATGAATATTTGCTTCACTTCTTCACTACGAAGTGAAGCAAATATTCAACAGCTTCACAGTAATGCTATATGTCAGATGATTCACCTCAGAGAGCATGTCGGTGGCACAGTGGTTAGGACTCTCGCCGACCATGCACATGGTCCGAGGTTCGATCCCCTGCCGGCGCACACCCGATATCTATGGTCGGCCTGAATTTGGGCTACCGATATCCATGCTGAAAATTCCATACTTGTACTTAAAATACGGTGTGGAATCAAGCTGTAAATCAAAATAAAAAATAAAAATAAATAAATGTCAAAGTTCTTGGAGTGAAGACAGGAGTAAGACAAGGCTGTTGATCATTCGTAATGATCTTCCTGTTTGTGAAGCAGAAGATAGCGCAACAGACCGTGGTGAGTGAGAAGACACTGATATAGTGAATTGACAACAACACCCTTGATTATCTGGACTTCGCAAACAACTAATGTCTCGTAGCATAAACTAAAGATTTTATAATTGAAAACTAACAAGAAGTCATGGAAGTCAGGATTTCATGTGAACACAGGAGAGATAGGTGTGATGAATGAATGGGAGAAATCCGAGAGAAGTGTCCGCTTTCACTTACCTATTGGGCATCATCATTTCAAACATAGAACACCTGGGTGAGTATGAGTATGTTAAAACCAGTCTAGAACGGATAAGCGATCAATACTTTGAAATAAGTGTGGAGATTTACATCATTCAGAACAAGGGAACAGATCGAAATTTCAAACACTGGTGTCAAGTTAGTGAGTGTTTCTATATGAGCCAGAGACTTGACGTGTACATCAATATAGACATTCCTAACAGACTGCAGTATTCCATCAAAAACTGCCTTAGTTACCTAGGTACTTAACATAAGATGACCAGCTAGAGAGAGTGAGCAAATAACAAGGGAATTTGTCAGCAAAATTACAAACAACGTATTGCTCAGAAAATATGGAGATGGATTGGACATATGCTAAATTTAACTTTCGATTGACTGCGAACCATCAAAATTTATCACTATGGTAAGAAAAGAAAATATTCAGATTGCAGTTCTAAATAAAACACAGGCCTTAAATAAGGGCAGACACGTTTTCTGGAAACGTAACTTGAGGTCAAAAACGGAAGACTGGAATGATTCCTGCTCAAATGACTCCCATAAGAACCACATTGACTCTTTATAGCTCTTTATGAGTAATAACTTTGATCTATATTAAGCATGAAATGTTAAAGTATTACCTCCGTTATTGCCCGTCAAATTTATGGCTAAAATATTTTACAAGAAGTGCAATCAGACGCAATGTTTTAAATTCTAGAGTGAGTTTGTTTAAGCTTTTCAACTTAAATCGCAAAATTGTCTGCTACAAACAAAGGGTGTACCTTTTTTCATTTTCATTGGATTTCAAGTCGATATTTTACTTATTCCGATCATGAGTGACGAAGAGAATTTGAGAAAGATTATGATGATGGGTTTTGCCGATGAGGACGATATAAGAGCTGTTCTAAAGTCCTGCAGCTCAGATGTAAACGAAGCACTTTCTGTATTAGCGTCTGAAGGTATATATTCGAAGCATAATAGTGCCTTCACACCTGAAAAGGTAAGAAAACTTGTTTCTACTGTTTCCTACGGTAAATTCCCAGCATTTCAATTTGTTAGGCACATTATTTCCCGCTGTTTAAGTTTATATTAGTTAATATATTTACCACCGGAACGGAAAAGAAATTAACCAGCCTGGCAGATTTAAACGCTGATCTTACTCTGGCAAAGAATAAATGTTCGTTTGTATACTGAATTAATACTTTTTATTGAGCGTATATCTAGAATAATAATTATAGACTGTTTTTATGTTACACTTTATATAACGTTTCTAAATAAAGTATCTATTCTTTGCTCGTTTATTTAAGATGGACGTTCATTCTGAATCGGTTTCTTCAATTTTTAACCAACTTCTGATTCCTTATTATAGTTCTTAGAATTTGAATTTCTCACTTTTCTGTAAAAGTACTACTGAATTTCAGATTCGTAATGTGTTATCCTGGGTAACGATGTTGATTTTAGACGTCAGTGAATCTTAAGTAAACTACACCTTCATTCTTTGTATCCTTCAGCATGTCTTTAGAGTCCTAAGCCTTATATGGGTGTCTTATTCTCAAATTTAGAGAGGTTTTTAGATGATTTGGCTTTTCACTAGATTTCTTTTTTGACTCTTTTGGAATAAGAGAGACATGCTAATCTTCTTTATATGATTAGACTTTAACTTCTGCTTTGTCACTGACTAACATATTCAACAAAAAGTGAAATCTTAATAAAAGAATCAGTAACTCGTTTAGAGTATCTCTACCCATCATTTCTCAGTAAAAGCTAACATAGTGATCCTCCTTTTTATAAAGAAGTTGGAAATTTATCCGATCACTAGGTTACAGTTTTTGACTGAACGCTAGTAACAAATACCTTGAGAAACCTTCAAATTTCGGAATTTCATCTATTTCTATTTTTACTTAGGCTTTTCCAGGAAAGTTAACAATTATAACGAGTGTCACAAAAATTTAAAACTGTTAAAGAAGGTGAGGTACTAAGAGATGCATGGAGGGGACGTTTTAGGAAGTATCGGTTCACAAAAATATGTACTCAACAAAGTAGTTGGTTTGTGAATTCTTCAATGACAAACCGATAATCGGGATGTTAAGACGTATGTTAATGGTAGCTTTTGCTATACATGCATAAAATCTTCCCAAGAAGTTAGTGGAGATTTCCGCTATGTTGTTTTTGATTTGGATAATTACTGCCGGGAGGAAATCCATCTTTTTACGGAGTTATTTTATTTGTGAATACTGTCTTGTGATATATTTAACGAAGAAGAAAAGATTGCCCATATTACACTAGAGACTAACCCTTTTCTAGAAGAAAATAAATTTTTAGCTCCGATGAATTAGTTAGTGTTATTTGTTTCTATGTACATAAATATCTAAGAAATTCTTTCTCTTTCGATGGAGTAAATAAACTCATATTTGAGTACGTAAGATTTCAGATTGATTTCATAAATACTAACAAAATATTTCTACATACTTCTAATGGATTATACGCCATCGCACTTCACATTCTTAAGTTGCTCACTCTGTGAATGGTTTCCTAAGGAGGGGTTGTATTAGCAACCTGTCCACATTACCTACCTCAGTCTGGAGTAGCTAGTTATCTACTGAAAATTGTCTTTCGGATAACGCATTCACTTATAAATATCCCTGTTGAATGCAATGCTTTATTCATTTTTGAGTGTACTAACATTTTACTTCAGATACCTGTAACAGTTGTGGGAATCCAAACTCCCTTTAATTGTTTCTTCGTTGTTAGCTTTTGATTTCTTGTCAATTAAAGACGCATCTATTTTATCAAACACTCAGTCTTCATTCAATGATTTTATAAAAATGTTATTCTTTATAACCTCATCTTTCTAAACAATCCGGCTTGTGAAGTGACCTGGCTTGCAAACGTAGAACCCCACACAAAAGTCCATCATTTCCGGCTGTAGCATTCGATAAAAACACAAAGTAGTAGAGAAACGGTATTCATAACAAAGTAAAAACACATTACATATACAATGGGACATAGCTACTTTTATTAATCCCCACTGTCGGCACTGTTTATCTCAACTTCTAGTTTTCCTCGATACTTCTTCTTTTATCAGGGTTCAAATGATGCCAAACAGTTATCGGAGGGCGAACGCACTGAAACCAGTGGTACCGTTTTAGATGAAAGTACAAGTCCACTTGATAAACTGGCTAAGGGTCATGATATAAGTCATGGTTTTACTTCATCTGAATTCAATAGACTTCAGAGTCGAATTTATACTGAACAATGGGATATACCTTGTTTGAGATCACAATCGCTTGGTCTCTGTTTGTTGGGTACCATCCATGAAATAAGATTTAATGGTTTGAAAACATTTGATTTGTATCCTGAGGCTCAAAGATTCTTGACAAGTTGTCTGAAGGAATGTGTCACCAAAGTAAGTCATCTTTTGTGTTTGTGTGTTTTGTTGACTGAATACTGTTATACTGCAGTAGAGTGCTCCTACTTTATGTAAACTGTGTATGCGCTGTGAAAACTTCGGTGTGAAATTGTTACCATTGATTTTAAATTCATTTATGTTATCACTTCTGAATATTGTAAGAACTATACTGAGAATTTTACCCGTAACTACAAATGAACCATTAATGTTCACACCATTACTTAGAAGTTCTTTGTAGTACTCTTTCTGTAAACCTGCTAACTAAAAGTCTATATTAATTCATCTAAAAATAATCCATTTTCGATGTATGCTTCTAATCACAATATACATTATCCAATCGCACTATTCTCTAAAGCATAAAATCAATGCATCTTGTTTATTCTTAGATCTTAAGGTAGATCTCATGACAGACGCAGATGGACGACAGTATAATCATTTTTGAGGTTTGTAACTTTGAAATGTAAGCGGAATTTAGTCGCATTCGGTTCATACAGCTAGGGTAATCTGCTTAAATGAATGTCTCAATGAGGAGTTCATGATTGTGAAGAGATTACGTGGAAAAAGTGGTTAACCGGAAGAATTCCTTAATAGTAATAATTATAATAATATGAAATTCCTATCAAGGTGAGTTAGTATGGCATCAGTTTCAAAGAAATCTTTGTTCTTAAGACTGAAGTTTCTTCGCAACAACATTAATAAAACAGCAATGTAACGACAAAAGATTGCTGTAGAAAGAGCCGCAGAGGTACACTGTCTCTTCACAATTTTACGCTTGAGAAATAAGGATAAACTACCTCCTCTTGAGTGCAGTTAACCATATTCATCGTCAAATCTCTGAACGTCATCTTGCATGGTTAAGCATGAGACAAACAAGGTCTATTCGCAGGTGGGTTATAGCACATCTTACAGATACTGCGCATAAAGTTGATATTAACAAGACAGCTGAATTAATCTGTCATACTTCGACTAATCTTAATTTCGCTTTTTGATTCCTTCTTCTACGCATAACCGAAGCCATCAGAATCTATCTGAAGAAGCCATATATATGTGTTCATAGGAAATTTTCGCAGCCATCTTCTTTACCTTGGGCATCATAACATGATTACAAAAAAAAATGACAGTTTCCCCCTTCACTTTGAGCCAGTGACAGGGTAGATTATTGCCCTAACTGTCTTATCCTGTCTACTTCGTTTTTAGTCGTTTATTATGTAATGAACTTGCGTACTGGTTTACTTCTCACTTACTCTTCCGTTTTTTTCTTGATTGCTGCAAATATCTCTACGTTACAATTACTGCGTCAGTTTTCTTCCCTAACTATCGCCACTTTGATTTACGGATATTCATTGGTTATTGTTAACAAACTTAAAACCTCAGGATATGAAAATGCCTGAATTGTATTAAAATTGATGTACTCATTAGAGTAGAGACATAGTCGGGGAACTAATTTAAAGGTGAATATTCCTTCATCCGATCCTCTTGAATTCCTAATGTCACGATGCATGTACTGTCTGAATTTTATTAAGAATATGCAGTAAAATCCAAACCATATGCCATAGGTGGGGTTGTCTGTGGTGAATAAATGTTGCTAACAGAACGCATGAAATCTAAATATCACCTGAAGTTAGCTTTATGTCATTGGTTGTTTTTAAGTATGTAGAGGACTGTCTAGCAATCTCAATAACATAACAAGTGTGTAAATGAAAATCCAGCTTAATGAGATGATAGTGTAACAGCATATATTATAAAAAATACTGTAGTGAGTTATATTAATTAAACGGTTACTTGGATATACAGTTAAAGTACACGGCTACAAATTATTAATATAATCTACAGAAGCGTTCACCGCTTGAGTCATATCTACTGGCAGAAGCTGTGTACCGGTTGTGGAATAGCCTTCGGATGAGGATAAGAGGTTCCCGCGAAAATCCACAGTATACAACACGGTTATGAGTGAAGCAAGTAGACAGTGTAGACCAGTGAGAAAACGAAACGACCAGCAGTACACTGTATTTTAGATTGTACTGGAAAGTTATTTATATTCCAACATGAACCGTTTGAAACAAAAGTCATGTACAATGTTTCTAATTTCAACATCTAACAAAAAAGTGTACAATCATATTGTTACGTACTCCATACGGCTCCCCCCTAGAGGTCCGGAGAGACTGCTGGGGACTGTCTCTGTTAGTGAAGTAAATAATAATAGTAATAACCATTTTTATGATAATAATAATAATAAGGGTACATAATAGCATGCATGTACGCGAAAAGGTATTTGGATCGTTTAAAGTTTGAACGCATTTACAAATAGTTCGACAACAACAAAAAAATGAAATTGAAGTTCATGTCAATTAAATGAGGTTGGTTTCTCTTTGCAGAAGCTATGAACAACAAAGAAGGTTATAAATGTATAAACATAGATTTCTATGCATGCAGTCATTAGTATGGGTGAAAAAATGGATTAAAAATTAGGTCATTTCTGAAAAACACAGATACCTGTCTTGTAGCTGAGGTACATATAAATGAATAAATAAATAAATAATAGTGATAATGATCATTTATATTAACAGTGACATAAAAGTGTACAAAAAATAGTAATTGTCATGATAACAGTGTCTAAATGAAGAAAATATAATTTCTTTATTAGTCCACAAAATGAACATAGTGGGCAGGTTTACTGATTTGCCAACCATTACGTGTTTGATATGGAGGATGGATAAGAATTGGTGCCGTTGGAGTTGAATCAACTATCTGATTATTTGTTTTTTGCAGATGTCGGTGTAGGTTCGAAGTCGCTGTCTGTGTAGGCTGGTCTTATTCGATCAATGGAAATATTCTCCTGTTTTCCATTTTTGTTCATTGTAAAGTGTTTTTCTGAACGTTTAATGACTTAGAAGGGACCTTTGTAAGGAAGTTGCAACCCTTTGCTGATGGCGCCGACTTGAACAAAGACAAATTTGCAGTTTTCCAGGCGTTTGTTGACCTGATCTCATCGGAGAGGTTGTCAAGGTGCTGTTGGTTCAAGTTGGAGCATTTGTCTAGTTAGTCGGCTGGTGAAGTCAGAAATATTCACATCTGTCGAAACAGCTGAGGGAAGTAGCTGTCCAGGCAAAGTTAGGTTAGTACCACGAGTGTTGGTTTGTAGGCGTTTGATTGGTTTAACGTTTAATCCCAGTAAGAGAACCGTTGAAATCCAGGGCACACTGGACAGCTGTTTCGTCCAAGTTTTGGACTCTTCAGGAGTACGCACCCATGACCCCACTTAGAACTCATTCCCGGAACCCCAGTTTCCCTGACCAAAACTCACTCACTACCTTATTCATATTATTACTTTTTTTATTCCTTCACGTTCCCCAGTGGAACATAGGGCTTCAAGCTGGAGGCTTGAAGTTTCTGTAGCAGTGTTTATTTTTACAGGATGAGGTTGCTAGCCTCATTCGCAACCTTTCCTCTTTACCAGCTTTATTTCTGGTTTAGCGAGGCAAAGGAGTGTGTCGGCCGGGGATCGAACCCCGGACCATGTGCATGGTCGGCGAGCGTCCTAACCGCTGTGCCACCGACGCACACTATGTGACTTAATCAGAATAAAATTTTATCCATAATAGAATTACCACCAAGGTATGTTAAGAGTCATAATAAACTGTTTTTGAACACACAGTGAAGCGCTGAAATTTGCGAATAGCTATCGCTTCAGCCTATTTCAATAAAGTATATGGAAACTACATGACCACAGGTTAAAATATGTATGGTATGAGCTTGGTGGTTTAATCGCCAAGCCCCTCTCCCCTGCCAACTGTGTGTACAGAAATAATACTTTATTATTCTCAACCTACCTTGGTAATCTTAATCCTTATCTGATTAGATAGATAGATAACCAAACCTGGTGTTGTTAATTATCCTTATTAATTCTTAAATCTTTTTTGTTTTATTTGTGTATTCTAATCGGCCTTTATTTTCAACGTAGTACTAATATTGACTTGACAAGTAAATGTGTAGGAGACCAGATTGTTCGAAATGTATTGCTCAAATACATCACATTTTTCAAATAGAATTTGGGATGATGGTCAATCATCTAACATGCACCTCTACCTGTTAAGCAAGCAAGTAAGCAAGTGGGTGAGTGAGTGAGTGAGTAGACAAGGTACCTCATAAACAAACCCCTAGATGACTCATCCTTTGACGAAGAGATTAAGTGTACAAATGTGGAGATATTTAGAAATGAGAACACCTAAGTATGATTTAACGACGAATTTGTTTGTGTGTTGTTAATGTTTAGAATGAGTCATTCAATGGGATATATTTTTGTGTGAAAGTGCTGTCTGTCAGAGGACAGACAGGCAAAAATTCATCATATGACAGAATAGGTGGCCTTATTGTTTGATTGATTGATTGATTGATTGACTGACTGACTGATGTTGGTATGATTGAGACATGTCACTACGTTTTCCCGATAGATTATGGTAACTGAAGGTAAACGACATGTGTTGCTAGGTGGTTATTCAAATACATTAGAGTAAATTTGTCCAGATACTAGGTCACTACTCATAATCCTATATTTTTGGTATGACTGTTTGTTTTCATCAGTGTTGAGAATGTAGTTGGCTCAATATTTTGAGTATTTAGATGCCTTGACAACATGTCGCCTTGTGCATGTAATGGGAATAAATATGTCCGAGTACTAGATCACTCATAATCCCTAGATGTTCTGAATGATTCAGCAACATTCAGCTTATACCGTCAGTTGGATGATTCAAAGTCTAAGATGTAGGTGGTATTATGAGAATGTGACAGATTCCAGTATCTAACCTACCATAGTGTGTTTTTATCCCGCTTTATAGTCCTGTGATATAGTTAACTCATCACCCTGTCCACTAAGTAACTCGAAAGCGAGAGTAGCATTGAATCTAATACTGAGTGTATGTGTGTGAAGACAATTTGTGGTATGCTTAGACTTTTGGTTGGTTCATATTATTGGGTAACTCTGATACACTTATTCAACTCCGTTTATACATTGACTAATTTTAACAATTACGTTTGTCACAACTCATCACTTTCTTCACTATAGAATCTCTTAGTTTTTAAAGGCGAGTGTAAATATTTTATAACAACAGCAAATGCATTATCTTTCAATAGTTGGTTTGTAAGGATTAGATTTGTTTTTATGAGTTGATCACGGGTTGAAATCAGTTGAAGAACTCGTAAAAACAAATCTAATCCTTACTAACCAACTACTGAAAATTTTAATCTGATGCTCGCTATTGACTTGCTACAGGACGGAGTTTCCTGGAGTCAGTTCTAGTGAGAAGTCGTGACCAATGAGGTCCATCCAGTCAAATGTGTGAGGATGGATGTCTCACCGATGAAATTGGTTGGTCGTCGCGCTAAATTACGAATTGGTAGAAGTTAGAATTCATGAACTGGCCACTGAATCGGGTCCCAGTGGCTGAATGGTATACGAACCAGCTGACCTTGTAACCGGAAGGTCGTGGGTTCGAACCTCACAGCGTGGGTGCGTACTGCCGATGATTCTCAAACTAGGCTGATGAAACAGTTGGATGTCCAGTACTCCCTGGTTTCCAGTGGTTCTCTAACTGATATCAATCCGTGGTCAACTCGTAAAATACATTATCGTTTTGAGTTAAGAGGGTTAAATTACTGCAAATGAAGCTTAGAACTTTTGCATTAGATTCAACGACAGGCTGATGTCAAGTAAGATGAAATAATTCCTCAGTACTCTGTTGCCTAAAATGTGTCAGTAGCTCAGATGTAAAATGCTTACCAACCTACATAAGTGGTTCTGGGTTCGATTCCTTGCCCACATACTTGTCAACATCGCTTAGCCGGTAGGCAGTAAGCCCAGGAAAAAGAGTGCAGATTAGGCATGAAGCCACTAAATCTTCAAAGTTTAAGGCTTGAATCCGTATGTGTTCCATTTTGGAACACGGAAAGAAAGTGAATAAAAGCCCCTCTAAGATTAATTTCTTATTCAGACAATACCTGCCTAGGATATTCAATATAGGCATGCCATCGTCCTTCAAAATATTTTCAATTGTCACTACTATTTTTAGTAATACACCGATTTCTTTCTCCTATCCTAAAGCTAATGACATCTCAAGCTGTATTCAACTGGGATCGTGATACTCTAGAAGGTGTACATAATATGCTTGAATTAATAATTCGTTTAATTTGTGAATATATGGCTGTCCTGAAAGTGACAATTCTTGAAGAGATGAAAGAAGGCAGCACCGACGATGATACTGTACAAACATCGTCTGTGAAAAATAAACGTATTCAATCGCTTGAAGCATTAAATTGCAGAACATTTTTATTCACTGAAACATTTCAACTACTTTCTATGATTTTCGATTGTGAAACGAATTATCATCAGTTGTGCCGAGATAGAAATAGCAATACTGGAACGTATGCGTAAGTTGGCATTCAACCGTTTATTTCTGTAGTTATCATTATTATTATTATTATTTTTATATTATGCTCTGTTGAGCACAGGATAAGCGAATAGTTATAACATCAGGCTGACATCTACTTTGAAGATGGGAAACGAAATGTTTTGGTCGTCTGATGATGTATTTGAGAAAACGTTTCAGCCCAAGTGAATTGGTTCTGATCAGGATCTTACGATAGATACAGAGCGCCAACTCAGTGTTTTTTTTGCAACTTGCATCATCTCTGTAGCAGCCGTTATATCGCACAGCTGTTCTTTTTGTCCTAATGTGTCTTGACGTCTCGATTCTGCTTTTTACATCTTCATCTGGTCTTAGTCTAATGATCTTAAACTAAATCCTTCCAAATGTCAGACTGTTAATTTCAGTTTCCGATGTAAAAGAAAGTAAAATGAAGCTGTTAGTTCCTATGACCGTTGCAAAATTGATGATGGTGATATAGAAATCAAGTCTGAAGTTAAGTATCTTGGATTAATTCTTTCTACTGACCTATCATGGTCTTCTCATGTCTTCCCATGTCATGGATAGGCACTTGATGTCATGCAACAAATTTTCTAAAGGAGTTTTGTCAGCCTGTGAGCATCCACTGCAGCACCCGCAGCTCCGACCTTGTGTCTCCTCAGGTAAAACTAGAAGTCTTTTCAAAAGACTTTACGCACATACGTCTAAGTATAAAAATTCCACTATACCATATTTCGCACGTACTTTATGTGATGAGAATAGTGTTAGGCACGAACTAACTAACTAACCTCCTTTGCACTAGTAAATAAAGCATTTCCTCCACCTTGACAACATCAAGCTTTATTGGTATTGTTCTTCTTATATTTATAATCCTCTCAGTTCTTTGTTTTTATATGTTTATTTTTTCACAAGTGTAAACATCATTTAAGCTGTGTTATAACTGTTAATTTTTATCTTTCCCCTCACCATGCTGCTATATCAACAGAACATTAGATTCAATAATCTATAACATGCTAATATTTCCAGACTGAATCGACAATACTGTTTGAAACAAACTCACTGTTATTATTATTATTACTTTTCTCAATTCGTACTTCGAATATTTTTGACTTTATATCGTAAAAGCGGACAAATTCCTCTGGTTAATTTTATTTTAATTTTTAATTTCATTTATATTTTGAGAAAATCAGATGCAATATTGTGACAAATGCTGAGAATTCCATTCTGTTCTATAAGTAATGTTATTTGGAATAAAGTAGATTATTACTATTATTATTATCTCTTCCTCATGTAGCTGGAACGATGCTTCCCGGAGAAGTTAAGGAAATGGCCATTTTTAGATTTCTGCCGTTGATAGGGATTAGTGATTATTGTTGTTGTTCTTGGTTGGTTGGATATCTCCGTCATCACCTCTGTCTCCTCTATATTTACTTTCAGTCCTTTCTTCGTTGCTTCTTCTGCCAGTTTGTTGGTTTTCGCCTGCAAGTCTTCAAGTTTGTGTTACATGAGACATAAAATAGTCGGTGAATTTTCAACGCCAATATTAAGTCAGCCAGTTCTTTTAGATCGGTCAGAAACTTGTTGTGTGCGTCACAAAAAGCATTTCGAACAGTTTTTTCAGACTTTTATCAACAGCCTCCTTGGCTGACTGGATACTGAAGATCAAATTGCTGGTCAGAAAGAATTAGGAACAAGAAACTCTGGTAGGGAACCAACCAATCAAGAACCTATTGCTCAACGAATATCCCGAAGGAAATGGAGATGGACTGGATACACGCTGAGTAGACCGACTGGTGACATCACGCTCCAGGCTATTGCTCAAGTGGTACCCGAATGGGAAACGAGAAGCTGAGTATCTGTCCGAGGCTGACATAGAGGCGATCATGTGAGAAGTATGTGAGAGCCTATTGGCAGTCTTGAGGTCAGCTAAAGAGGGCTGCAGAGAACAGGAATGTGTGGAGATGTGATATTGAAGCCCTGTGTTCCACTATGAACCCAGGGGAATAGTAATAGAAAAAATAATAAAGACGGGAGGTTTTCCGTCATGTATGCTTTAATCCAGTTGCTTGCGTAAGGTGGAACGACATGGTACGTCATGATGTCGAGATTAGATGAATCGTTTAAGACAAAAAAAGTAAGCTTCATCGATTGTGGTGTATGAGAAATATGTTAAGTGTACAAAACTACTTCTGTCATCATCAAGTAATACTAAGTAAACAGTTAGGGGTGGTCAAACCAAGAGATACCATCAGCGCATGAAATCACCAACTGTCGTCCTGATGTAGGTCGCCTGGCTTGTGTCTTTGGGTTAGGGTGAAGCTAAGAACTGGAGGTTAGAGATCTTCAGTGAAACGTTTCCAAATTGTTTATAAAAGGGTAGAGACATTCCCTGTGTTTCATGAAATTATTTTATTTTCCCTCAACGTTTGTGTCAGTTTCATACAATAATCTTGGCAAAGTTCTACTCTGTTGATTTTTTTGGTCTGGCATCTTCAATGGTAGGTGACACAACTGCTGTGAGAATTCCTTCCAGCTCACAACGGGTGGAACGAAACTTCAGAGTAAACAAATAAGAAGCACATTCCAGACCGCGTTTTTGAGGTGAATTTATCTGTTGGTTATTCATAAATAGATGACAGTCTGGATATGTGTTTGTCATGTGGGACCTGAAAGCGGAACACGGCAAAAATCAATGGGGAATTCGCCTACAATGTCGTTTTTAACCTACAGTGTTGATCTGTACTATCTACTAGTCTGGAAATTTAACTGGCCGACCTTCAGTCTAGTGTTTACACAATGTAATTTTGTCCGTCAAACACTACTTGCTGATTCGTACAAGTAGTTTATTATTGTTATTATTCTGTTGGGTTCTGAATGGGATATTCGGGCTTCAGGAGTACATCTCCACTTCACACTGTTCTTTAGAGTTCGTTTTATCTGGCTGCATCGTTGACCATACGTTTCTATTTCCTCCTCACACGTTCTCCTCCTTGTCACCCTCGGACAAACAACCAGCCATTCGTTTCCTACTTGGCCTGGCTCTCAATGTCACTCGCTGGTCTCCTTTGGTATATTAGTCGGGCGATAGGTCCTCGGTTGTTTTGCTTCTAGAGTTTCTTGTTGCTTAACCCTTCTGATTTTTAAAGATAGCTACTGACCTATGACTTCGGATGATAGACAAGCTCGTGTTACTAATTGGTGGAAGGTAAAGAACAAGTGTCATTTAATTCTGATTCTATGTCACCATAGTTTCGTGATCACTTATCTCTGAAAACTTTTCGGGGTAGTCTATTATTGTGAGAATTACAGTATTTTCAACACTACAGTCACTAATATCTCCTACTTTGTCTAAGTTGTCTGTAAATTTAGGAAGTGGTCAGCACCTGATTAGACTTCATCCTAAAATTAAAAGCCCCGATTAACAGAATCACTCACTGTTTGTTACGTAAACGGTGTGTTTAATCAAGTTCTCTTGACTGTCACACTGATGATTTCTTCGATGGTATAACGGTCACGTTTTAATTACTTCTTAAAACTCCTTAGGATATCATTGTTTCTTCGACATTTCTTTATGCATTCATACATCATCTATTATTACTTTATTGTATTCCTTAGCGTCCCGAGTACAACGTCGGGCTTTAAGCTTTGAGTTTGAAGTCTCAGTATCATCGGTGTTGTTTTGTTTGTTTTTTTACGGGATGAAGTTGCTAGCCTCACGCCCAACCTTAGAATAGCGAGGTTTGGACACGTGTGGTCTGTATATCAAACTTTGGACCACTTCCGTGGTTGGCGAGTATTCTGTCGATGAACAACCACCAACTCACTTCTAACCAGCGGCTACTGGATAGCTGTTTCATCCTAGTTTGGGACTTCCCATCAGCTCGTATTCACAGAGGTTTGAACCCGGAAACTTCAGGCTTCCAGACGAGCTCGCTAACCATTCAGCTATTTGGACCCAACCTGACCTTGCTAAATATTGTCAATTATCTGGGTTACTTAACGAGTTTCAATCATTATCCGAAATAAATTCTCTGTAGAATGTCATTTATCACTGGATTTTGTTTCCAGAGATCCATTCAATGACTGGAGTCAAATTTCTCGTCAGCATATGGGAGATATTGTCTTCGCTGAAACACTGCCAACACCACGAAATTTTTATCTTGTCAATCTGCTCAACTGCTTTGGAGTTTATAATGGTTTCAATCTACTCAGTTGGTTTGCAATTCAACCTTGGTCTAACATAAACGTGAGTTTTTTAAGTCTTTTCATAGATTTGTTTTCATTATGTTATTAATGCGAATAACAATTTATTCGCAAACTCTATCTATATGTGTTTTCTTCGTAAGCCTACATTATGTCCTGGGCTAATTTAAACGACACCTGAGGAGAAGTTTCCAACCAGGTTGTCTAATGGTAACTTACTAGTCACCGTCATTTTCACAGAAGTTGATTCTAGAGAGTGTTAATGGCACAGAATGATAGGCTACAGCTTTGAACGACAATGGAATAGTCATTGCTTCAGGATTTTCAATGATTTCTGTACCAATCTTTGTTCAGAGTAGTTTTCGTTACCTGGAAAACCACTGAAGTTCTCAAAGGTTTGTAGAGACAGATTTTTCAAACTTAAGACTTCACAGGAGTGTTCATTTATGGTATTATAATACTACAAACTTAAGTTCAGCAGGTGTTTAGTGAGAATCTATAGTTGATGGAGTTTCTTGTGAAGACGGTTATTAACCGATGGCTTTGGATGGTCGATGGTTTATATTGCTAACTGGCAGAAAATGAAAAACAAGAGTCATTTTATTCAGACTATGTAAGTATGCGCTCACTTAACTCCACTAATCTTCTGGTAGACACTTAGTGAGAATTACACTCTTTTGAACATTACATTCACAGGCCGATATCCACTACCTTGATGTACCAGTCAGACTTGTATATATCAATGATTTAACGAGCTTTACTGACTGAAAGACATATTTCTGAAGACCTCACCACGACAGAAGAGCCAAACAAACAGCTGTTAGACTATAACTACTCACAATCATTAAAGCTGCTAACACTGTATGGTAGGGGTCTGAAGGTAAGACTGTACCGATGAAGGTCTTAACAGCTGCAAGATATTTCTGTGAAACGAGCAGAAAGCCAGCTTTTTCGACTTTCCCTCTTAAGGCGAGGGGGTGTAAAATGTTTTTTACAGAAATGGTAAGTCCAAACTTACCCATTATTGGTTTTACATGCAAATGAAACTCTACGCAGTCATCTTAAAGCAGACAATGTGTGGCCGTCCTAAAGCAGTGGAAACCTGAGCTGTGAGGTTACTCTAAACTACTAAGTCAAGTGATCGAAAAAGAAATAAATCTTATCCATGGGGATAGCATGACTGTACCAATCATCTGTTGATTTAATTCTTTGAACGCACAAAGTTTTTATCCCTCAACCATCCTATTTATCTTCCTTTCCTCAAACTCTATATCCACTTCTAATACTGTTCCCCATACAGTTTCTTAATATGCTCTTAACTCTGCGAACACTGTCAGGAACTTAACGTCTCAGAAGCAACATTCCTCGTCTCTTAAAACTTGATATTAGAGCTACCAATGTCTAAGCCATGCGTTAAATCACACAACAGGTCTCACTTCGTAAAACTGTGGCCTCTCTGTCGATACTTGCTAACCCCAGGTATAATTATTTACTTATTATCACCTAGTCGGAATAGTAAATCTGCAGAATTCATTCTACGGATGTTAAGAGATTCTTCAGATAGACGTCTAACATCCAACTTAACCTCACATTGGTCGTACAACTATAGTCTAGGCTATGAAAGCTGCCTTTTAGCTTAAAACTAGACGAAACGGCGGGACGTGATGGTTTAACTCCATAGTTGTTTGAAGATGATGATGGTGATTACCTGCTGACCAGCAGGAACTAAGATTAGAAGTATCCATACAGTAGATATTATGAATTCCCTGGAATAATTTGAGCAATGAGTCAGATTGAATGATTATAAAATTACTTAAAATAGGCCGAGCATGTTAAAGATTTTGATTTTTTCCTATACACTATGCAATTATTCCAAGTAATTCATAGTAGGAATTAGTTTGTGAAAGACCAAGAGAGTTCATCACATTGTTGTAGATCGCTGATCTGATAAACTTAGAGTTAGTTAACAAGGTGTCTAACATCATGGAATTCACTGGATCTTAGGAAAAGCCAACTATAGGATCCAGCAGGTTTCGCTCTCTAACAATGGTGAAAACCCTTATCATTCGACAACAATACTTACCAGTGTATGAGATTTTCTGTAGACTTTTCAATTAAAGATGATATTTAATCCTTTAGATCTAGAACCACTGAAGCAAGTGTATTGACATGCATGGACTAAAGAAATATCATATTATGCTAATCAATGAACTAGGCAGATGAAAATGTGTCACCGGTCCATGTAATCATGGAATGTTAATCTGAGCGACATATGAAAATCTGTAGGCTGCTTGGTTGACATCCTCAGGATGCTAAGATCCAATGACTGCAGAACATGACTGATGTGTTTCAAAGTTGTCTAGAAATGAACAAATGTATTCACATATTTCGGATTATGAACAGCTTCATAGATTGGTTACAGGGTTTCATCATGAGTTGACATCAGTTAGAGAACCATAAGAAAACCACCACTGGAGTACTGAACAGCCAGCTATTTCGACAGCCTAGTTTGGGAATCTTCAGCAGTACGCACCCACCACAGGGGTTCGAACCCAGGACCTTCTGGTTACAAGATGAGCTAGCTCTTAGGCCATTCAGCCACTGGGACCCAATCCAATGGCCTATGTATTCTTACTTTCGCCAATTCACGACATTGCGCGACCACTAGCCAATTTCTTTAGCGAGTATTTGTCCTCACACCCGACCTGCTGCACCCTACTGGTCACGGCTTCCCACTAGAACCCCAGGTAACTACCCACCTGAATAGGGCCAGTCGCTAGTGAGCATCTCATTGATATTCAAGTATTGATTTGTAGGGATTTGATTGATTAGTTAAAGGATTTCGTCATGAGTTGGCATCAGTTAGAAGACCATTGGGAAACCAGCCAGGGAGTACCGGACAGTTGTTTCGTTCTAGTTTGGGACTCTTCGGTAGTACGCACCCAGCAGGGATCTTCATTGAATTATGTTCACTTACTCCGACCCGGCATCATCAATGTTTGTCTGTTGTAGTGTAATTTCTGTTTCTGTCTCCTTATTTTGTGTGCTTTTTCGAGACGTTCCAGTTCGAAGTGATACACACCTTGGAAAAAAGTTCTACAGTGACTTTTCACCCAGTCACAGCACAGTCAAGAGGTTTCAAAACTAATTTAACTTCTCGTCACCTTCGCCTTCAGATGAAATAGCATATCACACATTCCAATGTAAGTAATCATAAATTAATTCTGTTTAGTGAAGGTTCAATCAACTGTAAATAAATTCTTATCACATAAATAAGTTAAATGGATGAATTGCTTACGAAATTAGCGAAAGCAAATAATTCTACCTTTCAAAATATTAGTACACAAAATGTCCAAATATTGGTTGTTTATAAAGAATTCTAATTTCAATGATAATAGTAAGCCTAGGCATATAGTAAAACATGTTTCTGCCAAATACAAAATCCATTTGCTCAGTATTCCCACCGCTCGTCAATCATACTATTCTCACTAAGATTGTCCAGCTCAGTATTGATCTTTTTTCATACGCTAAAATGTTATCCACAATTGAAACTTGTGAAGTGTTAATAAATGAACTGGGTTTTAATTGTTTTGAGAATGTAAATTCGATGAGGCGAAGTGTAGAGGTTTATTATCCTGATTTTGCAGTATTCACAAATCACTGACTTTTTCGTGAACATTGTAGCTGTTTCAACTCATTTACCTATGTGGATATCTATTTGGGAAAACATTATGATCTACTTGGGTGTTAGTTACACTGATACATTCAGTTGGGAGTCGTGGACCGATATTCCGTGCTTGGTAGCATCTATCAACAAAGAGTACTCACAATCTTCAGAATTGTTTTCATGTGATTCGCATTTATCTTTGTCAGTGCAGAGGTCAGTGACTCTGAAATAATGGTGGCAATTTTGTGACACAAAATTGGATTGGAAGTCGTTTGATATTATGTAACCTTTGTTTGGAATTTAATGCCGAGGATGTCATGAAGACTAGTGATGGAACATTGAGGAGTAAATGTCAAAGCTCGGAGAACACTAAATATTGTACAGTTATAGGGCTTAGCACTAAGCTATTCAACATATCTGTCAACTCTGTGAATCTAGTATCAACTCATGACATGCAACAGTATAATGTCACATAGCTTTGAGACTACGCTGCACACTTGGTAGACAGATTTCATGCAATCCCCTTAGAATTCTGATGTAGTTGTATTCTCTGAGCTGTATAGGGGTTAACTGCAAAGTTTTCACTGTCGTACTAGATAACATCCTCGGCGCATACTTCAATTTGAAGCAAGCCTTTGGAATTCTCCACGAATCTGTTCGTCAGCTCTCCTGGTAAGCTCCAACATGACTGGTTGTCTTCGTATATTTTATCATCAACCTCTAGTCCACGTGTATTGGTAATGATTGTTTCCTGGACCTGGGAGTTCATGTGATTTCAATCTTATGGATTGGTAAATCTTGTCTATACCTCAATGTGTCTGTTGATTTCCAATTCACTTGAATACCATGCTTCTAGATATTCTCTGATGTTCTTAGCGTTTCCTCTGACTAAGATTTGAAGACTATCTCAATCGAACTGGTGTGCGTGGTTATCTGTATGCAGCGATATGAAGGAGTGAATATCGCGTCTTTCTACAGCCAGTGTATGTTCATGGATGCGAAGAAGACGAAGAGGGCGTCCACTTTGATCAAAATAATGTTTTCCACAGTTATTGTAATTTATCTTGTAGATGATGTTGGTTGATATAGAGCCAAATGAAGTAATTTTATTGGTTTGTATATAACATCAATACCTGAAGGTTTAAAGAGTCATACAGTGATTTCTGAGACGTCCTTTATACACGTCACGATGATTTTCTTTGTGTTTTCTTTGGAGGCCTTCGATTTGGTTGGTTGGGTAGAGGGTGGATGTCTTTTGATGGAGTTTCGTGCATATCCATTCTTTCAGGAGACGTCCATGAGATATTTTTCTTCAATTTTCCTTAAGTTAGAAGTGCTGCAATGAGTCTTGAATCTCTTGAATACGTTTGTAGGCAACTGTTTTGTGTGTTATTCGTTTGTTGCTGTTGTGATTGGGTATTTGGTCTGTGCGAATTGATTTACTGTAAACTTGAGTTTCTAATTTTTCTGTGATTGTTGGTTTGACTAAGACACATAAAAATGGAGTTTTGTCCTCGGATTCCACTTCTCTTGTGAATTTGATGTCGTTGAAGATGTTGTTTATCAAGTTGTGAGTGTTTTCTAAGTCATTTCTTCTGATTATCACGAGTGTGTTATCCGCGTAAGGTATTCGAATTTTCGTTTTAATCTTTTGTAGGGTTATGTTCTCAAGTCTTTGCATAACTGCTTCTGAAATCAGTCTTGATATGGGCGATCCCAACCGGTTGAAAGAACAAAACTACACCAAAATCATTCACATGAGCTTCAATATCAGTAACCCTTTCATCAATTATTTCAGATGCTGCTCAGTTCTTTTAGATTTTATGGTGAAATTAGTATTATTGCAGACGATGAAATATCGTTAGGCACGTTACAGTTTTCAAAGTCGTCATTTTCTCTATCTCCCTCCTTGAAGTAGAAAGACAACCTAGCTGCATTACTGGTCGTTTGAGATAAATACCCTGGCGTTATGGGATCTGTTCCAGCCATTTGTATGACTTTGACTCCAACAACAACAACAACAGTTTTACCTTTTGAGAGTACTGCAGCAGTTAGTTTTAGTCCTGCCATTACTCAAGTTCATTTGGGCTGCCAGAAGGGGTCAACAACAAGGAACCCTAAAAGGTAACCAACCAGTTAAGAGCCTATTGCTGAAGAAATATACTGAAGATAATGATGATGGATTGGACGTACGCTGAGAAACTACTGGGTGACATCACGCCCCAGGAAGTCCGTCGAGTTGAACCCTAGTGGGGAACGACAAGTTGGGCGTGTGTGTGTGAGGGTGACATGAAGGATGTGAAAGCTTATGGGCTATTGTGGAGCCAATTAAAGAGGACTGTAGAGAAGAAGATGAAATGGACATGGACTGATGAAGCCCTATGTTCCACTCGGAACCTAAGGGGATAGTAATAATAATAAACTACTCAACCTATATTTTCGGTTCTCCAGGACCTCCTATTATTCCTGTAATAAATAGGCTTCATTACTGATGACAGTTTACAAGCACATCACTGCTTGTATTCACTAAGTACATTAAATGACCTAATAAAGTTGAGGGGAATGAGTGAAATTCAACTGAAACTGAACGAGAGTCAGGTTAACAGCGGCGGTAGACATTCAATAGAAGGGGGTGATGGAAGAAAACAATACAAGTAAAAAGCAAAAACACAAAAATTACATATCCAATGTAGATGCAGATCAGGTCCATTGTAGATATAATGACAATGAACGAACTTATTCTTTTGTATGCAAACTCCAGGATTTAACATGTAAAAATCGCTATTGCTTCTGAAGTTTGAAGAAGTTTGATTCGTTGAGCTCTTTCAGCGAGATTCTCGCGTATACTGGAGATACCTTTGATGTTGATTTGTGGGTTAGTTTGGTGTCCAGATTCGATCTGGTGTTGAGGGATAGAGCTGTGGCAGGGGAATCGTTTTTCTGCTTCATAAAATCACGGGGTAAGTGTTTTATAATACGCTTGGATAGCAAACGCCGAGGATAGAACAAAGACCTGTGATTTTATTGGTTGGAGGGTTTCATCATGAGCTGACATCAGTAAAAGAACCATTGGGAAACCAGCCAAGGAGTACTGGACAGCTGTTTCGCCCCACCTAGTTTGGGACTCTTCAGGAGTACGCACCCACCGCCAGGGTCCGAACCCAGGACCTTCTAGTTACAAGGCGAGCTAGCTTGTAGACCATTCAGCCACTCCGACCCAATCCTATCCAATGATCAGCCTATGTATTCCAACTTCTACCAATTCACGACATAGTGCAACCACTTCTCAATGTCTTCTTCGATGAGTTACTGCCTCATCTTCAACCTGCTGCACCTTACTGGTCAGGGCTTCCCACTAGAACCTACCTGAATAGGGCCAGTCGTTAGCGAGCATCAGTTTAATCGTGATGAAATCCTCCAGCCAATTTAACAAAATTCCCCCAGAAGACCAATACCTGTGCTTTTCTTTACTTCCTAACTGATTTAAACTTGTGATAAAAGCGAAGTGTATCATTTTCATACATTGTCGAAGTATTTTAACAGTTATATTACTTTTATGTCAAGTTAATGCGATGGAAATAGTTATGTGTGTAGAGATAAATTGATTTCACTCTTATTATTATTACTATTATCTCCAACCTAGAAAGTCAATTGTATTACATCATACATATATGTATATAAATATATATATACGCACATACATGGATAAGCGTTTCTACTTTTCACTTTTTTGGTCACGCTTAGAATTGTTCTTTTCTTTTTTCTGCTTGCCTTTTCGGTAAGTTTTAACTGGGTTTATTTTCTTTTTTGGCATATTTGCTCATTTCTTTTTTTTTTCTTCGTTCATTTCTTCCTCTTCAAAAATTATTCAGCTCACATCGATATTTCTTCTGCCAATGGCCAAGTGCACCGACTATCTTACTCTGTATACTATGGAGAATTACGCAGCTAAAATAATGTATCGAGTTATCTGGCGTTTATCTAATTTAAACGCAGAAGACTTTAAAGACAGAGTAAGTTTCTCTTTTTGTTGTTTTCGTTTGTTTGTTTGTTTTTTCAATGATTTACAATCAATATTTTCGTGACATTTATGTCTATTTGTGTTTCTTTTTGAGTACGAAAGTTCATTATTACTGTGCTTTATTTTTTACAAAAAAAAAATGTTTAATTGTGTATTTAAGACCACGATGATACCACTACTACTACTACTAATAATAATAATAATAATAACAAGCGAACTATACGGGCCAACCGATGGTCTGATAGCTAGGAGAGTTAGTAGTTAATCGTTTGAGTGCCTTATTGTTCGACTTTCTCCATTTAAACTCAACTATCAGCCTGATTAATATTATTCACCTAGGTTCCAGGTGGAATATAAGGCTTCAGCAGCACATCGCCACCACTCTTCTTAGATGAGCACAATCAGTGTTTCGCCACAGTTTATGGCTCTTCATCAGTACTCATCTAACGGGCGCGAAGCCAGGACCTCCTGGTGTCAAGATGAGCTCGTAGACTATTCAATCACTAGGACTCAATCTGGTAGACCTTGAATTCCAACTCCTGCCAATTCACCATATGTAACGCACCCTCCAATTAAATTTCTTGTGCGAGTAACTAGAGGCACCCGAATTAGAACGAAACAGCTGTCCAGTACTCACATCTGGTTTCCCAATGGTCGTCTAAATCCCCATTGAGTCATATGAAAAAGAGAAGACTTTCAGCGAAGAGACTCTTTTCGGCGAATTCTTTCACATATCTGTACAATCGCATTGATATATAATTATTTTTGTATGTGTATACATGAGGTTTGTCAAGTTTAGGTAATTAATTAGGTAATTCAAGGTTGATCTAATGTAGAAACAAGGTTAATTAAACAGCAACTAAAGTAAGATTAAGTTAGTAAGTTGGATGACGTAATGTAAATGACTAGAAATTGAGCGTTAGTCAAGTCAGTAACAGTGGTAATGAGGTGTAGAGATTAAATTGGGTGGGGGTAGAGAAGAAAAAGGTTGACAATGTAAAATATTACAATTGAGAAGACAAAATAATACTAATAAAGAGACAGAAAAGAAGATTAGATAGAATTTACTTGTCGGGTAATAAAATAGATTAAGTCCATTGTAAGTGTAGTGATTGAACAAACTTCTTCCGTATGCAGAGTTCAGGACTTAGCTAGTGAATCGCCATTGCTTCTGCGGTTTGAAGTCTGATTCGTACACCTTTAGGAAGCCTACTTCTTACTCTGTAGACGACTTTGAAGTTTGTTTGCGATGTAGCTTGGTGTCCGCACTCTATCAGATGTTCTAAGATGGAGATGCTGCGATTTTCTCCTTTGTAAAACCATTCTGGTAAGTGTTCGGTGATACTTCTGGATAACGAACGCTGAGTCAAGGCTGACATACCTCGCTCCACACGGGCAGGTGAATTGATAAATATACATTGAGTGGGCCAGCAGTCGTAGATTATCCTTCACGTTCACATGAATCATAGGTTTTGTGGAGAATGTTAGTCGTAGTTCAGTTGCGAAGAAGGTCTTCTCAAGTGAACACGACAGTCGATTTTTTTAGTGTTTCCGCAGATATATCTCCATTGAACTGAAGGTTCATGCAGAGTAGATTTTCCGGGACGCTAAGCATGGACGGCTTTTGTGGTCTAGGATTTATAGGCTTTGCAATAAGTCGTTCTGGATAACAATTCTCGACGAGGATTCTCATGAGATTGTCTAGTCCAGCTTCTATGGTGTCCGGGGTGCAAATTCTGCGAACCCTGTAGCTGAGTGAATGGATCAGGTTTCGTTTGGTGTACAGATGTACCCAGCTGTGAAAGTTCTCTAAATGATGTTTTTAATTCGGAGCCAAACCTGTCACCGGTCAAATCTTTACAAACAAACTAAAAATCACTGGTTGGAGACAATCAGCGGTGATGTGGCTGGAAATTATTTTCACCAATAAGACAGGTGGTAAAGTCATTCTTTGTAGTCCCCCAGATCCTCATGTTTTTCCATGTGTTTATTCTTTGTGCCTGTAGATTTCTGATAATTTTAGTTCTTCTAAGTATGATTTTTATATATTTTCCCTCTATGTTTGTATGCTATATGAAGTGTGTAAACTTGAATTGGCTACACTTCTGTGAAAATTTCTACGTTGAAACCAAGTCAGTCAATCAGTCAGTCAGAAAAAAGTAAGAGGTGTTTAGCCTCAACATAATCTTTTGGTCACCTGATTACTGATTACTTTTAGCTAGACAGACTACTACAACGTTGAGAAAGTAGGATTAGTGGGTGGTAAAAAGTTTTACTGACATTCATTGATTGTCAATAATAAGCTCATATAGTTTTCAACATATACTGATATCATTTTGGAGGCTACTAGATATGAGGGGGCGGGGGATGATTTTCCCATTGTATTTTATCAAGTATTGGTTTGTAGGGATTTGATCGACCACAGGTTTCATCGTTAGGTGACTTTAGTTAGAGAACCATTGGAAAATCATTGGATACTCTTCAGTGGTACGCGCCCACTGGAGTTTGCAGCCAGAACCTTTTGGTTACAGGGTGGGTCTATGGACCATTCAACTACTGGGACCCAATTTAGTGGCCCACGAATTCCAACTCTCGCCAGTCAGCGACTTATACTGTAATCTATAGTGATCAGACTTTTAACCAATCAAATCCATGCAAACCAACACTTGATGATTAGTCTGACAGATTTAGTGGTAAGTCATGACCAGGGTGGTCCATTAAGCAAGGTATGAGGACAGTTACTATCCTATGACACTGTTTGACGGTTGCGATATATATTATGATTCGGTAGAAGTTGAAATTCATGAACTGTTGGAATGCGTCTCAGCGTTTGATTGATCTATAAGCTCGCTTTGCAACCGGAAGGGCAGGAGTGTGAACCCAACTGGCTCGTGCTGCTGAAGATTCCCAGCAAGGGTGAAACAGCCACGAAGTAGTCCCTGACTTTGCAATGGTTTTTTAAATGATGTCAGTTCGTGATCGAATCCACGTGTTATTTTACTCTTCTTCATTGATGCTTTGTTTTTAATGATTTTCAAAGATTCAGGGATTGGAACTTTAAATTATCTTTTAATTCATGGACTACAGTGTTTGTTTGTCAAACATGGCCATATATCACTGAAAGAGAAAGCGTCACAATGCACGTGAAAACAAATAAATTTGGCGCTGAGAATTCTAGTTATCTAAACTAATTTATCGATTACATCAATTTTAAACTAATTAGTTATGTATTTATTTTGGAGATAACGTTTTTATTGTGAAACAGCATGCACAAGCATTTTTATTTGAACTTGTTTGTTCATAGCAGTAGAACATTTTTTAAATAGTTACTGATGATTATCTCGTTCTGTTTTCCCTTTTTCCTTCAAAATCAACGGAAATCAGGACTCACGCATATTTGAACTGATCACCAGTGTTCGAGTATTAACCTATCGGTTGATAGACTTAAATGTTGCAGACAATCTTGGCTCTTTGTTAACAACACAAGAATGCAATTCATGTCTTGACAGTTTAATGTTTACCATCTTTGAACCGGATTGGGAGGAAGTTATTTCAAGGTATAGAAAATCTCACAGTGGATCATCAACAGCTGATCAAGTTTCGCTGTTTTCAATTCCTCTAATTGATAAGCTGCATTACAGTGTACTGCTATCAGCTATATCACCACCACAAGGTGCAGGCGGAGCAACATTCAACGGACGTATTATGGCGTTAAGAGAACTTGTTCAACAGATTGAAATAGCTAAACAATTCGGGAATTCGAATACTTCCTCACTCAGTGGGATGAGAAATGGTCAAAAGCGAACACGTCCCTCAGTACCGCTTACATCGGCTAGCTTGTTAGCTACAGAGAATGTTGCTTTCTTGGCTAAACGACAAAAAAGGCGGGTTTTACGACTGGATCAATTAATGTCATGGATTCAAGATAACGAAGTGATAGCAAAGTCCTTACGTGAGTTTTACTACAACAATTTCTTATTTATGATTCATTCATTAGGCAATTGGCATTAAGAAAGATTAGAGTTTTTCTGTTGGTTAGCAAGCTTAAAGCATAATCAGGTTATCTAGAGGGAATGAACGTCGTGGAAGTCCACTGATGAAGAGTCGGTGGCACAGTGGTTAGGACTCTCGCCGATCATGCACATGGTCCGAGGTTCGATCCCCTGCCGACGCACACCCGATATCTATGGTCGGCCTGTAAAATTTGGTCTACCGATATCCATGCTGAAAATGCCATGCTTGTACTGAAAATACGGTGTGGAATCAAGCTGTAACCAAAATAAAAAAAAGAGTCCCAGACAGAAATTAATCCAAATTCCTACGAAAAACTCACAATCTAAATAAACGTCAGCTCATAAATGGCTACCGGATGGATGTTCTGAAGCTGTAAGAAGAAGCTGTGACCGATAGGGTCCACCATGTCAAGGTGCAGTCATTGTTCATCGAAGGAATTGATTAGAAGCACAGCTATATCACGAATTGATGATGATAGGATTCAAGTTCAGTGATTTTCTTCCGAAGTGGCTAAATGGTCAATGACCTTGGTCTTGAAACCATTAGATCACGAGTTCCGCCCCAAAGTGAGTTCGTGGGTGTGCACCGATGGAAAGTTCCAAACTAGAACGAAGTAGCGGTCCAGTATTCCCTGGCTTTCACTGATCCCCTTGATTGATGTTGGTTTGTCGTCACGAAATATATGTTGAAATTCAGCCAAATACCTAAGAAACACCTATCCACCTAAGAAGCATCGTTTCAACAACAGGCGGACGGAGCTGATGAGGATATCAAAGCGAGGATAGGGAAAGCAAGGCAAGCTTTCATTACTCTCAAGTCTGTGTGCAAATCAACACTCAGCAATCAACATGAAAAATAAGATCCGGATTTTCAACTCCAATGTGAAGTCAATGCTACTTACAATACGTATGGATCAGCGACTTGGCACGGAGTCACGAAGAGCACTTCGAACAAACTACAGGCCTTCATCAACAGCTGTTTTCGCTCAACACTTCACTCAAGATCAGATGGCCGGCCAGAAAAGATCAACAACAGAGATCTCTGGGCGCGAACTAACACAGCAGGAACCGATTGTGCACCAAATAGGCAGGAAGAAGTGGAGATGGATTGGCCATACTCTGAGGAAACCATCAGGTGACATCACTAGACAAGCCATCGCTCGAGTGGAACCCGAATGGGTAGTGGAGAGTTATTTGGTCGTCAGTGCGAGGGTGACATGGAGGAGGAGGTGATGTGAAGAGGAGATGAAAACGTGTGAGCAGACTTGGAGCCAGGTGAAGACTCTAGCAGCTAACCGAACGCAATGGAGACGCATGGCTGAAGCCCTATGTTCCTCTACGAATTAAAGGAAACATTAATAATAATAATTCAGTGACCAGCGTTTAGATATATGTTCAATCATAGGACTTTATACTGACTCTTGACTTGACTCTTATAGACAAAACACGCATAAAATGATCTATATATACATACATCTTTGCACAAGAGAGAAAAATTCAACTAAGTCGGAGTGAGTTGCAAGGATTTCATTACAACTATCAGTGTAGACTAAAATGCTCAGTTATCAAATGTGGTCTGTATGCCACTAACGTCGATGGTCCAGCAGTAGAATGCTCGCCAACCACTTATGAGGTATGCGGTTCAAATTCTGGTTGGAGCACTTCTCAACCTTGCTAAGCCGGTAGTAGGCGTGGTAAAGATGGAAGTTTGGGTGTGGGGCTAGCAACTCCACTCCATAAAATTGACACCATTACTACTGAAACTTCAAAGATGAGCCTTGAAGCCCTTCGTTCCACTGAGAACGGCAAGGAATAAAATAAATAAATCAAAATAAATCAAAAACATGACATCATTATACAGGAATGCCCGTCCAGTATTTGGACCGCTTCGATCTTGCTAGCGAGCACTACTGGCTGATGTAAATGGCATCTAAATTTCACCTCGAACTGTATAATTTGCAAATCACGAATATGATTCAAAATTTACTGAATATTCCCCGTGATAATTATTACGCTTTGTTTCGTTTTCAGATAAGCTGGATAACACTGCTTATATGGCTACACTAAGCAACTTTTTTCGATCACTGGGAGAACGTATTACCAATGATGACTTGACAACACTATGGCATCGTACATCGCATCAAAATGGAGCAGCTGTAGATAATATATTGAATCTGCTTACAGACTTGTCATCCTCTAGATTCACACAATCTCAGTTGAAGCATTTATTTTTTCTTGTTGAACTGGTTAGTTATTACTTTTACTGATTTTTATATAATGAGAACTTATCAGTGCTAGTTATAATGATGAGCGCCGGTTACTTGGAAGGCGCGGGTTCGATTGCCGGCCGGGGAGCTGACCGTATTTCAGTTGTAAAGAGATCACCAATAACACACATGTCCTGAGTTCAGTTTCTAGCCACCAAAACGCTCTTTAACCCTACTTAGCCGGCAGTCAAGAGAGAAGATTGGGTGTGAAGCTAGCAACCTCACCGCATAAGAACAACTCTACTACTGAAAATTCCTGGCTGAAGCTTGGAGCCATGTGTTGTTCTACTCTTCTCTGACCACCTCACATCATTGTTTTTGTGTTCACTTTAACTTTTTTTGTTGCCACAGACGGGTAATTAAAGTGATGCATGCCTGTATATAGGGTTTCTAGATACTTGTTTAACGTGACTGATTCACAATGTTCTAGGTCATCACTCCCTCTCCAAAGGCTTCTCTTTTTGTGGTAAAAAGTGTATTATTATTAATGTTTCCTTTAATTCCTAGAGGAACATAGGGCTTCAGCCATGCGTCTCCATTGCGTTCGGTTAGCTGCTAGAGTCTTCACCTGGCTCCAAGTCTGCTCACACGTTTTCATCTCCTCTTCACATCACCTCCTCCTCCATGTCACCCTCGCACTGACGACCAAATAACTCTCCACTTCCCATTCGGGTTCCACTCGAGCGATGGCTTGTCTAGTGATGTCACCTGATGGTTTCCTCAGAGTATGGCCAATCCATCTCCACTTCTTCCTGCCTATTTGGTGCACAATCGGTTCCTGCTGTGTTAGTTCGCTCCCAGAGATCTCTGTTGCTGATCTTTTCTGGCCGGCCATCTGATCTTGAGTGAAGTATTGAGCGAAAACAGCTGTTGATGAAGGTCTGTAGTTTGTTCGAAGTGCTCTTCGTGACTCCGTGCCAAGTCGCTGATCCATACGTATTGTAAGTAGCATTGACTTCACATTGGAGTTGAAAATCCGGATCTTATTTTTCATGTTGATTGCTGAGTGTTGATTTGCACACAGACTTGAGAGTAATGAAAGCTTGCCTTGCTTTCCCTATCCTCGCTTTGATATCCTCATCAGCTCCGTCCGCCTGTTGTTGAAACGATGCTTCCCAGGTAGGAGAAAGAGGTTGTTTCTTTCAGGTTCCTCCCATTTATGCTGATTGTTGTCTGTTGTTGTTGTTGGTGTTGGCGGCGTTGCCCAGGAATCTTCATCACCTCTGTTTTCTCCATGTTCACCTGAAGTCCTATCTTTGATGCTTCTTCTGCCAACTTGTTGCTTTTTGCCTGCATATCTTCCAGTTTGTGGGAAATCAGACATATATCATCGGCGAAGTCCAGATCTTCCAAGTTCTTTGTGTGAGTCCATTTTATGCCTGTTTCCTCACTGCCCGCTGTTTGTCGCATTATCCAGTCTACTGCAATGAAGAAAATCATTGGCGATAGTAGGCAACCTTGTCTTACTCATGTCCTCACTTCGAAGGATTCCGTGAGTTTCCCGTTGTGGATTACTTGGCATGCAGCATTGTCGTACAGCTGTTGGATGAGATGTATAATTGTCGGTGGCACGCCGTAGTAGCGAAGTAGTTTCCAAATCACCTCTCGATCGACGCTGTCTGCTGAAGGCCTTTTCAAAGTTGATGAAGTTGAGATAGAGAGGTGACTGCCATTCCAAGCTTTGTTCAATGATGATCCGTAATGTGGCAATCTGGTCAATACATGAGTGGTTTCTCATGAATCCAGCCTGTTCCGGTCGAAGATTTTCATCCAGGGCATGTTTGATTCTCTCCAGGATGATGCGGCTTAGTATTTTGCTTGGGATGGACAGGAGCATAATTTCGCGCCAGTTCTTGCATTGACTTAGGTCTCCTTTCTTTGGTAGTTTGAATAAGTATCCTTTCTTCCAATCCTCAGATACTTTGCCTTCTTTCCACACCTTCTCCAGTAGTGGCGTCATCAAGTCCGCTGTTGTCTCTGGGTCCATTTTCAATGCTTCTGCTGGGATTCCATCTGGTCCTGTTGCTTTTCCAGCTTTCAGCATCTTCACTGCCTTCAGGACTTCTGTTCTCGTCGGTGGGTTGATGTTCACTTGTCATTCTGCTTGCGTTGTTAGTATTGTTGAGCGCGTTGTAGGAGGTGGTCGATTTAGGAGTCTTTGGAAGTGTTCAGCCCAGTGTTTCCTTTGCTCCACTTCTTTGGTGAGTGACTTTCCATTGTCATCTTTCATTGGCCTTATTTGTGTCAAACTTTTGCCTGATAGGTACCTAGTTGTTTGGTGGAGTGTTACGAGGTCTCCTTTCCCTGCAGCTTGTTCTGCTTCACTTGCCATGGCTTCATAATACTTTCTTTTGTCTTCTCTGGCACTCTTCTTTACTCTTTTGTTCAGTTTATTGTAGTTTTCATTCAAATCCTGTTTTTGTTGCTCATCGGTGCACTGGAGAATCTTTTGTTTCACCATCCCTCTCTCTTCTATCAGTCTCCAAGTGTCCATAGTGAGCCACTGTTTGTGCTGTCTCTTCTTTCTGCCTAGAACTCTTATGAAGGTTTGACTCCACACTGTTTTCAAGTTGTTCCAGTGCTTTTCGACGTTGACCTCTTCGCTAGTGTTGATTTGTGTCTCGGCTTTGTCCTTTATGCTTGCAGCGAAGATGTCCTTTGTATCCTGGTCCTTCAGTTTTTGAGTGTTGAACCTGGCTTGTGGTCTATCTGCAGCTCCTGATTCTCTGAAAGCTTTTAATTTGAGTTGGATTGTGGGGTTGCTAGCCTCACGCCTGAGTTGAGTCTTAGGGTACCTGAAATAGAAAAAAGGTTAGTGTTGCGTGACCGTAGAGCCCAGGGGAAAACTGCTTGTGGCCGGTCACACACGGCCTGTTTTTGTTTATTCTTTTTTATTTGGTGTGTCTCAGTAGCATATTTATCACTTCTGCCCTGTGACACGGCAGCAGAAAGCGCGGTCGTTGTTAATCCGGGCCCCGACCGATCCGGCATAATATTTTGTGATTTATTTGAAGTCATAGGATTGGATCAAGTAGCTGCTTTTAGTCTAACCGCTATCCAAACAACCTTTTTGGCATGTTAGAACCTACAAGAACATAAGTTGCAGCCAGTGTAGCTCGTTGGGTCATTGCGATATGCAAGCCCGACCACCACGTCAAGGTAGCAGCTATTGGTCGGGAAAGAGTGTATTAAAATAAAATATATCTGATATAAGTATAAAACTTGGGCACTATGGTAGAGTATAACTCCATTATTATAATTGTTCCCTTAGGTTCCTAGTGGAACATAGGGCTTCAGCTGCACGTCTCCACTTGCTTCTGTCTTCTGCTGTACTTTTCAATTGCATCCATGTTAGTCCATACTGTTTCAGCTCCTCTTCACACGATCTCCTCCATGTCACCCTTGGACGTCACACTCGCCGCTTCCCTTTCGGATTCCACTAGAGTGTTGGCCTGATGCGCGATGTCACCCAGTGGCCTCCTCAGCGAGTGTCCAATCCATCTCCACTTTCTCCTGCATATTTGTTTGGCGATTGGTTCTTGTTTTGTTTGTTTGTTCCCATAGTTTCTTGTTGGTTCTTGTTCTTTCCGGCCATCTCATCTTCAGTGTAGAGCAAAGACAGTTGTTGATAAAGGTCTGCAACAGGCTGTTGTGACCTGCCGCCAAGTTTCTGATCCGTATAGAAGAACTGACTGACTTGACGTTTGTATTGAAAATCCGAATTTTGTTGTTGATGCCGAGTGGCAGCGGAAGATTTCCAGATTGGTTTCAGGTTGATGAGTATGTTTCTCGCCTTCCCGATTCTCGATTTGACATCTTCGTCCGTTCCTCCTGTAGTTGAGACAATGCTCCGTTGATAAGTGAATGAAGTAACCTCTTTCAAATCCCTCCCGTTGATGGTGATTGGAGCTGGATGTTGCTGCTGCTGTTGTTGTTGTTGGTTGGTTATTTCCATAACCTCCGTCTTGTCTATGTTCACCTGAAGTCCTGTCTTTGCTGCTTCTTCGACCAGTTTTTCGGTTTTCGCTTGTAAGTCTTCGATTTTGTGTGACATCAAACATAAATCACCCGCGAAATCCAGGTCTTCTAGTTTCTTCACGTCGGTCCAGGATATCTCTGTCTTCTCGTTTCCCACTCTCTGACGCATAATCCAGTCCACCACAATTAGGAATATCATTGGTGATAATAACCACCCTTGTCTGACTCCTGTGTTTACTCGAAACGCTTCGCTGAGTTTTCCGTTGTGGATCACTTGACATGTGCTGTTGTCGTACAGCTGTTGAATAAGGTTGATGAATATTTGGGGTACGCCATAGTACTCGAGTAGTTTCCAGATTACTTCGCGGTCAACGCTGTCGAAGGCCTTCTCAAAGTCTATGAAGTTGAGGTAGAGGTTTGATTGCCATTCCATGCTTTGTTCAATGATGATGCGTAAAGTTGCAATTTGGTCAGAACATGATTTGCCTTTCCTGAATCCAGCTTGTTCTGGTCGGAGTTCTGTATCCAGTGCGTCCTTTATTCTCTCCAGGATGATGCGACTCAGGATTTTACTTGGCGTCGACAGGAGCATGATTCCTCGCCAGTTCTTGCAGAGTCCTGGGTCACCCTTCTTTGGTAGTTTCACGAGGTAACCTTTCCTCCAGTCAGTAGGCACCTTTCCCTCTTTCCACACTTTTTGCAATAATGCAGTCAGCATATTTGCTGTCGTCTCCGGGTCCGCTTTCAGTGCTTCAGGCGGTATTCCATCTGGTTCAGCTGCTTTTCCAGCTTTCAGAAGCTTGATTGCATTCAAGACTTCAGCTTTCGCTGGAGGATTGGTGTCAACTTGCAGTTGTGTACGTGCTGTAGTTGGTATTTCTGGACGGGTTGCAGGTGGTGGTCGGTTCAAGAGTCCTTTGAAGTGGTCCGCCCATTGTTTAATCTGTCTTTCTTCCTTGGTAATTGGGTTCCCTTGGCTGTCTTTTTTAGGTTTCACTTGTGTTGATCTCTTCCCGGATAGAGACTTGGTTATCTGATATAGTGTCCTCAGGTCCCTGCTCTGCTCTGACAGTTGCAGTGAAAGTGTCCTTTGTGGTTGCGTCCTTCAGTTTTTGGGTGTTGAGCTTGCATTGTGGCCTATCCCCAGGTATCCTCGAGGCTTTTAGCTTCGCCTTGAAAATCCCTTGTACTAGATAGTGGTCTGAACCCACATCTGCTCCTCTCCTCGATCTTGTGTCCAGTAGGCTTCGTCTCCACTTCCTTGGGATTGAAATGAAGTCAGTCTGGTTTTTGGCGTGTCCATCTGGTGAAATCCATGTCGCCTTGTGTATATCCCTGTGTTTGAACACACTGCCGCCAATCACCAAATCATTGAAGGCGCAGAAGTCTGAGAAGAGTTCCCCATTTCCGTTCATTTCACGAGGGACTCGCCACCCATGGTGAGTTTTCTACCTGTATTGTCTCCTCCCAGCTTCGCATTCATATCACCCATCAGGATTTTGATATCGCTCTTTGGGACGTTGTCCATTACTGCTTGGAGTCGACTGTAGAAATCCTCCTTCTTCTCTTTTTCTGAGACGTTTGTAGGAGCACAGCATTGAATGACTGTTACCTTCTCTCCTTTTGAGTTGAACCTGGCTGTCATTATCCTGGAGGAGATTGGTTCCCACTGCATGAGAGCTTTACCTGCTGTTGGTGACACCATGATGGCCACTCCCTCGGTGCGCTCGTGGTTGTCCTCTGGGTGACCGGAGTAGATTATTGTCTCTCCAGTTGGTAGTTGGCACCTTCCGCATCCGTTCCATCTGCTCTCACAAATTCCTAACACTTCTATTTTATATCTCCTCATTTCTGCGGCTATCTGAGCAGCCTTTCCAGTTTCGTACATTGTACGAATATTCCGCGTCCCTATCCTTATTTTTACTTTCATCGAAAGAAGGCACATCGTCTGACTGGCTTCCCGAAGGCTTTCACCAGCCTGCGTCATTTCACTTCCCCGATTAATGATAATTTTAGAATTTTTAATATATTTGTGCTTTGAAGTTTTTGTAGCAATTTGGTTAAGTTTTGGGGGTGGAGTTGCTAGCACCACGCCCCAACCCTCCCTCTTTATCCGGGCTTGGGACTGGTTAGAAAACTAGTGACCTAGTAATCTAGGCGAGGTTATAACTCCATTATGGATAAGATTTTATTTTGATAAATCACACAATGTTGTACAGTTATATTAACTGATGACGTTTTGAGCAGAAACTATTGCTCATAATCATATCAAGTTATATGATATGATTGATATGATTATGAGCAATAGTTTGTGCTCGAAACGCATTAGTTAACATAACTGTACAACACTGTGTGATTTATCAAGATAAAATCTTATCCATAATGGAGAAAATATATCTGATATATACATTAGTGTTGTGCGTCAGTGGCACAGCGGTTAGGACGCTCGCCGACCATGCACATGGTCCCGGCTTTGAATTCCAGCTGACGCACTCCTTTAACTCGATAAGCCAGAAATAAAAACCTGGTAAAGAGGAAAGGTTAGGATTGAGGCTAGTAACCTCATCCTGTAAAAATAAACACTGCTACAGAAACTTCAAGCTTCTAGCTTGAAGCCCTATGTTCCACTGGGAACCTGAAGGAATAAAAAAAATACACCGGTGACTCATCAATATTGATTTTTCCCACCTGCATGATTAGTCATTTTTCACACCTGCATGATTGAATTTACTGAATTCCGATTGGCTGTTAATATTTTTTAAATGTGGCATTGATTTTCCTAACTGTATAAATACGGAGTTTTGTTTAATATTTTCGACTGTTGTAGAGACAGTATAAGCTCTCGTGTCAACGTCCAGTCTTCTTTCTTTGTCTTGCGTGTCCGGCGGTATTGTCGTTGTTGTTGTTGACGTGCGATTAAGACAGATTAGCTAGCGCATTAAGTTAGATTCGCTCGTAGTCTACAAGGTCATAATATTCATACATAACAAAATCTCACGTCCTTACTGCTTTTCCTGCATGGAATTAGACACCTAAACAGTGAATATTTCAATTGATCACAATGGTTACATGATATCTTGCAAAACGTCTTTTTGCTCACCTTGAAATTTGTAGAGTTGGATGAATCTGGATCTTCAAGCTCTTGCACAAGTTTCCCCAGAAATGAAATCTTCTGATTCTTCTCAAGCAAACGGGAGAAGAAAATCTGCTTGTATCTCATCACCCCCACCCGATGAACCATCTACCATACGTCATGCACGCGCTCGACTGTTGAATATGATCGGTAGAATCGGCATTACCACTAAGGATCCGAATACAGCTGATATGTGTATAGCATTACTATGGCGTCTAGCACATTCAAATTATTCAGAAGAGGCGAAAGAGTTTTCAAAAGATAACAGCAGTACAAGACAAACACCACAAAAGATGTCTTTTGTCGAACGAATTCTTGTACCACATGTGCATAAAGCTGACCATCATCCAGCTGATTCGGTTCCATCGCCAGAGACTCCAAAATATATGCATCCTGAACCGATAGAAGCAGCTTTAGCTCAGCAGTTAGTCATTATACGGGAATTTCATTGCTCTGGCGTAGATCAACGAATCCGTGCAATGCGGTGGTTACTCGAGGCTATGGGATACATTAGTAAGGTGAGATTCTTTCTAACTTTTGCATACATTTTTCTTTTTATTTGACTCAACAGTGTGAATAGATCTCTCCTGTTTTAATTCTCACGGGTAAATGCATTTTTTGTCATAGTGTAACAGTAGAAGACAACAGACTTGGGAGAGGAATGTTTATTTGGAATGTGATATCTTTATATAGAGAAATTATGTACACCTGTAACGACTGAAGACAAGGGCCAGGCAACAGATCGTTTATTGAGAAAATCAAAAGATATTTATAGATTTTTATGCACATTACTATTCGTTATTGTTAGTAGAGATACAATGTCTTCTGATTGGTTGTTTTCCTCCTGAAGGTTATTCTACCAGTTTATGTGCTCCTGTGGAGTGAGCCAGTTACATAGGCCATACAATTAGGCGTGTTTCTCGTCGAACATCACCCTATGTGGTTAAGTAAAGGACAAACAAAATCTATTGGTAGCGCTATTCAATCTCATCTTGTGGATACAGAACACAAGATTGATGTTAACAAGGTGGCTTTCAGAGCCATTTACCGCATACCAACAAATCTCAACTTCGCCTTAAGAGTTCGACTACTAAATATTGCTAAGCCTGTTGGGATCCGTATTAAGTAGCCTAATTCGGGCGTCCAAAAGAAGTTAGTCCAGACATTATCCTTACCTTGGACATCCAGGTTTGAATGATCCTGAATTTTTGTGGAAATTTCCTTGACTTTAGTTGATTAGCTGTTGTTGGGATAGCTTTAAGTACTAGAGCGCAAAAGACATTACCTGACTGGATCCCGGTAGATAGCCGAATGTGTGCTGTCCGTCTGAACGGATCAGTGAAAAGGAGAAAGGACTGCATTACCCGCCGATGCCTTTTCGTAATCTCCGCCTACGCCCCCACTGACTGCAGTTCGGATGAAACGAAGGATGGGTTCTACCAAAAGCTGTCTAGTTTGCTGCGAAAGGCTAAACGCTCAGATATAGTCGTTTTAGCTGGTGACTTTAATGCTCAAGTAGGGAAATTGTGTCAATCTGAGAAGAATGTCGGTGGCACATACGGAATTCCGTGCCAGCGAACCGACAACGGTGACCGTCTCCTACAGTTCTGTTCAGATAATCATTTGTTTCTTGTTAGCACTAACTTCAAACACAAGGAGAGACACTGTTTGACCTGGCGACCCCCATCATCAAACCAACGCTGGACACAAATAGACCACATAGCAATAAGCTATCGTTGGCGTGGGTCGGTAGGAGATTGTCGCTCCTTCTGGAACACGTGTGTAGATACCGATCACGCACTGGTCCTCGCTCGTGTGTGCTTACGACTGAACGGACGTAGGAAACAGTTAGCGGTAAAACCATCACATCCCCAGCTCGATCAGAAAACTAAGTTCCTATTTGAGGAAGAACTACCTAAACACATATCTGAGTTCGACAGCTGCGCTTACCCTGAAGAATCCTGGAAGAATATTCAGTCAGCCATAGATACAGCTGTAAAAGCTGTGAATAAGGTAAATCCAAAGGTGAGTAAAAACCATTGGATTTCGACTGCCTCATCCGAACTGATAGATGCTAGAAGACTTATTCCGGCGAGCTCCGAATTCAATGAGGAGCGAAAGCTGCACAAAAAGAAACTTACGAAAAGTCTCCGCAAGGACCGTGAACAGTGGTGGTTGACAAAGGCGAAAGAGATGGAAAAAGCATCGGCGTTAGGCAACACCAGACAACTATTCAGGCTTATCAGGGAAACAGGTGGTAAAGGGCAAATGATAAGCGAAACAATCTCTGAGAAAAATAACACCATAATTAGCTCCCAGGATTGGCCCACAGCCACACTTAACCTGCCGGACATCCAACACCTCCCTGAATGGGATATAGACACAGGTCCTCCATCCTTAACTGAGGTTACTAAAGCTGTCACTAATCTGAAGCAAGGCAAAGCAGCGGGACCTGATTTATTGACTCCAGAGGTATTTTATTACGGTGGAGACAGTTTACTATCTGCGTTAACTGAGGTTCTAGGCAGCGTCTGGAAATCAGAGGAAGTCCCATCGGGTTGGTGTAAGTCACTGATCATCCCGATATACAAGAAGGGAGACAAGTCTTCTTGTGATAATCACAGAGGGATTAGCTTGACTAATATAGTATCTAAAGTGCTAGGCTCAATAATACTGCGTAGACTAAGTGGTGCTCGGGAGACACAAACACGAGAAAACCAGGCAGGTTTTAGGCCAGGTAGAGGGTGTATTGATCACATCTTCACCCTTCGACAGATTCTAGAACATAGGCATTCCTACCGGCGTCCGACAATCATTATATTTCTTGACCTAAAGGCGGCTTTCGATTCTGTCGACCGGGAGGTTCTCTGGCGATGCTTGGGTGTAAAGGGAATGCCAAGAAAATACATTGCACTGATTAAGGCACTCTACTCATACTCATGCAGCCAGGTGCGGGCTTATGGCGAGTTGTCATCTGAAGTGGTGACGACTAGTGGCGTCCGTCAAGGATGCCCATTATCCCCATTCCTATTCAACTTCATCATAGATGTACTAATGGACTTAACCCTATCACACTTCACCGACTCAGGGATTGACTTGCTACCAGGGAATAATCTCGTTGACTTAGAATATGCGGACGATATAGTCCTTCTAGGCGAGGACTCTGACAAAATGCAGAGTCTACTGAACACCTTGAGCAACAATCTTCGTATGTTTAGCATGCGATTCGCCTTTGTAAAATGTAAGATGATGCTGCAGGATTGGACTTCATCGACCCCTAGATTAGAAATAGGAAGTGAAGTGGTAGAACACGTTGACCGCTTCAATTACTTGGGAAGTACCATCAGCCCCAACGGGTTGATCTCAGACGAAATATCAGTAAGAATACAGAGGGCTAGGTTCGCATACGCCAGTTTACGCCGTCTCTGGCGTAGACGCGATATCCGACTATCGACCAAAGGGCGTGTGTACTGCTCAACAGTCCGCTCCGTCCTCCTTTATGGCTGTGAGACCTGGCCATTGAGAGCAGAAGACATGAAAAGATTAGCTGTCTTCGATCACAGGTGTCTGCGTTCTATCTCCCGCGCGAAGTGGTATAATAAGGTGAGCAATATTGAGGTTAGGCGTCAAGTGCTAGGTAAGGCGGGGAAATCAATCGACGAAACTGTGAAATTACATCGACTGAGATGGTTAGGACATGTCCTACGTATGCCTAGTCATCGCCTTCCTCGACGGGCAATGTTAGCTGATATAGGGTCAGGCTGGAAAAGAGCTAGCTAGCGGTGGTCAAACGAAAACATGGCACCAGTCAAGGAAATCCACAACAGTTAGTCTAAGCCATGTAGGAAGATGTAGACTTCCTGGTTGGGGTCCTCGGGATGGTAAAAACCAATGGTTGGAAACAATTGGTGACATGGCTCAAAATCGTTCTCAGTGGCTAGCGCAGATGCATCCACTCCTTGTGACTTATGATTTCCAGTTAAACTATATTGTTCTCCGTTATCACTATTCCTTTGTCTCACACCTCTGTTTACTGTCTATATTATGCATTTTTTCTACTTTCTTCTCTTGCTTTGCGTGCTACATGGAGTGTGGCGACTTGAACTGCCGCACACATGTGCAAAGTTCTATGTCGAAAACCGACCGACCGACCGAATTCCATAGTGATCTTACTTAACAAATCGATATCATTTAGAAAACACTAATATTGTTATTGACTACTAATCTAGAATGTTCTATGTATACATATATATGATTGTAGAGCCAGAAGAGGAGCAAATTATCGAATAGGATATTCTCTGCTCAATTATTTTGTGTTTTATAGAAAACTATTCTGTCATCTCTTTGTGTCCGTTTCTTAGACAGTCCTGTCTGCAAGTAGTATCTGCCCACATTGTCTGTTATAATTGGTTGTTGAGTTCCTCAAAGTTAGTCTTTGTTCTTGTTTTCCCTTCTGACTCCGATTCGGGACGTAAACATTGACGTAGACTGTTGTCTACAATTTTGGCTTGCAGACAGATCTCACCATTTGTATAGGTCTTCAGGGTTGTGCTGATTCCGCTCTCTCTTGTGTATTGTGTTTCTTTCTCTTTTCGTGTCAACAATGTTTTGCCATATTATTGGTTCATTTGCTCTCTTTGATATCAAGTCTTCCACTCGGCTATTTGATATTTTTGTGGTGGTGAGAGTCTGTTTATGTACTACTGATAAATCTTATCAGTAGCACATGCCTCAACAGCACACCACTTATTTAATCACTTTACGTTCCAATTGGGATTTGCGACTTCAAGCTTTGAGTTTTAAAGTTTCAGTGGAAGCAGTGGTATTCTGTTTTACAAAGTGGGGTGGCTAGCCTCCTGCCCAACCTTCCATCTCTGCCGGTCTTTGTATCAGCTAAGTGAAGTTTAGGAGGCCAACCATCAGGGATCGAACTCGGGGCCACGTGATCGGCTGACGAGAATTCTACCGCTGGGCCGTCAGTGTGTGTTCTTTCCACTATTCAGCGTATATTGGGTTTCCATAAACGCGGAGCCTTTGATACTACCAACAGTCAGGTGTCATTCGCATATGTTTTGAGTCTGATATTCGCTAATTTTGTTCTAAACTGCAGAATACATTGTAACGACCAAATTTATTCGGTTATGGTCTGAACGCAAGAAACCAACGTCTACTTTCTACTCTATAGCCAAAAAGAAATCTGCTGAGATAGGCGCTACCACGAAACGTTCCAAACGCAGGGAAGGGACGATTATTCTCCAGCATATTAGCGACTCCATATTTACCTCAACAGTGTTGCGAAGCAGCCTTACAGGCAATGTAGGCTTTCAAGTACAAAACAGTTACTGTAAGACAAAATTAGTTAAGCAAAGTTCAACCGTAAAAGGTAACTTAGAATCAAAGAGCATATTCCGGAGGTGGGATCAATGGCGCTATCCCCAAGAATCACACACCAAAGCTTCCTGCAGGCAGTCCATACTATCAGGATGACCTTTATTCATTCATAGAAACTCATATGGTTAAACAACATATTGCCAGCATACACACAAACGAAAAGAGAAGCATAAGAATTAAAGATTAAACGGGGACAAAATTATAAATAGATCGTCCATGACGGAGGGATTTTCCAAACAAGGTAACAATAAGAAAAGTAAACAGGGAGTTCGGATAAAAAACACAAAACGATAATAATTATTGAGGAAATTGTCCGTTTATGATAGCCATAGTTAAGACGAAGGTCCAACTTCACTTAAAAACCAAGCGATGCTCATGTGTCTTGATTTCACTCCATTTGGGAGGTTTTCAAAGAATTTGGTGCATTGGACATTAAAGGATTTCTCAAATGGAACTGAGTGTCCTGAGTTCATAGGCGTTGTTCTGCTTGTGTTGCTGAACGCATTTTTATTTTATTTCATAATCTGGGTTCTATAGTAGTTAATTCCGCTTACCATGACAGGTCTGTATAGACTGTCATAAAGTTACTTGGTTGTTTCTTTGACCCGATTTCATTCACCTACTTCATCATATCCCACCAGCCTCATACTGCTGAATAGTTTATTAAGCTTAAGAACTTCGGGAGATGTGTTTCTCAACAAGAGTTGGTCTGCAGGAATTCGATCATGAGGTGACACCAGTTATAGAAGGATTTCAAAATGAGGGAATACGGGACAGCAGTACTAACCCACTGGGGTTCGAAACTCAGGATCTTCCGGTTACAAGTCGAGCTTGTAGACCATTCAGCCACTGGGTCCCTATCCAGAGGGCTGTGAATTCCAACTTCTGCCAGTTTGCGATGTATAACACAGCCTCCAGTCAGTGTTATAGACCAGCAATCGCTCTGTTACCTGACTTAGTTGGTCCTTCCATCCAAATCATCTCATTCGCCTATGACACTGACTGACAGTTGCACTGTATATTGAAAACTGGAAGAATTTGAAATTCATAGGTCACTGGATTGAGTCCCTGAATTGTCCAAAACTAGGACGAAAAAGGTGTTCAATACTCCCTGGTTTCCTAATGGTTCTCTAACCCGTTTTAGCTCGTGATCAAAATGTATTCTCCCCATTTGTTCGACAATCATCACGTGACGTGCTCACTAGATGGAAGTTTGCTATCGGCTAGCTTAGTAATTTACGCTAATACCAGATACATTTCCTATTTTATTCATATTTAGTAAATAAATTTCATCTCTCTTTTCATTCATTGTAGAATTCACTGACATTTTTCATGTTAGCTTATGTGAAGTCTCTATTGGAATTTATACTGAAAAATTTTATTGGCAAGGCGAAACGGGTGGGTTATTTTTCCTATTCTTATTATATGAGTTTTGTTTTTGTTAAAAATGGGAATTTGAATCACGCATTAAAAATTATTTAAATCACCGAAAATACCCATTGAATCATGAAGAAAATAAAAGACAAATTCAGCGAAGCAAAATTTTCTTTATCGATGAAATCATCTTCACAGGGTGTACAGTCTTCTTTATACATATTTTTTTCCTTCACGTTCCTCAGTGGAACATAGGGCTTCAAGCTAGTGGCTTGAAGTTTCTGTAGTAGTGTTTATTTTACAGGATGGGGTTGCTAGCCTCATGCCCAACGTCTCCTCTTTACCAGCATTATTTCTGGCTTAGCGAGGTACAGGAGTGCGTCGACCGGGGATCGAACCCCGGACCATGTGCATGGTCGGCAAGCGTCCTAACCGCTATGCCATCGACGCACATAATTGATATAATTACACTGAAGTGGCTTTAGAATTAAAAATAAAAGTTGTAAATTACGTAATAATTTGATAAGGTTAAAATTGCTATTGAGTGAGAGAGAATAAAGTTGGTAGTTGAGTGTCAATGTAACAAGTGTGGAGAGGGTGTGAAAATGTACAGCAGGGAACATATGAGAGTGATAAGAAAAGAAAAAGTCGAATTTATTTTATACAGGGAACGACTAGTGAAGCAGCTAAGACCAAGATAGAATAAGTGACTGGACAAACTTTTTTGTGTGCAGAGTTCGGTGTTGTGTTGACGAAATTATTTAGGCAAGTAATAGTGAAAACTGAGAAGTAGTTATTGAACGCCTCTTCCATCCTAAATTTCAACAGAGCATGTATATATTTATGCGTATATCTACTATGCTGTGGTAACAGAGACTAAAAATTTTCATCAGTTGTATTCCAAACACCTAGTAGTTGAATGGTAATTAAATAGTCCCTGTGAGACATTTCACTGTCATGCAAAGTATTTCAAATTTGCCGGGTGGTTGGTTGTACCTGACCATCTTTGGAGAGATCTGAACGGATGAACAGAAAGTTTTCCGTCGCTTCTCAAGGGCTTTGTTTTCTCTCCAGCTTATGGAGAGTCGGTGTATTATGTGGAGATTGCTTAGAAGTTAACTGACAAATTTCCTCACAAACTTCATAATTAGATTATTCTAGCTGTTTTGGAATTTTTCGCGTATTGTTTGACAGGTTTTTATTTTAAAGTTTCTAATTCTCCTAATCGATGAAACTTATTTCTGTGACGATGAAAGACTAGTCCAGTTTCAAGTTAACGATAATACTGAATTCATACAGTTTGAATTGTTCTATGAGTGACTAGTTTCAAGAAAGCTTTCTTCACTTGAAAGTATCACAGCTAATAAGTAAAATAGAATTCCTTTCCTAGATTTCCTTCTTACAAGAAAACCAAATGGTAGCATGAACAGAAATTTGCATAAGAAAAGCACACGGACAGGACAATATACACATTTTCATAGCTTTGTTCCTGTGCATTACAAGGGATCAAAGTTATATGTTCAGAAGATGCAATCGAAGATGAACTTAGGATTTGCATATAACACCTTGATTGAAAATGTCTACCCAGAAAAGTTTAGTATAAAACACATTGCCAAGAAAATCGTATACAGCTATTCTGTATCTTCAAGTATTGGTTTGTAGGGATTTGATTGAGTGGTTACAGGATTTCATCATGAGCTGACATCGGTTGGAGAACGATTGGAAAACCCAGCCAGGGAGTACTGGACAGCTGTTTCCGTTGTCCTAGTTTACGACTCTTCAACAGTACTCACCCACCGGGATTCGTATCTATATCTGTGAATAAGAAGACACTATGTGTGTGACTGAAATTCAAGGGTAACCTACCGAATGAAATAATTACCAACAAGTTATGAAAAAATCTATTCAAAGAATTTTTAATGCTGGTTAACTACAAGTCATTTTTTCTATGTGATCGGTTGTGATTCCCCAGTTGAAAGATGAAGTACCTAGACTAGCCACTTGTAATTGTATCTACCAATTCAACTGTGCTTGTGGAGCGAGTTGAAATGGCCGTTGCTCTAGAAACTTGATTTTTCGTGCTGCGGAACGCCTAAATAATGATGTAGTAAAAACCATCAGCATCTTGATACTAGACCACCTGCTTCAAAGGGACCGGTCATAAAGCTAGCTTAGAAGAATTTTTCTCCCTCATCTACGGGGTACCACATGAATTGGCTAAAGCATCCAGATACTGAATACCATGGAAGAGAGATATCAGCCTGTTTGAAGCCAGGCAACCATGCCAGGCTGTTAAACAACGACAACTTAAGCCTTTGCGAAAACTGGCATGGAATCATGCTCCCGTTCACCTCAAGCACAATACTGAGGCGCATCATCCTGTAGAGATTAAAAACTGCCGTGGAAGATTTTTCCCGGAACAGGTTTGTCTGAAGAAACAGAAATAATGCGAAGACCAATTTGCTAAATTATGCATCATCAACTGACAGGACGTAGGATGGCAGTTAATACTCTGCTTTAAATTCATTAAATGTTGTAAAGCCTTCGATATCATCGTTCAATGAAGTAATTTGGAAACTGCTTCAACACTGCGGAGAACGATACCGCAAGCATTTACAAACCTCATTCAACAGCTGTTTGATGACGCCGCACGGCACGCGATTCACAATGGAGAGCTCAGTGAAGCCTTTGAGTTGAGGACAGAAGTAAGACTAGGCTACCTATGATCACTGATGATATTGGTGATTGTGGTGGACAAGAAAATGTGACAGACAATGGGGAGTGAGAAGACGGCCATACGTCGGACCTACGAAAAGACACTAGAAGACTTGAGCTTCATGGACAACTTGTCTTTTGTCGTACAAACTTGAAGATTTACAAGCGATAGAGGCAGAATTTCAGAAGAATAGACAGAAAACAGAGGTGATGAGGATGCTGGACTCAACTAACCATCACCAACGGTACAAACATGATGGGAGCTGTCTTTTCTACTTACCTAGGCATAATCAACAGGAAGATCTACAGCACTTGGCACAGGGACAAAGACCATAATTCTGAGTAATTATTTTAAGTCAGAGCTTTTACAAGGTTTAGAGATCTGGCGTGTGCGCCATCGAAAGCATTTCCAACAGATTGCAGACTTTCATCAACAGCTGGCTTCACTATTCAATTCTGAATATGCGACGGTCAGTCAGAAAGAATAAAGTACCAGAAATCATGGTCAGCAACAAGTCAACCAAGGACTTATTACACATCAAATATGCAGAAGGAAATGGAGGGATTAGACATATGCTCAAGCGACGGTTAACTGGCATCATACACCAGTTGTACTCTCGAGTGGACATATGTGGTCATGTGTTCAAGAATGATATAGAGGATAAGATTATTTGGTGAAGAAGTGAGAGTTTGTAGGTGATGATGGAACTAGCTGAGATAGGGTAAAACATAGATGTCCTGTTAAAGTTCTAAGTTCTACTCGGAATTCCATGGACGAAAGATACATAACAATGGTAACTATCTGACAGTGAGGAGACCGTCACATGACGTCGTGCTTCAGGCCATCACTCGAGTGGAACCCGAATAGGAAACGACTAGTGGGTCGTGCAAGGAGGAGATGCGAGACTCTGGGCAATCGTAGAGCCGACTAAAGTGGAGAGCAGAAAACAGAACAAAGTGGAAGTGTGCTTTTGAAGGCCTGTGTTCCACGTGCAACTCAAGGGAACAATAATAAGCATAACGATAAACTTACAGTTACTGTAGCTCCTGTTGATCTACTTGCAAGTAACAATAGTTTGTTTCACGAAATCAATTTAATTTTTTACATGACATTGTATTAGGAATTATTATTCCGTAATAAATGCACAGTTTATCACGTTTATTTCATTTATTGATTATTATTATTATTTAAAAGGATCATCTGCATGAACTTAATCGATCATATGAATTGATTACTCGTGTGGTTGACTCTTTATTACACTATGAAAAATGGGCTATTTCATCTCACGGTGATCTACTGACAGCAGACAGTTTGGATGAACTTGGTTTCCGGCATAGTGATGTAAGTTGGTCGAAGAGCTTGTCCTATTGTCAATCAATTATTAATTTTCTTTTCTTTTCTCTTCCTTTTGTTTGTCTTGAATATCTGTGTAATGTCATACTTCTGATATAGTTGTGTTCTCTGAGCTGGATGGTTAACTTGCGAAGCTTTCGTTGCCCTACTAGGCAACATCTTCAGCACATACTTCGATTTTAAGTTAAACTGGATTCTGGTTGGAGGATTTCATCATGAGCTGACATCAGTTAGAGAACCATTGGAAAACCTGCAGGGAGTACTGGGCAGCCAGCTCTTTCATTCCACCTAGTGTGGGACTCTTCTGAGGTACGCACCCATCACCAGGGTTCGAACCCAGGACCTTATGGTTGCAAGGTGAGCTAGCTCGTAGGCCATTTAGCCTCTCCGACCCGATCCAATCCAATGGCCAGCCCATGAATTCTTACTTCTGCTAATTCATGACATAGCGCGACCACATCGCAATATCTTCTTCGACGAGTTACTGCCTCATCTTCATCCTGCTGTACCTTACTGGTCACGGCTTCCCACTAGAACCCTAGGTTAACTACCTGAATAGGACAAGTCGCCAGTGAGCATCAGAATAATTTTCAAGTATTGGTTTTGTAGGGGATTTTGTTTGGTTGGTTGGGGGTTGCTTGTAGTGACTAATCAGATTCCTAGGCACTAGAATCAGTCGGTCAGTGACATTATGAATGGGAATTAGAAGGCGGAATAAGCGTCAATGAAGCACGCTGTCAAATGATTGGAGTATGATGTTAACAGTGATGTGGTCAACGCTTGGTATAAGTTGAAAAGAATAACTAAGTCACGGTTATCGGTCTGAACATGGCAAAGAGAAAGTTAATGATGATACCTATGGACCATCAGTAGGAGAAATCGAAAAGATGTGAGCACTTCCATTAACGTAGATAGTATCCTTTCAACAACAAGTGGTGTCGTGGATGAGGATGTAAAAGCCAGCTAAGATTGGCGAAGCAAGACACATATTCGTTTCTCTGAAATCATTACGGGAAGCTCCTGTACACAGCATAAACAATAAGCGTCGGAATTTCAACATTAATGTGAAGTCACTGGTGGGAAGGGTTGGGGCTTCCATATAATTCACACACTTGGCTTGTCACTAAATGCATTTCATAAAGCCAGATGCAGACTTCCACCAACAGTAGTTGCTTTCGGTCTTTAATGAAGATCAGATGGCCTGTCAGAAAGTATTACCGACATGGAATACTGCCAGCCAAAGAACCAACAGGTAAGAACCTACTACCAAACCAACAGATATTTCGAAGAAAATAGAAATAGAGTGGAAAGACGCTAGGGAGATCGTTGAGTGACATTGCAAGGAGGCTATCTAGTGAAACGCTAATGAGAAACGAGTTAGGCGTGTGTGTGCTAAGGGGAAATCAAAGCTTTAGGGCAAACATGCAGTCAGCTAGAGAGTAGAAAGGAGAACAGAGTGACAATAAGGTATGCTTCTGAAGCCGTCCGTATATTCTACTCAGAGCCGTAAAGGAATTATATATATATATAATCAGTCTGACCGAGATCAATGGGATATAAGCAGGTGTGATATCTAGGAGCAGATAATACTGGAGGGGAAATTAGAATTCAACATTAATTTGTTGATTAGATATACCACAAACAGAGAGAAACAGTTTTATTTACTGGATGACAACTCGCTTCAAACACAATTTGTTTATTGTTCATAATATTAGTAATAATAATAGTAATAATAGTAATATTAATGATGAAATGCATGTCAAACATGCTCAGGATAATGACAACATCAACAATAAGGAATCTAAATCATCAGTAGTAATTCCATACAAAGAAGGAACCTCGGAAGCCTTACGCAGAATTCTTAGCAAGGCAGGAGTAAAAGTGGCACTCAAACCCACAAACTCAATTAGAAACAAGCTTTGTCGGTTAAAGGATCCTGTGGATCCTCTAAAAAAAAGACAATTTGGTTTATCTAATACCCTGCCTGAATGATTGTCAGGTCAAATACATAGGTCAGAGTAGTGGAACAGGTGCAGTAGGACTAAGCGAGCATAAAAAAAATATAGATTAGTTGACCCGAATAAGATGAGAAATCTAGAGAATAGTTCAGCTAGAGCACTCACTACATGCGATTATACACAACCATAAATTGATGCAATGATTATGAACAATAAATTGTGTTCGAAACGTCTTTCAGTAAACATTAATGTTTCGCGATGTGTGATATATCCATTCAACAAGTTAATATGGAATTACATACTACCACAGTGTCCAAGTTTTACACATATATGAAGGGAAGTTAGTAGTTCTCCATTCTTGAAACAGAGATCTTCATCTGCACAGCCAGAGTCCTTATATGTGTTCTGTCTCTTTATGTACATATTATAAGAATAAGCTTTACTCTGATTATTAAATATCATTCACTGTTCTGTGTAATTCTAATTTCAGGTGATAAAGCGGCATTTCGATCTTCTGCATTACTTGCTACGCAATGCAGAACTCACATTGAGTGTTGAACGTGCAAAAGCGCTGTGGGAGACATTAATTGGTCAGACACGAGCTGCACCGTTTGATCGTGAAGTAAGTATTATGCCCAGACAGACACTGTAATGACGTGGCAATTGCATTATATTGCATTACGACAATCATAATGAACGTTTCGTTTGGATCATTGGACAAAATAAGCGATTTATGAACCATGAAGGAGATAAGTGATTAGCATAAAATTCACTCTGTCTATTGCCGTATAAAGATTGCTGTGAAAAGTTTTTTTTTGTGCAGGTTTGACCGGTTCATTTTGGTAATCGACTGTCTACCGCTGAATCAAGGACTTGATTTCTGCTGCAATAATTAATCGCTTGCAACAGCATTGCCCCTTTTCCTTTCGAGGTATTGCCCTCAGTGGTGTGGTGTCGGATAGGTGTTACCTGCTTTTGTTGGAACCTCGTAATGGATGAGGACAGGTAGCAGTTGAGATGGACTCGACGATTCTTTTGGTAGGGCCAAATGATTTCACTTCAATTGGCTATAATGTGTGGCGGCTGCAGCTACCACAGAACATAGTAGTTGGCAGCTGGTGTTGTACGATTTAATAGGAACCCTGCTACTAGATATAAAACTAGGGGAATCATCTGGCAGCGACCGACAGTCGATCAAGCCAAACGTAGTCACCTATTGAATTGGTGGGTCCTGTGGTGAGATGATCATGGGCATTCTTGTGCTGTTTCCTAGAAGAGCTTTGGGAAGTTCACGTCAGATGGTTGACGAATTACAACAGGTTACTGAGGTGCCGGACATAGGGGACAGTTAACATCAATCTATAGTATATGGAACAACGGTTAATTAAAAGATAAAAGCGGAACAAGAGCTCAGCAAGAACCTGTGTTCAGGACAATTTCAAAAGCCGGAATGCTGTGGCCAAGCCCTCACAACCTATCAGTCTTTTTGTCCCCGGTCATACGAAGTCTCAGAAGTTGTTGCTTCTCTTGTGTCAGAACTGATTCCTGAATTTTTTCCTGTAAGGAAAGAAAAAGAACATTGTTTAGTGTTTCGTCTAGACAGGTTTTTATGCGGTTACACACCTATCCACATACGCTTCAGTTTGGTCAACCGCTAGATGTATGATCGACTATGCAATACGCATAAAATTAGCAAGTGCACGAAGATAAATGCTGTCAATGCGACATGGATCTACAAACAATTATGTTACATTACAGAATCTTTTACAACAGTTTAAAGCGATTGATTCCCCTCATGAGTTTCGACAAATTAATTAGGAGACGTAATTCCCCTGAAACGTGTGTGCTTTGTAATATATGAGGTTAAAAGGGACGGCTGTGGGTTCACTTTTGGGTCCTGTTCTTGTGGACATATTCATGGCTCATCTTGGACAGGTACGAGTGAAGCGGGAAACAGAGAGAATCGCCTATTGTCCCAGATATGCTGACGAAAAATTTGCGGTTCGCAATCATATGGATCACGCATCCACGATATTTGAAAACCTCAGTGTGACTCACCCCCATATAGCATTTAAAAGGGACGAAGAAACTGACTATCATTTCCACTTCCTAGATCTCAACATAAAAAGAAGAAATGATGGAACGATTGAAAAATCAATCTATAGGAAATAAACTTGGACTGGCCAATACCTGAATGAATTATCACAGCTTTCGCCCAATAGGCTAAAAACGGAGTCTGGTAAGAACGGTCTTCAGAAGAGCTAGGGCTTTGTGTTCAGCAGATAAAATCGACGTGGTGCTCTCAGTCATCGAAATGAAGCTTATCGAAAATACATACCCCCGAAAGTTCGTAACAAAATATGGTAAGGAAAAACCACCTAGACTGAAACCCAAAATAGCTGAAAATAAACCAGTTTACATCTGTACAAAGGTGAAGAAATATCCACAAGAAGGGAAAACAGAATTTAAGTTGGCGTCCAGAAGAACATTTTTCGCCGCCAGACTCATTCCACTTAACAACACAGTAGGCTCGTTAACCCAGTGAAAAGTATATAAGTATCCTGCTCATGTCAACTCCAACTGCATTTACCAATTCACCTGCATTTGCGACAGCAATTCCATAGAAAGGACTGAGAGGAGAGCGTCTATCAGATTTTCGAAGAATATCCTTAAAAGTCCTTGTTTGAAAGGCAGCAAAGTGTTCTCAATTGCGATTGCCAAACATCTACCTGACTGACACGGGACATACAGTGGAAATTAGTGAGATTTCAAAATAATCAATACACAAAGAATAGTAGGGTTACTTCGGTTAGCAAAAGTCATTGCTGTCATCGAAAGACTCCGTTACAACCTCTGTATACAGAATAATATTGTGACTAATCTCTCACTACCCTGGTAACCGTAATTGTTTTGTTCGATTTTAACTTAATTAATGAGTTGAACTCATCACTATTAAATTGCTAAATTTATTAAATTATTTTGTTTCTCCTATAATTTTACCTCACTATTCACTCTTAACCTCCTGATCTGTGTATAATAATATGTATATATATACACTATGTTGCCCGATCTTGTATTTTGTCTCTAGTGCATCCTTGTTTCCAAGTGAAACCTGAATTCTACTCCCTTGTCTAACTACTGTATAAATAGTTATTCTCTCTTAACACTAAATAATTGTTTACTTACATCATTTTTTTGGAATTATGTTGCTTATAATTTCTGCATATAACTTGAAATCATTGTAAAATGTCTGTTCAGACACCATTTTCTAACTCATAATCGATTTATCTAGGATATACTCAATTGAAGAGAATTCACGGAATCAAATATGTTCGTTCATTCTCTCTTCAAACTAATAAAAAGGAACTGGCTGCACACAAGAAAATACAGAAGGAAGTGAAGGTAGAATGGTGGTGAACATACAATGAGGAGACCAATTGGCGACATTGCACGCCAGATTCAACCATGAGTGAAACTCAAACAGGAAGCGACTAGAGGTGAAATGAAGGAGCTTGTGTGCTGACGAGGTGATGCGCTACAGAAAAGAACATTAGATCATAGTGTTCAAGAGGCTGAAGATCCACCACAGTCTGTTTTGGAGACCAAAACTATTCAGATCAACACAATATAAGATCTGCTTGTTACTATAAATGATAATCAAGAAAGTTAGCGTAAATGATCTAAGCATAAAACTTGGGGACTTCGGTGATAGAGTATAATTCCATTATGGATAAGATTTTATTTTGATAAATCACACAGTGTTGTTATACAGTAATATTAACTGATGACCACCTTTCGAGTACAAATTATTGCCACTCATAATCATATCAAGTTATTCACACACACACACAACGTTTTACTTTATTTATATACATGTGTGGAATTGAATAGATATTCAAATAAAAAATCAGTATAGGATAATGTACATTCAGAAATAATAATATGAGTGTTATCAATAAAATACAATCAGATTGGAAATAAGACGGGTGCTTTTATAGTCAAAATAAGTAACTTGTTTGAATGTTAGAATGTACGTGAATTGAAATACAATTTTAAGATTATTTGTTATCCTCCTGCGATTTGACTGACTTGTGGTAATAATATCTTCCATATCCCCGGTATTTGCATTGAGTCATTCCTATTGCATGTGTTTGGTGTAGATTCAATGAACCAGGATTCAGCAGTCAACCTTTGTCTCTCTCCACCTACCTATATTACTTCTTCGAATTTTGACTCTGTCTCATCCACCTTATTGTGTGGTTGTGTGTTAATGCATGTAGTGCAATTGCTGAGCTTTTTTCTAAATTACTTATCTTCTCGGGAGTAACCAGATTATCAGAACATAAGAATTTAGCTGAGGTTAGAATGATTCATCCCACCTGCGAAGATAAGTAATTTAGAAAAAAGCACTCAGCGATTGTACTGCATGCATTAACACACAACCACACAATAAGGTGGGTGAGACAGAGTCAAAATTCTAAGAAGTAATATAGGTAGGTGGAGAGAGACAAAGGTTGACTGCTGAATCCTGGTTCATTGAATCTACACCAAACACATGCAATAGGAATGACTCAATGCAAATACCGGAGATATGGAAGATATTATTACCACAAGTCAGTCAAATCAGAGGAGGATAATAAATAATCATAAAATTCTGTTACAGTCCACGTACATCATAACATTCCTACAAGTTATTTATTTTGACTATAAAAACTCTCGTCCTATTTTTTCCCATCTGATTGTATTTGATTGATAACACTCATATTATTATTTCTGAATGTACTTTATCTTATATTACTGATTTTATTCAAATGTCTAATCACCAATTCCACTGATGTATATAAATGAAGCAAAATTGTGTGTGTGTGTGTGTGTGTGTGTGTGTCTGAGTGACTTGATATGATTATGAGCAGTAATAGTTTGTGCTCGAAACATGGTCATCACTTAATATTACTGTATAACAACACTGTGTGATTCATCAAAATAAAATCTTATCCATAATGGAGTTAGCGTAAATGCGTTAATTTATACATATACTACTGATTGACTGATGTGATGAGTGGCATACGACTACTCATCGCAATCAATCAGTAGTATATAGTTTGACGTCGAAGAATAGTGTAAAATGGAGATATATTGATGAAGTTGTATGTTCCACTCGGTACCCAAGGGATGGCTACCGAGTACAGAGACAAATAGGTGGCTGGTTGACGTTAGTTCACGGTTTGACATAAAATAACAGTGTGTAACACTTCCTGTAGTTCTGTGTTTACAAGGCTGATTGATACCAGTTCATTATTAAAAAAAATTTGTCTAAAATTTAAGTCAACCAATGACAGTAATTCACCCATTCAGCTTTGAATGCATATTTTCATACATTTTGCTTAAAATATCTCACTTTCTAACAGCATACAATTCCTTTTTTCCCTCTCATAACACTTTACTACAATTTGCTACACTCTAGCAAGCATTTATTTGGTTCTCGTCATGCTTGAATTTTCTTGACACTGATGCTCAAACATTCGTCTTCACAAAAGTAATTTTGAAATCAAATCCTGCGTTATTTCGTTCAATCGCTGGTAAGTTACTCTGTATTGCATTCTGTTAAGTCTGTTGTTCTTTTTGTACAATTATTTCCCTATTATACTTAATTTGATTTGGAGGTGGATTCCGTTATTAGGCAAAATCCTGTAGACAAATTCTCAATATTAGAAAGTTTTAGAGAAGGCTGTTCCGTAGACGCACACCTACAAAACTGCTAGGGGTAGACCTTGGGACCATGAGGCTTAAACATCAAGCATGCAATTCCAATCCAGTAACCCATAGAACCCACCTTTGCCAGTTTGTCATGTAGCTCTCATAGACCATTCGGCCAATGGGACCCTGTTCAGTGGCCCGTGTGTTCCAACCCCTACCAATTGGTGATTTTAGCGCTGTTACAACCGGAACTACGATCAAGTAGACTATGAGCTAATACTAACTTAATGCGCTGGTTAATCTGTCTTAATCGCACGTCAACAGTGGCAGTAATAATAATAATAACTCCGCCGGGCAGCAAAGACAGAAGAAAAGACTGGAAGTTGATAAATGAGCTTTTACTGTCTCAAACAACAGTCAAAACAGGTTGACGGTACTTGTCTATGTAGATGTTTAAAACGACCCTGAGAAGCACTAATGTCATTGATAAATTATGACATTGAACAACCAAAAGGATTTCAAAGTTCATAAGTAGGGTGAAATAAAATCAGGTTATAAATCAATAAGTGGGGTGAGAGTAATACAAACAGAGATGTAAAAATGATATGTAGACAATTAGGTCTATATATCAAGTGTGACCACCAGCCAATGTCATCGGCGAGTATTTGCCATCACGTCCGGCCTGGTGGACCTCAGTGGTTCAAATTCACGAGCCACTGATTCCATTCCCAATGACTGAATCGTCTGCGAGCTTACCTGGTGACCGGAAGGTCTTGGTTTCGAACCCCCGTGGGTTCAGACTTCTGAAGAGTCCCAAACTAGGAGGGAGCAACTGCCAGTTCTCCATGATATCCCAGTATTCTGGTCGGCAGGTACTTGGACTCATATGAAAAATGGGCTAAATCCATTCTATCTAACCCACACCACTCTATTCATTCACAACTCTCCCCTTGTATTTCATCAGGCAAAACCAGAAGGCTATATAGAAAACTATATGCTCACACTAACAAGTAAAAAAACTCAACCATACCCTACTTGGCTCGTGTCCTGTGAGATAAAGAAAGCATTAGGCGTGATACCTATAACTTATTAAATAGTCAGTAGAACAATTGGATCTCGTCTTTCTTACTCATATCATTTATAAGTACAACGTTTTCTTTCTTCATTTTCCTTTTCTCTCTCTGTTTTTTGCTATGCGCTGTTTTGTTTCTCTCTTCCTTACAAACTCTGTTTAAAACATTCTTCTTCGTTCTTTCACACCCTGTATATCTCGACATTTTTGTTACCGCTTACGCCAATAAATATGCTAGTATCTACTTTTCTAACACCTTCAAACATTCTGTTCAATTTTGGCTTTGCTACCGATATGTTAATATGTTGTTGTCAAAATTAACTGAGACTGCCCATAATCTATGTAGAATTTTATTTATTGCTAATGTACAAACTGGATGCAATACTGTAGTGAAATGCTGAGAATTCCATTCTGCATCACAAGTAGTGTTTTGGAATAAAGCAAATTATAATTATTAAAATACGCGATCAAATTTGAAACAAACTTTATTTTTCAAATGAACTGTCGTCAAGATTTGACAGAATAGTTCTAAAATATTTGGGCGCTGAGTGAGAAGTAGACATTTGTAAAAAATTATATTTGTAAAATCTCAGCGACATTGAAATGATTAATTCCAACGTTTCTTGTGTTCGGCAATCTGGTCCAAACTTCTTCAGGGAAATTAATCGAAATTAACATAACAGAGGTTTATATATAAAAGGAAGATCACTTGATTTTAAAAATTTTATCCAAACATGAGTCATTCAACAAGTATAATGAACAAAATTTTTTTATGAGGTGTGATCAAAATTGGAGACGTTAAGAAATGTTTTACAACTGTTTACCCACCCACCCACACACACACACACACACACACATACAAACACACACTCTGTTTAAAGTGTTTAACAAAGGTAGACCAATATTTGTAAGTCCGAGGTAAAATTTTGATCATAGCTCATAAAAAATTTTGTTTATTATACTTGTTGAATGACTGATGTTTTTTAATCTATCCTTAGTAATTCACTTATACACTAACACAGGCACATACAACCTTCTACTCTATTCTATTTTTATCTCCCTGTTCATGATATCATCCTTCATCCATATGAAGTTTATAAGCAGTATGAATAAATTTCAATATGAGCATTAATCACTGCCACATATATGTTATTATTGATCATCGTTTGCTTTTAAGTTCTGATGTTCAGTTCAGCGTTTGATTACTATGCGCACACATAACTGTAGAAAACAGTGTAGAAGAAGTTATCTAAAAGAATACTCTTTGTTCGACAATCAGTCTTTTGCAATTTATAATGGACATTTCTAATCACAATTGGGATAATAAACGCTTGTTTTCCGTTTTTAGTATTGTGTGTTTTAATGGGCAGAAGCGATACGGCTACAACATTACTGCTATTCTGTTTTACTTTCGTCGCTATTTTCATTATTATTACTGCTATCCGTTTTGTTCCCTTCTCCTCTTAGGGTTTGAATGTTTTAAAGGCTTTTTTGAGAAAGTCAATTTAAACGAAGGTCGTATGAAACAGGTGGCAAAATCATGGGTATGCTAATTTCTTACACATTTGTTTTTCTTTTGATACTGTCACTGTTCCGCCTATTACGATGTTCTGATGTATTCGTTTAGGCATTACTATTTATTAAAATGCTCTTGTTTTGCGGCATTTTTAGTTTGGCTAGGTACGTAATGCCTTAAACCACCTCCCCCACACGCAATAAAGCCTTGCTACAGAATTACACGCTTCTTATCTTTTCGTACTGATAGGTAAAATATTCTCCTTTTGAGGAGTCCTCTTGAATCACTGGGCCAGTTGATGTGCTATTTAACACAGTGCATTATTGTTGTTATTCGATGATTAGAGACAGTTGACGGGAAGCCTTCGACCTCGGTTTCGTGTTTTTTGGCTTGTTTGGTCAGCAAGGCATATCTGAAATCTTGGAGGAACAACTTATTTTCCGTCTGAGACTCAAACCTGTGTCACCCAGTGCTGAAGTTAGAGACTTTGCCAGTGTGCTATTCTGGCTGGCGATTGACCTCCTGTAGAACTGACTGTATTGGATACTTTGACTAGACCCTAACTAGTGACATACGCGTCTAGTCCTTTTTTTTTGGTGCAGACTGAATTTTATCACAGCCAAGTTTGCAATGTGGCTGCTATGTTAGGCGGCTCGCGAACTGTACTCAAGCGCCTTTTTATTGGCTTTCAAACCACCGGTGCGCGTATATTCGAGATGAAGGAGAAATATTCTATACTTTATTCAGATTGAACTGCATTGCATCGAGTAGTACACTGCAGACCGCTATTTTACTTGAAGACCCTGGATAAAGAGGAAATTTAATGATAAAAATTAGACTGAGAAATATAAATATTGTGTAAGCATTTTGTACAGAATAAAACTACTATTATTATTATTAAGTCGAAATGGTTTGCAGGAAAAGCTGGTGCACTTTTCAGCGAACCGATTGTTTCACACCACTCTTAAAGTAAGTCTGTGCCTTTGATAGCCAGAGACTGCGGCAGTTGTGCTCACGCCATTACTGCAAAAGGATTGGAGAGAAGGAAAGGTGTCTACGGATTGGAAGAAAGGCTACCTTGTCAGGCTACCAGAGAAGGGCGACTTACATCCGACTCTGAAAGAACTGGTGTGGAATAATGCTCTTGTCCACACCAAGTAAAGTACTAAGTCGAATCATCCTTGAAAGAATAAATGATGCACTGGAGACAAAACTCCGGCAAGCTGGGACAAGCTGGATTCAGGATAAAACGGATCCATTATTTATTTCGTCGGTATATCTTGTCAGCTAAATCAACTTTAATGATTTTATTGAATTTCGACCTAATCAATCAACGGGAAAATCAAAGCCGAATTGAAAATAAGTAATAACTGAAGCCTGTTGCACAGGAGGTGACTCTCATGTTCCAAGTAGTCTTGAGGATAATACTTTAGCGTTTGGAACACTGGGTCCTGGGTTTGAGTCTCTGTGAAGACATTATCACTTACTCACTGGGTAATGCAGCTACATCCAGATGACGACTAGTCCCAAACTGGATAAATTCCACGCCCTGAATTCCAATGCTAGTCACCATCTACCAAATTACTTCAAGCTACTCACCAGACATCATCGAGGCGGCCCGTACTAGGTGGAGGAACATCTCGGTCCAGTCAATCAGCCATGAGAAAATCAAATTTGAATTTAAAGCAAATATTAAATTTTTATCATTGTTTTATCATAGTTTAGTACCTCGGAGATACAGAAAAAGGAAAAGGTGGCTGTGAGTTAAACTCATTTCGTTATATATGAGATAATATGAAGGATGATTGATGTTTATTAGATGATAATATAGCTGAGAAGATATCGTCTGACGAAATAACCAATAGATCCGTTTTGTCCTGTATCATATTTTATTGCTATTGCTTTGTTCAAGTTCATTAAAGGGAAATTCGTGTATAAAATGTAAAGATTGCTTGCTAGTTTCGATGGTGACTATGAAGAGGTTCCTGATATCGTCTATTCTATTCCTCTTCCTTTATCCTTATCAGTACTTTTATTTCTTTTCATATTAATAATAATAATAACTATAAACTGTTATCTAGTTGATGCATTTCGTCATGAATCAAGATCACTCTGGAAGATCACTGGGATCACTGTCCAGGAAACATTGGACAGCTGTTTCATCTTGTTTTGGGGCTCTTCAGTGGTGTGAATCCATGACCCCCTTAGAGATTGAACATTGAATCTTCAGGTCACGGATACCAGGCCTGTCGAACGTTCAGGCACTTGGACCAGAATCCAACGATCCATGGATTCTGTCTTTGTCAACTCTGTCCAAGGCTTCATAGTTGGTTCGTGATGAAATCCAACAATTGAAATTGAACTAATCCAAATGCCCACAAATCCCATAATCTAAACACACTGAATTGTTTGTTCACTCACTCACTCACTCTCTCTCTCTCTCCGTCTCTTTTCTTCAAATATATAGCATGTTGAACGACCCGATCTAATTGGATTAGAATTTTTATGGGATTTATATCTAGCCCTACCATCATCTGATGCAAGTCTAGACGGTGGACATTCAAATCGTCCTGTGGAGGCTGATGCGACGTCCACCGTTATTGATGCAACAACTGGAAACAAGCCGAATCTTGGTGATTCGTCTAAAATTCAGACTGTACCTGCTGTAGTATCATATTCGTTGTCATCATCATCGGTAGCAGCAGCAGCAGCGTCAGCATCACCGTCTGCAGCATTATCAAGTAGTGCAAAATCAACACCTGATGCAGCAAAACCAGCTAGATTACTTTTGTTAAATGTTCACTGGGGCCAGTTAGCACCAAAGTTGAGACGTGATCCAGAATCGTGTTACCGTCGTTTCTTTGATACATGCAGACGTAGACTAGAAGTATGTTAACAAATTACTATTATTATTACTATCATTATTATTATTATTTTCATTCCTTTGCACCATCAGTGCAACGTCCTGCGTTCGATTGTCAGTGTGGTCATTGGACTAAAAAGAGCTTTCAACGGTTCTCTAACTGACATTGAACCGTGGTTACTAACACCTAAATAGAATAATAGTGACAATAACATTTATTTGTTATATATATATCCAGCTGTGAATAGCCTTCACCCTAAGCATATTCCATTCCACACCTATAGTAAAGACACGCACACTTAAATGTTATATGCCCTCTTCACTTTCAGTTAGCCAATCGTAAATGGAATAGCGAATATTTTTAAAGAAATACAAAACGTAGAATGGTTTAGGATGTACTTGTATTCAGTCCTCTTCTGTATTCAATATATCCAAAATGAAAGAAGGACGAAATGGGAAATTGAAGTTATCAACAAGAAATGTATGAGGCAAAACTTTTTTTTTGGTATTATTATCTAACCATTTTTGCTTTGTACAGTGCGAAGTTGGTAGACTGTAACTGGTTTTGGCAGTGTGACCAAGTGAAGCTTAGGGAATACATCAAAATCCGCATTAACGTCAAAATCTGTTGTGATTAAGTGTCAGCTAAGTACATCAGTTACAGTTAGTTGTCTGATGATCAATGCGTGCAATTCGTTCACTTCCTTAGTTGGGGGAGGGGGACAGTTTCTACAAGGATAAATGTGTCCAGTAAAGTCGTTTGCATTGTTAAAAGTGACACGAGGTTTCTTCTACATAGTAAATACGCCTTTGTACCAATCGTCAGTAAGTAAATCACATGACAAGAAAGTTCAAAATCCAAGTCAATAAAAAATGATCAATACAACAGATGTAAATCGACTACCAGTCACGAAGATGGTTGCTAGGAGACACAATTCTATCATTCATGGGGGATTTAAATCAGTTTATTTTGTGCTAGAACTTGCTCTGAAGATGTTGTCCAGAAGGACGACGAAAGCTCCGCAATTAAACCAACCAGCTGAGAGAACACAACTAATTGCAAATCGTCAGTAAGCACATCACGTAGGTCAAGCGGAGGGTGTGTTTGTTTATTTCTAACAGTAATTCTTCGGTTTTGTTCTATAAGACTGGGCATGAATTTGATAGGTGAGCTGACAACAGGAGTATGGAAATTAATTTCAGTAAGAATTTTTGAAACCCTACATGGAAATCTAAACCAAGCTGGAATAACATTTCCATTCAAACCCGCGAAATTGTCGGTTAAATGGTCCTGTGGAGCTCATTAGACTGAATCATTCATTTTATCTAATCCCCTGCAATGATTGTGAGGTCAACTATATAGTCCGAATCGGTAGGATGGCGTAAATTAGATTAGCGCATCAAGATCTGCGTTAGTTGACCCAAATAAGATAAGAAATATAGAAAACAGCTTAGTTATGACAATGCATTAAACTGCACGCAACCATACAATGGGATCTAATGTAACAGGATGAGGGGGGGGAGAGACTGATAACAGAAGCTTTACTTGTGGAATTGACCGAGAATACATGTATAGGAGCGATCCAATATCTGTCCCAAATATCTGGAAAAATCCACTATCACAACGACAAATGGGAAGGAAGAAAGAGAACTATGGGGTTCTGAAGTTGTGTAATCATAACTGATGTGGTTATGAACAACGAATAAATTGCTTTCGAAACGCGTTGTTATCCAGTAAATAATACTGTTTCACTCTGTGCGTGATATATCTAATAAACAAATTAATATGAAATTAAATACTACCACACACTCAATGATTTTACACATCATATATTAGAGTTGTCATACATATATTTTGTTTATTTGATGTGAAGTATCGTACCACTGCTTTCTAATTTTCCTATCCTCATTTTTCAGATGATTTATTAAACTGCTTATGTGACATACTGGCATACATTATTTCTTTTTATCAGGGAATAATATCGCTGACCTAGAATTTGCGGATAATATAATTTTTCTAGGTGAAGACGCTGACAAAATGCAATCTTCTGAACACCTCCAACCGCATTTTTCGAATGTCTGGCATACGATTAGCTCCTGCTGTCAAATGTGTAAGATGATGCTACAGGACTCGGCTGGACTATATTGACTCCTGGCTTAAAGATAGGCAGGAGTGAAGTAGTACTGCATGTTGACCACTACATTTATTTGTCAGGTTGCATCAGACAGCCCCAACGGGTTGATTTCTGAGGAAATCTCAACATGGACAGGGAAGGCTCGTTTAGCATTTGCCAACCTAAGCCATCTCCGGCTTAGTAGACGTGATTCTCGGCTGACCGTCGACCAAAGGACGTTTGTACTGCTAAGCAGCAGTTCGCTCCGTCCTCCTTTATGAATGGCTGTGAGGCATGGTCACTGAGAATGGAAGATATGCAAGGGTTGGCTAACTGTCTTTGATCATAGGTGTCTACGTTCTTTCTCCCTTGTTGGGTGGTATAATAGAGTGAGGAATATTGAGGTCAGGCGTCGAATGCTAGAAAAGGAGGGGAAATCAGTTGATGGGAATGTGAAGTCATATCGATTAAGATGGTTGGGACATGTGTTACGTATGCCTAGTCAACGATCGTCTTTCTCGATGACAGGCGATGCTGGCTGACAGGATTCCGTTGGAAAAGACTTAGCTAGTGGTGGTCAAACGAAAACACGGCTCCATTAGTCAATGAAGTCCACAAAAGTTAGATCACGTCAGCCACCTAGGGAGGTGAAGGCTTCTCTCTGGTTGGGGTCCTCGGAATGATGTTAAGAACCAATGACGTCTGGAGATTATTGGTGGTGATATGGCTCGAAATCGTCCTTGTCAGTGGCCGGTGGAGATGTATTTGTGATTTCTCATATCCAATGGAACTCTATTATTCTTCCATATTACTATTCTTCTTCCTTCACACTCCTATTTATTATCTCTCTTTTGAATTTCTCTTTACTTTGTTCCCTTGCTTTGTGTGGTACATGGACATATGTGCAAAGTTCTTCATTGAAAGCAGTCGGTCAGATATACTGTTTACCAGTAGTCTTCAGTCGCCGATACGCTTCCATTCATTTGATTCAGTTAATTTTCTTCGCAACTATAGACAATGAGCTTCCAAGTGTATACATAACTTTTAAATTTAAGGTACCTATTTAACATGAGTTGTATAAAAATCTGCTTCACTTAGGATAAAGAACAAGATCCTGATCTTCAACACAAATGTCAAATCATCAATGATGGCTTCTACATGATGCTGAGACTTGGTGCATTTCCAACAGGCTATCGCAGACTTTCATCAACACGTGTCTTCACTTGATACTGAAGGTCAGTCAGATGGCCGGTTGGCCAGAAAGGATAACCAGCAAACAACTCTGACAGCGAACCAACCAATCAAGAATCTGTCTTCCTACAAATATGCAGAGTTGGATGTGGATCTGAGGGTAAAATTTAAGAGACTGTGTAAGGAGGTGAGGCGAGCTTATGGGCGATTGTAGAAACCAGCTATAAACGGCATCAGATGACAAGACGAAATGCAGATGTGCTATTAAATCTCTGTGTTCCAATCGCAATAAAATATGTATATTGAAAAAGGTGTAATCTATGATTACTGGTGTGATTTCTGTGGCTAAAAGTGGACTTTTTTAATCACTGTCTATAAGGTACATCTAATCAGTACACGAAGATGTTATTTAAATCACATGGCTCATAAAAAATCGTGATGGCTATATTGACGTATTCTTTGTATAGATGCTTTTCACTTATATCCCACCTTTTTTTAATCTTGCTTTGTTACCCTATGCTGTGAAAATCTGTCGAAATTTGAAGTAATACATTACTGTGTATGTTTGCCTGCCTGCAGAGGTTTCATTTCTGACTGCGATTATTGAAGCTTTTCATGTTTATAATATGATAATATTTATTGATTATAGAAGATAATAACATGTATATTCTATTAATAAAAAATGCCTTACCGGACAATGAAGGACCCTGGATAACTTTATAACTAAATTTCCAGAAAAGCTTGGGTATTTCGGTTGAAATTTATGTAGATTTTCTGGGTGGGTAAGCTGTAAGGCAACTGAAAAATGCCACTTCATCCATCTCTAATCATTTTGTTTTATTGATTGTTCAAAATATCTGCATACAATTCGTGTTTCAGACAACAGCTCGCTAGTTCACTGGTTGTCTTCATGTTTATTTTCGCACTCTGTCGTCAGAAACCTTTCATCTGCGTTTTTGATTTTATTATTATTACTTTAGGCTAATTATGCTTTGGGTCGCGGTTTAGTCACTGAATATGGCGTCACATCAGTCCTGGCAGAAACTGGTGAACTGTTAGCTGCACTGATGTTGGGCATTGGACCGGCGACAAAAGCAAAACACTGCAGTCGTACTGCAGCTAAATTAGCTATACGCCGTTTACTCGGATTAGTCTATGCCTTTATTCAGTCAGTTGAGGTGAGTAGTGCATTTATTTTGTGCATCTTTTAATTCACTTTCGTTCGTTGATACAGCCAAGCTTTAGTATAAAGGGTCAGTTGCATCAATACAATTGTTTCACTCTTAACTGGAAAGCGATTCACAATTTGCTCAGTTCAGGGTGAGATTTTATCACGGTGTTCTTTGGAAATTAAACTTGTTCAGATCACGTAATATGTGTGATCTGCTTGATACTATGAATAGTAATCAAGATTGCAAGCATGAACGCATGACACTATATGCCGCTGATTGATTCACATGAGGAGTTGTACATCACTCACTAGCTTGATCGGAGTGCACACACACACACCGGATGGTCGTTTCGCTCATTTGGAGTTGAGCTTATCTATCGGTGGTGTATCTGTTTTAACTCAGTTCAGCCGAATTGAGCGAAACGACTACATAGTACTTAGATCACTTCGACGATCTGGCTATCAAGTACTACTGGTCGGTGTCAGTGGCACCGATCTACTCATCTCAGTCAATCAGTAGTATATTCTGTCATGCATCTGTCATATTTGTTTGGTTTTAGCTTTTTAGTGTACTCATAGTGATGCTGTTATCTATTCAGTGAATCTCAGAGTCTAATTTCTGAAATGCTACAGTAAACTCTACTGAAGTATATATGTTACGAGCCTCAGGTAAATGTAACACAGGTTCCATGGTTTTTAAGATAGTATTAAGTATTTTGAGTAATACAGGGAGATTTCGACTACATCCTTGTCGAAAAAAATATCAGATGATAGTTATGTAAAGGCTTACGAAAATACTCTTTACCTCTGGCTTATCACTTCCAGAAAGTAGTGTTTGGATCTGAGTGCCTTGGTAGTTCACAGGTGGGATGCTCGTCAACCACGTACATGGTCAGAGTTCGATTCCCGGTCCACACTCTACCGAATCCCACTTAGAAGGTGGCCAGTGTAGCCCTGTGAAGAGGAAAAGTTAGGTGTTATTCTAGCAATGCCACCGCATACAAGAATCACTATCGCTACTGAAACTTCAAAGATTAGGGATTGAAGAACTAGGCTTCAGTCGAAACACAACCGAGTGAGAATAAATATATTGCCGTAGATCTTCAAAAAATGCCAGTAAGTGACAAACTTGACAAGCTTACCGTAATGATTCAGTCTGTAGCTGTATGTATATTCAATCAGATGTCACTTTGCATCACTGAATAAGTAGTTCATATTGTCCCGGTTTGATCAATCGAAGGACGAAAGCTGGTGTTTCCCGTAATTAGCTAGAAGATATGTTATCGCATCAACTTTTCAATTTCAGTAGGAATGATTTCATGCATACCTTATCCACAGTAATCCTTTGTCGCAATTCTCAACTTCAAGATGCTAGATCATGTCTTGGTTTTCTAAAATAGTCCATATATATGTATGTATGTATTCTTTTGAGATTATTATAAATTTTTTAATTTTAAATGTATATAGGATGAAATGTTTGGTTCTCGCACTCAGCATCCGAACTGGAAACCTCATGGTTGTACATATCGAGGTTGGGATATGCCATTGCTTGTTAAAGTTGAAACTGTTAAACAAGGCCAGTCGTCTCTTTCAACTAATAATCCTTCGATTTGTTTAAATCAAACTGGGAATAAATTGTCTTCTAGTAATACTAATCTATTAGGCGATTCTTATCAGTATTCAGATCTTAGCGATGAACCAATATTACTATTAGCGCATTCAAATGAACCGCTTAGTTCAATCAGAGACAGAGCTTATCTTGCCTCAAGTGCATATTTGTTCGCCTTTCAATCTCAGTCGAACTATCGACAAGACAATAATTTATCTCCATCGTGGACAGCAGCTACACTATCACTTGAAAAAGCACCAGAACCAAAAGTCTCCTCACTGTCTTCATCTTCAAAAGAACCGGTTGTGAGGACTATGCTTTCAAACGACATGTCAATTCAACGTAATGAAATTAAATCAGCTGGTAGAGAGAAATCATCACAGCTACTGGACACTGTTTTAAATCGAATGCCTATTGGTGAACTTGGATTTCAGGTAACGTCTACGTTTTATAACTGTTTTCCTGAGTCAAATCTCATGAGTTATATCGATTCTTGGATATATATGAATATATTCCATGTCTTGTTAATTTCGCTTCACATTGCCAAAATCGCATTGATAACGGAACACACTGAGACCGGAATATGAATATTCTCCATATCTCTGGTATCGATGTCGCATCTTTCCCTGTCGCACGTATCAGGTGTATATTCGTTGAACAAAGGAGACTCAGTGATCGACCTCTCATCCCTCCCTCGCATATCTAACTTTATGACTGTGTAGGACTGTAGCTCTACGCCACCGTATTGTGTGATTGTGTGTGTGTGTGCGTGTGTTATTGCATGCATTGGAATACTTGAGTTTAAATCTATCCTATTCATTTCCTAGAGTTGATCATTTTACACAGTAGAGTGGAACAGAAGTACAGTTCAAAAATGTAATATAGCTAGGTGGGGGGGAGAGGTTGATCACTGACTCTTTGTTCATCAGATCTACACACCTAACACCTGCAATAGGAATGACAAAACGCCAATACAAGAGATACGGAAAATATTAGTATCAATAAAAAGGAAGAACAGGAAATAGTGGAAGGTATATAAACAAAGTTGGGAAGTTATGTGGGTGCCTTGAATATGATTACGTGCTGGGAATAAATTGTGCTCAAAATGTCATCAGTGCATAGATAATACTGTATCACTGTGGTTTTCACCATATAAAATTATTCTACTGATGGAATTACTCTCTACGACAATGCTTAGATTCTATTCTTATATATATATATATATATATATATTGTTTCCTTTAGTTCCTAGCGAAACATAGGGCTTCAGCCGCACGTCTCCATTGCGTTCGGCTCTCTGCCAAGGTTTTAACCTGGCACCATCTCTGCCCATATGCTTTCATCCCTCTTCCATGTCACCCTCAGACGGTCAACTCATCGCTTCCCATTCGGGTCCCACTTGAGCAATGGCTTGACGTGTGATGTCACTTGATGGTTTGTCTTCTCAGAGTATGGCCAATCCACCTCCATTTCTTCCTGCATATTTGTTGCACAATCGGTTCCTGCTGGGTTGGTTCGCTGCCAGAGATCCCACCCTTTTGCTGATCTTTTCTGGCTGGCCATCTGATTTTGAGCGAAGTAATGAGTGAAGACAGCTGTTGGTGAAGATCTGTAGTTTGTTCAAAGTGCCCTTCGTGACGCGGTGCGGAGCCAATTCTCTGATCCGTATGTTGAGTAGCACTAACTTCAAATTGGAGTTGAAAATCTTATTTTTGATGCTGAGTGCTGTTGACCTCCACACAGACTTGAGAGTAATGAAAGCTTGCCTTGCTTTCCCTATCCTCGCTTTGATATCCTCATCAGTTCCGCCCGCCTGTAGTTGAAACGATACCTCCCAGGTCGCTGGATAAGTGGGTGAAGGAAGTTGCCTTTTTCAGATTTCTCCCATTCATGCTGAATGTTGTCTGTTGTTGTTACCGTGGTTGTTGCTGTTGGCCAGGAATCTTCATCATCACCCCTGTCTTCTCTATGTTCAGCTGAAGTCCTGTCTTCTCTGGATGCTTCTTCTGCCAACTTGTTGCTTTTCACTTGGATATCTTCGAGTTTGTGGGAAATCAGACTTATATCATCGGTGAAATATACGAATTTATTTATTTATATGAATAACTGAGTTATTCAGTATCTTACATTTCGAGGTTAAACAAAATTGCAAAGAAACCTTAATTTATCCACATAACCCTTAGGTAGGAGTTCTCTTTCCTTATTATAAAATTTCTTTTTGTATTTCCCAGTGAATGCAGAAGAAACAAAACGATATTGTTGTTTTTACTGACGTTTCGCTACTTAATGCTGCTAACAGACTTATCAAATTACTATTAGACCAGAATTTACAAAATTTCAGCTTATATAATATAACAACTTAATCATCGTTCATCAGCATCGGTTGTCAAGTTGGCCAAATTGAGATTTTCTAAATTCTGGTTTGATAATACTTTGATAAGTCTGTTAGCAGCGTCGGTGGCACAGTGGTTAGGACTCTCGCCGACCATGCACATGGTCCGGGGTTCGATCCCCTGCCGGCGTACACCCGATATCTATGGTCGGCCTGTAAATTGGGCTACCGATATCCATGCTGAAAATTCCATATTTGTACTGTAAATACGGTGTGGAATCAAGCTGTAATCAAAATAAAAAATAAAATAAAAATAATAAATGGTGAAACGTCAGTGAAAACAACAATATCGTTTTGTTATTCATTCATTGGGAAATACAAAAAGAACTTTTATAGTAATGAATATCCAAGTACCTTATGCCCAAATTTTTCCAAACTGTTAAAAATTCTGTTTCCTGTTAAGTTCAGTAGTTTTATTGCGGGTGGCAGGTATTCACTTGATCTTCGTTGTAATATTACGAAACCTAGTGTTAATTATTCTTATTATTATTCCTCTTCTTCCTTTTCTTAAATCCCTTATCACCTTGTTTGTTTTAATTGAAATTTTATTGTTCATTGTTATTACAAGTTGATCACGGATTGATGTCGGTTAGAGAACCATTGAAAACCAGCAGTGGAGTACTGGACAGCTGTTTAGTCCTCCTAGTCCGGGACTCAATGGCAGTACACACCCACTGAGATTCGAACCCAGGACCTTCCGGTTACAAGGCAAGCTGGCTCGTATACCATTCAGCCGCTAGGGCCCAATTCAGTGGCCAGTCTATGAATTCTAACTATAGAAAATTAATCTGATGGTTGCTAGTGACTTGCTACAGGATGGAGTTTCCTGGAGTCAGTTCTAGTGAGAACTCGTGACCAGTGAGGTCCAACCAGATGTCACGTGTGAAGATGGATATCCCACCGACGACATTGGTTGGGGTCGCGCTAAATCACGATTTGGTAGAAGTTAGAATTCATGGGTTTGCCATTGAATCGGATCCCAGGGGCTGAATGGTATACGAGCTATCTTGCCTTGTAACTGGAAGGTCGTGAATTCTAGCCGTGGTGGTGTATGCGTGCTGCCGAGGATTCCCAAACTAGAATGAAACAGCTGTCCAGTACTCCATTGCTGGTTTTCACTGGTTCTCTAATCGATATCAATCCGTGATCAACTCGTAATAACATAACTAACCCTTACAAATCAAACTATAGAAAAGTTCATTGTTAAATCAAATTTGCAAGTTGGTCATCAGTTTCCAATCTACACAGTTCGAATAGTAAAATTCCACACTGTAGTCTCCTCTGGAAACCAAGTTACTGAGATTACAAAACAAGTAATCTGCTTGATAGCGAAAATGGCAATCAGGAGACTGAGCGTAAACACATGAAACTATACATACTATTACTGGTTGATTGAGGTGAGTAGGTGGATACCAGTCACATCGACCAGTGGTGAGTGGTGCTAGTTAGCCATATCGAAATGATTTAAACCCTAAACGAGTATTTCGCCTGTTCGGCGTTGAGCTCATCAACGATGCATCCGGTTTGACTGGGCTCAAAATGCCGAATCAATTCAAACCACCCAATTTTTGGGTTAGCTACTCGGGTGAGCCCGTGTTTTTAGATCACTTTGATGCTCTGGCTGGCAAGTACTACTGGTTGGTGTGAGTTGTATACGACCGTTCATCTCAATTAATCAGAGGTGTAGGGTTTTATGCATTTAGGCCTTAACTGTTAGTTTATTTGAAAACTGTAATATAAGATCAGCTTATTATGAAAAACAAATAAATAAATGTGTTTGCATTTTCAAACATGCATGTGGATTTTGCGAAAGCACACTACCCCTTCACATTCACAGCCTAAAGTTCTCTGTAAATATCCTTTAAGTATGTCACACTTTGAGTATGCATTCAACAGCGTTGACTGCAAAGTAATTTGGAAACTGCTTCAACACATTTGGCTTGCCTAAGGTCTTTATCAACCTCATTCAGCAGCTGGCTACACGACAATGCCACGTGTCAGGTGATCCACAATGAAAAACACAGCGAGGCATTTGAAGTGAATACTGCCTATTATCACCGATGATATTTCTAGTTGTGGAGGATTGGATTCTCCGTTAGAAAACAGCAATACGTTGGACAGACAAGAAGACTATAGAAAATATGGACTTCGCGGATGGTTTATGTCTGATGTTATACAAATTGGAAGATCTGAAGGCGAAAAGCAACAAACTGGCTGAAGAGGCTGCCAGTGAAGACAGGACTTCAGGTGTACACGGAGAGGATGGAGGTGATAAAGATGACTAACCAACAGCAACAGCAAACATCACCAATCATCATCGACAGGATAAACTTGAAAGAGGTCACTCCCTGCCTTCACTTATTCAGGAAGCATTGTTTCAACCACAGCCAGCTGAATGGATGACGATGTGAAAGCCAACAAGAATCGGAAACGCAAGATATGCCTACACCAATCTGAATCGGTTTGGAAGTCATCTGTACTCCTCAGGATAAACAACAAGATTCAGATTTTCAACACTATTGTTAAGTTATTTCTTTTATACGGGTCAGAAACTTGGCGGGCACGTCACGAGCAGCATTTCCAATAGGTTGCGGTCTTTCATCAACGGCTGCCTTCGGTCTATATTGAAGATCGAGTGGCCAGAAATAGTTAGTAACAAGAAACTAAGGAAACTAACTGACGGGAAACCTATTGCTTAACAAATATGCAGGAGAAAATAAAGATGGATCGGACACATGCAGCGGAGACTGTCGAATGACATTGCGCGCGAGGCCGTCGTTCGAGTGGAACCCGAATGCGAAAGGACGAGTTGGGCATGTGATTCGGAGGATGACATGGAGGAGATCGTGCGAGAAGGAGATCAGAGACGATGGGTAAACTAAAGTGGACCAAAGAGAATACGACAAAGTGGAGATGTTTTCCACAGGAAACCCAAGGGAACATTAATAATAATATCACATTAGAATATATATATATTTGATAAGGTGAGAATGAAGGTAATTGAGTGTCTATTTAGCAAGTATGAAGAGGGTGTGAAAATGTACAAAAGGAACATATGACAGTGATAATAGTGAACTAATTATTAAAGCAAAAGCAAACTAAAAGTAAAATTGAAATTTTTTAGATAAAATTTTTTTACAGGGAACGACAAGTGAAGAAGTTAAGACCATGGTAAAATAAGAGACTGGACAAACTTTCTCTGTATGCACAGTTTGGGGTTGTATTGACGAATTGCCAACGCCTCCACCATACAAAAATACCGAAACTTGACGCCCTTTGTACCATTTGGTCTCATCTTGTAGATGATCTTGAAAGACGACTCTCGTTGAGCTACGTGAACTGAGTTCAGCAAGTTCTGGAGAATTGAGCTAGTAGTTGTCTTGCATTGTCCTTTTGCTAACCATGCCGGATAATGTTCAGAGATGCGTTTGGAAAGTGTGAGCGATTTGTGCGGCCAATATAACTAGCTCCACAAAAGGAGGTGAATTTATAAACACATATTGAAGTGGCCCAAAGCTGCATTTCATCCTTCACACATCCATTGATCATTTGTCGGCCGTAGAACTCTGTATACAGAAAAAGTTTGTCCAGTCTCTTATTCTACCTTGGTCTTAACCTCTTCACTAGTTGTTCCCTGTAAAAAAATCTTAATTTTTCTTAAATTTTCAATTCTACTTTTAGTTTACTTTTACTTTAGTAATTTATTCACTATTATCACTCTTATATATATACATATATTCTATTTTGATTTTATATCTTCTGTTTAACTTTCTACAGGTTGGTCGTCATTTAATTGTTCGATTTTATGCAGAGTCGAACAGTCGTTCACGTAGTCGGATTAGCAATACAAGTGTTGTCTCTTCTGTAGCCACACCACCACAAGGAATGTCAAATAACTCCCTGTACAGCAGTTCATTTTCATTGGCTGGTGCTTATTCGTCTACACTGGAATTAACAAATGAAAGTTTAAATAATCCTACTAATACTGTTTCGAACAGGTATACTTTAGCACACGATGAATCAACTGGACTTTTAAGTTCTTTCAGAAAACGTTTGGAAATCCCGTCTATTGGAAGTAATCTAATGTCTAGAGGTTCCTCAATTCTCAGTTTAAATGCAAAACAATCATTGGCAGATTTATCAGTTGATTTGTCGAATACAAATCAGTCAGTGTCAGCGAATACTTCAAGTGTCAATACTGTTCTGCCGAGTATATGCTTAGGTCAAGATTCAGCAGTTTATGAACTTCTCTTTGAATTAGCTGAATCAGAACTTCTCTGTCTTAATTCACAGTCGGGGAAAAAGCTGCATTCTTCTACAGGAACATCATCTGGGGCATATTTTTCTTCAACATTTAGTTTTATTCATCCTGTACGCTTATTGTTAGCCTGTTTGCCAACATTTAAATCACTTCGTTATGGACGCAATGGTAGTGGAAGTGTGCATTCACAATATAATCTGGTGTGTAATCCATACACACTATTGAATTCATCGCCTTATCGTGTTCTCTACAAACTACAAGTAAGTCTAGTGTTGTTATCTCTTATTTTTTTTGTGATTTTTTTATGCAATATCGTCATTTGTGTTTTCTCGTGAGTGAAGCTTATATCATTTTGACACATACTCTGAAATCAATACTGTGCTCCGACTGCACTTCACACTCCTCAGTAGTCGTCTGAATCAAACATCGAAGGATACAAACAGATCTAAGATGGAACCTCGGAAACTTTCTCTCTCTCAGTGTTGATGATAATGTAGTGCGGTGCAGATTGATAGAAAGCAACCAGAACTCAGATCAAAATTTTAAGTCAATGGCTGCAGAGATAGGGGAGGAGTGTTTTTTCCTCAAGTATGGATTTAGGTTACGTTTTTGACGTGAAATAACCTCATTGGATAGTTTGTTTAACCTTAGATCGAATGCCAACCAATCAGATTTATTTGAGTACGAGACATTTTCATGTAATGTGTGCTAAGGACACGAAATTCAGTAAGAAGATTTATCTCTCTCTCCCTCTCTTTCTTCCTTACTACTTCACAACAAATCCGTACAGTGATTGAACGGTTTATATGTAAATTGCTAGCATGGGTCAGATATTATTGTCAGTTTAATAATAATAATAATTTGCTTTATTCCAGAAACAGTACTAGTGGTACAGTGTGGAATTTTTAGCACATATCTACAATATTTGCATCTAATTTTATCCAACGTTGAAAAAGAGTATTTAACAAACGAAAAAATTAATCTGAAGACACCAACAGCAAAACAAAACAAAAAAAGCAGGATAAACACAAAATAATTATAAATGCGAAAAAGTGCCAAAGTCTAATGCAGTGTTTGTGGTGGTAGTGTGAGTAATCCTGATTATATAAAAAATTTTAAGGTGGTGACTATGGCGTTCACAACCAATGATTGTCAGTTTAATATTGCCGAAAAGTATAGAAAGTAAGAAAAAACAACCACAAAACTAATAATTACATGATGGTTAATGACAATTTTGTAATACTCATAGTGCCAAAAGAGTCGGAACCAGTGGATACACAAAAGAAGGAATATAGTAAAATACAAAAAAGGAGTTCACTAAAGAATACAAAATAAGAGAGAAAATAAAACAGCCTAAAATTATCTTGTTAATAACAAAGCAAGTCATAGGTTTCACGCTTAACATTGTCTCTGTCGCTTAGAACACGGGCCAAGTATGGTATCGTTGAGTTCCTGTACTTGGTTGTATGAGCCTAGATTATTTTATACTGATTTCTGGTTTTACTTGATGAGATACAAGGAGAGAGTTGGGAATAGAGGGGGTGTTGGAGGTCGGAGAGTATGGTTTTAGACCATTTTTCGCATATATTCAGATGCCTATCAACTAAAGTAGTGACGAGCTGACCGAGATTTACACCACTAGTCCTACTGACTACCTTCAACATCCTTCTCAGGATGGTATAGTCCTTTTTCAGTAAACCAGGAAAGACTAACGGGGAGCAGTAAAGTAGAATAGGTAAGATACAAGAGTTGACAAATTGTGAAAGTAGAGGTTGGGTGATTCCAGATTGTCTAAGTTTCTTAATGTAGTAGGTTAGACGGAACACTTTCTTAGAAATCATTAGGATATGAGATGTCCAAGTAAGGTCAGAAGATAGAACTAGACCGAGGTATTTTGCATTAGACTTAGTTTCAATTTTAGTCCCCTCAATGCAACAGGCTTCATGAGTACTTACTAGTGTTTTTAGATCTCGTTTATGACTAAAGGAGAAGTCAGTAGTCTGGCATTTTGAGGGATTCAGCATGAGACCATTTAGTTTGGACCACTGACTGATGTCCGACAGGAAGCTATTTAATTTGAGACAGTCTGACTGAGACTTAATGGGAAACGATACAGACAGGTCATCTGCATATTTGACGAAGTTGATTTCGTCTGAAAGAGGTAAATCATGTCAGAAGAAGGAAAAGGGAAACGGAGAGAGAACAGCACCCTGAGGAACTCCAGCTTCAGTAAGCAAAGGAGAGGAAGATACACCATTATATACTGTGTACTGCATCCTATTAGAGAAGTAAGAGTGTAGCCAGTTGATAGCCCAGGGCTCAGTTTGTGTAAGGCTAAGCTTGTTTAACAACAGGCCTCTAGGTACAGAGTCGAAAGCAGATGTATAGTCAAGGAAAGTACAACGAACAAACTTGGCCCCTTTGTCTAAGGAGGATACAATGTTGTGATGAAACACAGCAGCAGCGTCTAAAGTACTTCTACCCTGTTTGTAAGCAAACTGCTTTTTATCGTTTGAGAAACTTAGGGAGGGAACAAGTTATAGTAACAATAGTTTCTCCATTAGTTTCAAAAAAGGAGAGGTAATAGCGATAGGTCTGAACTTAGCATTATTGGTAATAATAAAGGTGAATCAAAGTGTATGATTTGATAGAGTGAAATATTCCCATATCCCATGAATTAAATGCCAATCTGAACGAAGAATATTCTTTTCAATAAGTTCTTCTCTTCAGGTTCTTACAATTATAAAATATAGTGTTTACTGTCGTAACAATAACAGCCAGTTATGCGGCGGATACATTTTCTTTAACGTAGAATAACAGATTAATTTTCTAAAGTTTGGTTTGTAAGGGTTACTTAAGTTCTTACGAGTTGATCACGGATTGATATCAGTTAGAGAACCATTGAAAACCAGAAGTGGAGTACTGGACAGGTGCTGTTTCATCCTAGTTTGGGAGTCATCGGCAGTATGCACCCACTGGGATTCGAACTCAGGACCTTCCGGTTACAAGGCAAGGTGGCTAGTATACCATTCAGCCACTGGGACCCAGTTCAATGGCCAACCCATGAATTCTAACTTCTACCCATTGGTGATTTAGCGCGAACCCAACCATTGTCGTTGGTGGGACATCCATCCACACACTTGACATCTAATTGGACCTCACTGGTCACGACTTCTCACTAGAACTCCAAGAAACTCCATCCTGTAGCAAGTCACTAGCGAGCATCAGATTAATTTTCTAAAGTTTGTTTTGTAAGGGTTACTTATGTATTTACGAGTTGATCACGGATTCATATCAGTTAGAGAACCATTGAAAAACCAACCAGGGAGTACTGGACAGCCGTTTCGTTCTAGTCTAGGACTCTTCGTGAGTACTTACCTACCGGGGTTCGAACCCAGGGGCTTCCATTTACAAGACCAGTTCGTATACCATTCAGTTACTGCGACCCGATCCAGTGACCAGTCCCTGAATTCTAACTTCTGCCAATTCATGACATAGTGTGACCACTTCGCAGTGTCTTCTTCGATGAGTTGCTGCCTCACCTTCAACTTGCTGCACCCTACTGGTGGCGGCTTCCCACTAGAACCCCAGGTTAACTGCCTGAATAGGGCCAATCGCAAGTGGGCATTAGCTTATATAAGACAACTTAATTAACATCCTTCAGCATGGCGTATTTTTACATTTTCAAGTTGGCCATTTAGTAAAGATAACGAAACCAGGTGTAGATTGTTGGATTTGATAAGTGCGTAAAATTATAAAAACAGCATGTTTTTGTATAGTGAAATCGCTTATCGCATTCACATCTTTTCAAGCATACTCACGCTTCAAAATATGGTTAAGATACTTTGGTGAGATTTATACAATGCATTCTTGAAGAAGCTGAACAACCTACCTAGCAGAAGGAGACGTGGGTGAACTACCATTTCTAGACAGCCTGGCTAGCTAAGAGGAGGGGAAACGGACATTTTAGTATATCCACATTCAGGAAGAAAACCCACTCCAACGAATATTTAGACTTCGGATCATCACATCCCATCAGTTTAAAGGTATCAGTTGTTTCAAGTCTTCTTAGACGAGCACACTCTCCTAAAAAAGATGAAAAAGAAAAGAAGAAGAAATATAAAACATTGGTGAAACTCTCAAGCAAAACAACTAGCCAAGGGACTTCATCAGCAAAATCAACACAGACATTAAGTATGGCCGAAGCGCATTCCGAAAGCATGGACCTCAACAGCTGTCATTCCATATAGTGCGGAGATATCAGACGATATTAGAAAAGTACTCAGTAAGCTCGACATCAGAGTTTTCTTCACAATATCAGACACGCTGAGAAGCGACCTTGTCCATATAAAAGACCAAATCCCCAAATATTCTCTATCTAATTCTGTCTATAAAATAAAATGCTTGCAATGTGATGCGATATACATCGGATAAACATCGCCAGAGAAAAATCAAAGTCAGAAGAAATGAACACCGTAGGGTATCTATTCGACCACCGAGAAGTAAATCCTGTTGAACTGGAAAAGCTTGAAAAATCATCAGCCATAGGTCTACGCACTATAGAATCAGGCCACAAAATTGATTTTGACAATATTGAAATCATCATCCAGAAAGATTACAGAAATCACAAAGAACGTCTCAGATCATCAGAAGCACTTCATGTGATCAAGTGGAATCCAAACTGTCTGAATAGGAGTGATGGACTAAAACAGAATTTGACTTGGTTACAACACCCCACCCTCCCCCATGAAATGACAAAATCAACACGAATGTGACAAGTAATTTCATTATGTAAACACACGCTGTTTTTATAATTTTACACACTTATCAAATCCAACAATCTACACCTGGTTTTGTTATCTTTACCAGTTAGCCAACTTGAGAACAACATAAAAATTACCGCATGCTAAAGGATGATTAACTTGTAAATTCTGGTTTAGTAATACGTTAAACAGCGAAACATCAGTAAAAACAACAATATCGTTTTATTTTCCATTCATTCGGGTAGACGAAACTTTTATAATAATGAATTACACAGAGATCATCATAAGATAAATCGGGAAAATGAAACTGGCACTGAAGAAATGGTAGCAAAAGAGGCTGGATAAAATATTTCTGGACACAAAGTCCCTTATAGATGGCTTCACCTTCGCTTGTGTGAAGAAGTAAGCATCATTCTCTTAACTGCCTCGATCTTTTTATGCATTCAAATAAATTACTCTGAACTAGGTGTCTGCTGATACTGCTCGACTAGGAGTTCTAATGCACTTTAGAAATGATATGTTGACTGGCCATCTGACACCTCTATTAGCAGGTGTTCATGAACGTGTCTAGGACATATCGTGCTGATATGACCTGCGCATTTAACTCCACGGGAGCATGTGAACTGATTAATTATAGTGAATAAAGTTACCGATAGTGGGATGTTGTCTTTAACTTTTTGGTGGATAATAGCATGTCTAGAGAAGGTGAGGTGTAGAGACATACCATCCCAATGAGAATTTCTCTGTTTTATAAATTAATATAACTTTTACTATTTATTTTCAGCTGCTTAGTTCCGCACTAATTCCCGTGGATTCAACTCCATGGTGGGAAACATCTCCAGGATGTTTATTGTCACCACCGTCTGTAACTTACTTCATTAACTATCCTTTTCAATCTAAAATTATCTCACGAACTTATAAACCTATGGAACCGATTTCAATGGGAAGTAATATAAGATCAGGTGGAACAGTCAGAAGATCTTCTCAAACGCGTTTATCACCAGTTGTAGTAAATGAGGACGAGTGCAAGTCTGATTGGTTTTTGTCTGTTGATGCAATAAATGTCAGCTCTCAAATGACCAATTCCACTTCAGCACCATCTTCACCGGTACTTTCATCACGTCGGAGTTTAAAAGTATTTTCATCACTTGCACGTGCAAATGATGTGTTCTCATTGAAAGGCAAATCACAAAAACACGGTATGATTTTTTAAATATTTCACCTTTGTTCATTTCTATACTATAAATTTACTTTATTTATTGTGTTGACAATAAAATTAATCGAATAGGATGGGAAATTAATAAGGAGTTTGTGTACATCACAGCACTAGTTATGTCAGATTAAAAATTATCTTAGTTTGAAGTTAGTGTAACAACAGAAGACAAGGGCCAGGCAACAGATCGTTTATTAAGGAAAATCAACACATATTTATAGATTTTCATGTACATTATTGTAGATTGTTGTTAGTAGGAAATGCAGTCTTTTGATTGGTTGTTTCTCACAGAAAGTTAACCTTGCATCTCTTTGTGGCTGTGTCAGATCATCCATATGCTAACTGTATCCGCCTACGCAAAGCCTTTGTTCTCATTTTCTCACCACCATTGACGTCAATTACTGTCTACCAACTTTGGCTAGCAGCCAGCTCTCACCGCAATACTACTGAAGCAATGTAAAAATCAACTGATATGCTAAATACGACCGTTCACCCGTGGTACCCCTGACGTTTTCAGTGAGCTACGTAAATATCAAACAACAACGACTGGTTTCTGTGACTGTTAGGATACAACAATTTTTATTAGGAAAGACACGTCAAATTTATGTATATTTTTTAAACCACATTAAAATCTGATGCTCACTGGTGACTTGGAGGGATAGTCAGTCCCTTAAGACAACCATCCGCTTCGGTCTGGGTATCTCAGTGGTAATCCAGTCCTTTCACATATACACAAATAGGTCTTGTGTGGTGCATTTCGGCTTTTAATAATAATAATGATAATGGTGTTCAACTGTTGGTTCCCGGGGATTTGATCTGTTTGGTCACAGGATTTCATCATGATCTAACATCGATTAGAGAACCACTTGGAAAACCAGCTGGGAGTACTAGATGGCTGTTTCATCACCTAGTTTGGGAATCTCCAGCAGTACTCAACCACTGCCAGGTTTTGGACCCGGAGCCTCCCAGTTACAAGGCAAGCTCGTAGGCTACCATTCAGATACTGGGACCGAATCCACTAGCCAGCCGATGAATTCCAACTTCTGCCAATTTACGCACGATATAGCGCAACTGGCAATAGCCAATGTCATCGGTGATGAGTATTTTTTTCCTTACACCCTTTCTGCTGTATCACACTGGTCACGGCCTCCCGATCACTTGAAACCCACACTCGAATATCAATCTGATGTTCACTAGTGCTAGAGACTGGCCCTATTTAGGTACGTAGTTACCCCTGGGTTCTTCTAGTGGGATGTCATGATCAGTAGGGTACAGCAGGTAGGGTGTGAGGGTAAATACTCATCACCGACGACATTGGCTAGTGCCAGTTACGCTACACATCGTGCGTAAACTGGCAGAATTTGAAATTCATGGGCTGATCAGTGGCTGAATAATTAGTTGCCTACAAGCTCACCTTGTAACCAGAAGGCCCTGGATTGGAAGGTTTGCGGTGGGTGGGTACTACTGAGAAGCCTCAGACTAGTCTGACGAAACAGATGGCTGTGCAGTGCCCCCTGGCTGCTTTTCCAATGGTTCTCTAACCTATATCAGCTCATGATGAATTCCTGTAAATGGCAATAGTGTCTTTAATGTTTATTATAAGAATTGTGGGGAGCTAGTATATTAAAGTCCTCATGCTATTTAGATGTTTGTTACATTTTGAAGTAATAATTGGTTTTTGCGAGCATTGCTGTGTGAGCATTGGGAAGCTGCTGTCTTAACAGAAAGAGATGAACTAACCGACATAAAGCGGGACATTAACGTCCTTATTTACTTCTAAAAGTTTTACTACTTATTTTCAGAAAAAGTAATATGTTTTATTTCAATATAGTTTTACTCTGAAGTATATATATGATGATGAGTGGAACGAAGGAATTACAGTAGAATGTAATTCCATATTATACAATATCCACTGTCTGAATATTGCTAACTATGTCCCTTCAAATCAAAGATAATTCATGAAAATAACACAGCTGTCACAAACCGAAGCACAGTTGGCAGACCATCGTATTTTCAAACTTCCAATGCACTTCCAACATGGAATTGTTTTCAAATATCTTCGTAGACATATCGCGGTAAAATCCATGGTGGAGGAAATCGCTAGACTCTATTTAAGGTAAGAAAGGCACAGGGCTACTAAGAAAAGGACCAATGCAAATGTGAATTCAGATTAATAGTAGACACTAAAGATTATGAAATTATAATTGAAATAACCAACAAGTCAAGCTCGTCTGGATCCAAAGATACTCAAATTAAGAAGCTCAGCAGGTTAACACATAGGAAAACCATTTGATGAAAAAGGACGACTTTTCTGACAAGATACCATGAACAATAAAAAGAGCACGGTTTATGCTTAACTCTCGACGACAGCATTACAGTTACATAAAGAACGAAAGTGCTTGTGAAAAAATTAAGCTGATAAGGTGGGGAGGGTAAGGGGGGAAATTAACAATAAACTAGGGAAATAAGACAACTACTTAGCGCGTGCGAGTACAATGCGCTCTAACAGTCAGGGGACTTCAGCCTTTTAGGACGCTAAATCTAGCTCCTATGGCGTGTTAGAGATACGTGTAGAACGCGTTTAAATACGTTAAAATAGGAATAATTAATCTCTGAATTCTTGTTCATTAAATGTACAACCATGTACTACGATAGGAATAACATAGGACACTATGGAAAACAGTGTTATAAAGTGAAGGGATTAGAATTACATGAAGCAAGCCAGAAAGTTGTGTGAATGTATCTCGACATGAGTGGTAGCTACGAATTCTGTCCAAAATATCATGCAGTTGTTAATTTATTGTATCATTACCAAACAGGCCTATTCAACGTGGTTTTGTAAAGATAATCAATAAATCGCGAAGTGCACAGTGGAAATGGGCAATGAATTCATCATATCAATAGCTGTACGTCAGTGGTACAATGGTGGAATGTTCGCCAATCACGTAAATGGTCTGAGTTTGATTCTCCGCCACCGACGCATTTCTGAACCTTGCATAGGAGGTGGTAAGCCCGGTAAAGAGGAAAGGGTGATCGTGGTGTTAGCAACCTTACACCCTTACAACAGCATCACCAGCGTTGAAACTTAATAGTTCCGACTTGAAGCTCTGCGTTCTACTCTACTTTTAACTCTAAGGGGGCGAGAAAAACATAACTGATTGCTTTGAATGTGAAGTTGAGTAATATTCAAAACGATATTTAAGAGAAGAAATTATATATAGACGGTGATTTTCATTCCATATTAGATAAGCTTATTTTAAATATCACATCCTGTGATGCAGTATTAACAACTGGGTGATCCTGTTAAGTTAAATCTGTATAGTTCTGCTTTACGTAGGATCATCAATGAAGCTGGAATTAGGATGGAATTTAAACCAACCAACCAACACTCTCAGAGATAAACTTTGACGGCTTATGGACTGGATAGATCCAATTATGAAAAAAATGTATAATTTACCAACTACCATGTAATGAATTCAAGTTCAATCACATAGGTCAAACTTGTAGATCGGGGTCAACTAGATTATTGGAATTTGGCTATACCTAGAATGATTGACTCTGCTAAGTTAAATAACCTAGTATAAACAGAGCTCAGCTATTGCATTGCTTTCAGTTGCATGTAGTCGCTTAATACGAGGTGGGTGGGACAAGATGAAAGTATTAAAAAGTAATAAAGTTAGGTGGAGAGAGAGAGAAGTTAATCACCGAATCTTTGCTTATCGATTCAACACCACACATGTACAATTTGAGTAACACGATACCTATACCGGAGATATGGAAAGTGGCAACAAACAACAAGAGGAAGAGGGAGAGAGAGAGAAAAGTATCTACAAGACAAATTATGAAGCGGTGTGACTAAGTTGAACAATAAATTGTGCTCGAAACCTTGTCATCCAGTTGTTATTTCTGCATCACTGTGTGCGATATTTAAAATAAACTTATCTAGTATGGAATTACATTCTAGCACAGTGTCCAAGTTCTACACTTATATTATCAACGATTTCCAACCAAAACGTGATCTTGAGAAAAAATTAATTACAAAGGAACATAGAAAGTGAGAACATCAACAGATTCTAATATCTTTACTTATTCTATTGTTTCTCCATTAACATTGTCTAATTTTTCCTCTTTGTATTTTTTTCTTCCACTTTAAGCTACAAAAGATTTAAGTATGGTTGCTGATGCCCCACTTATTGAATATCTCGAGACATTGGTCCAGGTACTCGAAAGGAATTTAACTCCCTTCTTCACTGAATCGCCGTGTAAAAATGTGAATGCATGTAAAAAGCACACATCTCCATTTCCCTTGATATTTCGTTCACATCACACGCATCGACATTTCGACACAAGTGAAGGTGAATTCCTATTGTCCAATGAATCACATAATACAGCAGTGGATAATGCATATTGGTGGAGACGTGAAATAAGACATTTGTGCCTACAGATGATTGCCTCTTTACTCAATCCAATCACTTTAGGCGATATCAATAATAACGGTAGTAGTAGTAGTAATAATAATACCAGTGAGTTTACAATAGCAGGTAGGTAAGGAGTTGTACATTCCTTTCCTATGATTTATTATACAACACTTTTATCATAGATCATGTTTTCAAAGTCTGACTACTGATTAAAGAATACCCCTTTTGATAACTTCTTCATCACGTTCTGCAGTTATATACATCCATAATAATGAAAGAATTATAGTTTCCGGTTTCGCCCCTACCCCTGCTTTCAACAACGCTCGTTTGAAGGTGTGGGATTGATGAACGAGAGTTGTACGGTCTGCCCCCGAGTTGTCAAGGTGGAAGAGGTCGTGGTGGACCACGAGGTCAAAGAGGATATGTATCTTCACAACCTACTGAGTATCCGTCATTTCAACGTAACCCATCAACAGATCGGTCACGTGTTGGTGATGTTCCAGGGGTGTCGAAGAAGCCTGCATGGAGCGCGCATGTACCTCGTGAACGTGGTGACATTCCATCGTCATTCATAAGGGTTTTATTAGTAGCATGGAACGTCAGTGGCATAGCTATGTAAAGTGTATCATAGTCATTAAAATGGAGTCAAAATCTCTCTACCTCATTATTAAAATCTTACGTTCTTCAATTCTCAAACTAAATCTATCTACGTGCACCGGGAAGCGGCTGAAGGGACTATGCAACGTTACGATTAATTATGAGTCAAAACATGTAAAGTCTGCAACCATAGGTTATAGCTGTCACACAGAGCTAGACGATACAATCTATAGTTGTTCGAATGAATCAGACTAATAATCCGTGATTTCATGGACTAGTGACAACTCTTCGTCTTAATACCCTTTGACTTCTTTTTACGAAGTTTTACTTAGTACGATAGATGGTGAGTATGTATGCGTAAGGAGTATAGATTCCACCGCAGGTGAGCTTTTTTGATTACATTTTTCTCCAGTAGTAAATTAAAATAGTTCAGACGTTGTCTATCAACACACTGACCTTTGACAGGCACTGGAACATTGGGATTGCACTCATAAGGGTGCAGTTTAGCAGAAGTCAGCGTACCCTTTGTTTTATCCAGGATGAGATTTTGTCGGATTCCAAACTACTTTCCACTAAGGTGGGGTGACTAATCCACTTAACCATTTGGCTCCTTATAGCCAGATGAGTTGTCTGTGAAAACCAGTACTACAGCAGCTGTTGACATTCAGGTGGTAAACAAGATGTTTTAATAATAACACTAGTGATAGTATAAAGCCTATTAAGTAGCTGAAATCTCCAGAGGTGCTGTAGCCGTCACAGTAACCTTTGCTAGTCATAAAGAGGGTTGTCCAAATGGTACTTCTGCGCCGTATACTCTACCTGTAATATCTCCCTTGTGTCCTTAGTGAAACAGTTTCGTAACAGTTAGTGAATCTTTTGTGTCTACTATGTAAAGGTGATATTTTCGAGCCTTGAATTAGTTGTGTTCCCTGAGCTTCTGGATGATTTAACTGCGAAGCTTTTGTCATCCTACTGGACAACATGTTCGGCGCAGGTTTTATTATGAAACAAACTCATTTAAATTCCCCATGAATGATGTAAGTGTTTCTCCTGGCAAACACTGTAGTGGCTGGTTGTTAATTTACGTCTCTATTGATCATTTCTATTGATTATTTGTAGTGTCAAGCCATACTATGATGTCTATTTGTATATTTTATATTCAAGCACATAATTCATATAAGCGTAGTGCAACACCAGAACTGGTAGCTGTATTACCAGCCGATGCATTGGTGTATCAGATGTCCCCTTCATTGGCAATGAGTTTACTGAACACCTTGTTAGAAACTGCTTTAGTCAGTGCTGGTATCGATACAGAATTACTGGATCATACGCATGCAAAGCAAGCATCTAATTTGTCGTTAGCTTCGCTGCATTCTATGCACAGATCAAATATGTTCTTATCGCATGTGGACAGTAGATCGGGTGTTGCCGGTATCATTGAAACAATCTCCTACTTCGGAAGACAAGTTCTGTTTCAAGATGTTGAAGTGAGTAGTGATCATATGATGTATATTGTTATTATTGTTGTTGAACTTACCGTTGTTTTCGTTTTGGAAACATTTCCTACCATACGAATTTAAAACAAGCAGCATAGGTTAATTCATCGAATTTCGGTAGAACTCTTCATCTAAATACTTCCTTTAAGGCGATATATATATATATGTATGAAACTATCAGGACACCCATTTTTAGATAAAATATCCTTCAGAGGCATTAATTTAATACTCAATTGTATTTTCAGGACGAATTCTGCGTGCTCTGTTGAGCAGTGTTTTGACCAAGTTCTTTTTATATTGGATTTGTAACAGAACTTTTAAAATGTATGTACTGTCTCGTCCATGAAGACGTTCTAGTTATAGATCTTTCGGTTGTGCTACCAATCCTTTCTACTAGAGGGACATCAAGGAGTTAAATGATGTCATTTTCCTCGTGTTCTGTTGTGAAGTTAAGATTCGCATGGTATGAGCTGAATTCTACCAATAAGTTCTCCACTTTTGATTTGCTTTCACAGACAGTAAAAGTCGTTGACCCCAGGAATCGACTTCGTGGGTAACCAGGTTAATATCTCACCATAAATTAGTATGCCATTGCTTATTACATTGATTGACTGATGTTTTGTTTAAAAACGAACTCTGTGCAAAGATATTAAAATTGTTTCTCTAGATATACTTTATAATGACTTTGGTCTGTAACCAGCTGAGCTGATGAGAAGCCAACGAAGTTAACAATGATGATATCACGTTATTCTGCACAAAAACACTGTTGTCATTCTTGCTTTATTCATTTCCATACTTTCCAATGTGTTTGATATCACTTCGCTGTTTTTTTTTGTTTCTTTTTTCTTCTCATCGTCTATTTTAGATTAGTGTACAATGCATTCGATTGTACTTTCAGTGTATAATAGCCTATCCATGTGTATTTGTTAATGTTTTACTGAAATCAGTTAATCTGGAAAGCAAATTTATTCAACTTCTTGTCTACTCTCCATCTGAAAGGTAATCTAATATACTTATACTTAATATAATAACGTGATATCCTGTATCAAAACTTAATCCAGCGTATTACCAGTTAGTCGCCGAGTAGCTAGCCGCAGGAATTCAGCTGATTTGAATGGACTCATTTGGCTCTTTGAGTTGACTCTGTTAAAACTGCACTGAACTGAATGAGAACCGTAGTCACTTTGTTATATCTGCGCCTGCTGATTATTTTTGTGACGGTAATGACTGTAATGAATTTGACTGGTACGCTTATATGCCTATTCGCCTGTGGTACCTTCCGACTGACTGAGCCATACAATATCAAAAGAAAAGGGTGGCCTGTGACTGTATATTGTAATCACATTTATTAGGAAAACAACACATGGTATTTATACATTTTCTTTATAACAATAAAGACGGCTAACAGCGTTTGAAATAGCTGATCGTATAATCAATCACATTATGCGCGAGAAATGATGATATACCACCTTATGCGGGGTCATGTCAAGTCACACAGGATACATGGTTGATAAGCATAGCCGGAAGCGGGAGAATAAACCCGCCTATTGTTCAGATCACTCAGATAGCAGGCACTACTGGTTGATGCGAAAGAAATCCAACTACTCATATCAGTTAGTCAGTAGTATATAATAGTGTATGTGTGTTTTCTATTAATTACTATTCACCTTATTTGACACTTTACCACTAAGTTATTCTGATCAGCTTTCATGAGTAAGTGAAATTATGAGAACTACAATTATCCTGTGTTGTAGGATTTCCATTTCTACTTCAGGTATTTAACTCAGTGTAAATTTATAGATATGTTAGTTTACTCAATCTTTTCCGTGTATTGTTAATAAAGTTATCGAAGTATAAAGCGGCCAACAGTCAGATTGGATATAAGATGGATTAGTTTTATTATTCCCTTCAGTTTCAAGTGGAACTCAGAGCTTCAACAGCGCTCCTCCATTGGCTCCACGTTGTTTGGTAAGCTCTCATCACCTCCATTTCAAACTGTCGTTTCCCATTTGGGTTCCACTCAAGCGGTGGCCTGGTACGTGTTGTCACTCAGTCGCCCCCTCAGTGTGTGGCTGATGCATCACATTCGTTGGGTGAAAGGTTCTTGGCGAATTCGTTGCTAAAGTTGTTTGTCGCTCAAGATTTACTAGATGAGGTTAACGTACAGTTTGTTGGTTCAATTTTTATGGAGTTACATCAGACTAGCTAAGATTTAAAGGCTTAAACAGTCTTCATTACTTTGAAATAGCCTTCATCAAAGTAGTGAATACATCATTCACAAGCGAGATTTACAGGGGATAGTTGTGATTTGAACCGATCAAGTGGGGGTGGGGGAAGTCTCTGACTTCAAAGCTAAATTGTGCAGATCTAGATTTATCCATTACCTTACTAGGCAATGAAAGCTTCACAAATAGACAATCCAGCTAAAAGGAAACAACTACCTGAAAATCACCCACCTGAACTACAAATCTTCTCCATCATAGCCGGAATTTATTCGTTTTCTGACACTGCCAGTTGACATTCACGTTAGGTGACTTCGAACATGTAACCGGAAGAGCAGAGTGCTCTAAAGTGTACAACCGTTACGGTTCCTTTGACTGATTTCTCACAATGCACACCCGATCAAACGTATTCCAACCAACACTTAGTTCTACACAACCACATTGTTCATCTGGTGAAACCTATTTATGTACGCCTTTTTCTTCCAATAATCACAAAAATCAGGTAAATTATAATAATGCTCAAGAGTTACGTTTTGGGGGCTTGATTTGTTTGAAGTTTGACCACGGATTGAACCACCGAAAACCAGGGATTGCTGAACACCTGTTTCGTTCTAGTTTGGAACTCACTCTTGAGAATTAATCTGATGCTCCCTAGTGACTGGCTACAAGATGAAATTGTCTGGAGTTCTTCTGAGATGTCGTGACCAGTGAGGTCCACCCGATCGGAATTGAGGACAAATACTCGTCCCGCATGACACTGTCTAGTGGTTGCGCTGAAATCCCGAATTTCAAAGAGTTAGAATTCATGGGCTGGCTGTCATTCAGTCAGGTTTCAGTAGCTGAATGGTCTACGATCTCACTTTATAACCGGAAGATCCTGGGGTTAAACTCTTGTGGTGGGTTCGTACGTCCGATGAGTCCCGAGTACTAGGATGAAACAGCTATCCAGTAATCCCTGATTTTCAATGGTTTTCTAACTGTTATCAATTGTAATAACAATAAAGGTGATAGTAACATTAACAATAGTGACTATGAGTACATCCTACATACTTTAGTGTCCGTAATTATGGTTCCTTGAATATATCATATATATATTGATTGGGTACTAGTGAACCGGTTTCATGTGCCTAGTCCTTTGTTTGGTGCAGACTGAATTCTATCAGTAAAGATTGCAATGTGGCAACCATGTTAGGTGGCTTGTCACCACCAAAAGCTCAATGGTAACGTCTCTGACTGCAGCACTGGGTAACGCGGGTTCAAATCTCAAAAGGGAAAGGGGTTCCTTCAAGTTTGCATATACGCCTTGCTGAATAGTGAGTGCCAGCAAGCAGGAATTCTGTATCCAAGGCTTCTTGCCGATTGCCTCCAACCATCTAATATCAATAATTCATGGTGCACTGTGATGTCGAGCCACCTAGCATAGTGGACACATTGTAAACTTGACTGATGGAATTCAGGCTGCACCAAACAAAAGGTTAGATACATGACACCAGTTGATTAGTATCCAATAAAAGTATGTATATATGACGACTTTTCAAAGTAATATTAATTTATATACAAATGATGTTTATTCTCTGGTTTTTTCGCTTTACTTCAGGGTGAGGAATGAAATGGCTAGACAACTGGAACAGTTATGTATTCTCGTGTCGCCCTACCTGTACACTGGTGCTGCATGCTTTCCTGTGAAATCAACTTCAAATTCAACGCAGTGCTCACTGCACAGTTATATCCGTAATCCAGAAATACTGAATCTGCTCCTCAAAACTATACTGCATTCGCCTTTGCCATTTTTCGATGTAAAATTCGACTTGATGACATCACCGACTGCAAGTATTTTGATTAGTCAGTGTGCAGAATATTTTCGTGTCCGCGGCTTTTTGCTTGGTCAAACACCAGCTCAAATTTTGAAGAGAAATTTCAACACTGATCATATAACAATTCTTCAGGTATGTATATTCTGGTAGATGTTACTGTTGCTTGCTTTTCTTGTGTAGTCCCACCAAAACTTCTTTTTGAAACTCCATGTTTGAAAAGATAATATTTGACTCTTCAAAAGTTTGATTTGTCTCAGTTTTGATTATGGATTGTTGTCATTTGGAGAATCACTGAAGACCAGGCCGATTGTGACGGCCCCGATTGTCCGGATAGTCTACGAGCTCGCCTTATGACTAGAAGGTCCTAGGTTCGATTCCCGGTGGGTACGCGCTGTCGAGGAGTCCAGAAGTAAGGACGAAGTGGCTGTCCGGTAGTCCCTTATTTACAATAGTTCTCTAACTGGCGAAGTTCAAAAGTAGCGTCCCAGGAGTACGAACGCTCCAATGACCTTGAACGCATGCTAGTCGTTGGCTAACGGCACCTGTCACTATATTAGCTGAAATATCAACGTTTTTCACCACTTAAACAACAAATGTCATCCAGATCACGTTTTTAAGTACTGTTTCGACAATGTGTTAATAGCTCGTTAGGGTTAAGGTAAGTATTGGGTTAGGGTTAGGATCAGGGTCATAATTAGGATTAGGGTTAGGTTTACGGTTAGGGTTAGTGTTAGGGTCAGGATTCCGATTAGGGTGACGACTAGGGATAGATTTAGACTTGATGTCATTTATTTTAACTTGTTTTCTTATCCACATTTTCCTGGTAAGTAGTCGTTGATCCTCTTACTGGAAACCATAGTAATTCACCCGGGGGCTTTAGAGAAGACTGAACAACATGATAAGAGAGATGAACGATCCACAAAAGCAGCTCATTTCTGTCACCTCCGTGAATACATGTACAGAAACTAATCTAACTTAAATACTGATACTCAATATAACTAGGAAGTATTTCTAAATCATGTCAGAGAAATATAACCTGTTTAATGTGTTTTCATGCATTTTCTTGAAAATAAACGTAATTTTTTGTGCAAAAGTCACTTATTTTTTGGTTTCAGTTCTCGTCACATGTAGCACAAACTCTGTTCCAATCAACTATGTGGTTGGTGTACCATGCATGTGCGGCTATAGACGAATTCGATTTCTAAATTGTTGTAAGCTTGCGTTCCTGTGGGATGATCTTTAGTTAGACGTTTATGTTCATTCACTCTTATTTTGAGTGATGATCTGGACGTTTCACCCACATGTTTAGTCGGTTACTCGGTACAAGATATTTTGTGAATTACATTATTTTTATCCATTATTTTTATTGGATCTTTCAGTTGATTTATTTTATTTTTAATTAGGTTCGTCGGTTTAAACGTCGTGTGAATCCCAACATTTTTGAGGTTTCTTCGAATTACTTCTGATGTACCATTTTTGTACGGTATCGTGACTGTTTGTTTGCCTTCTTCCGTCTTGTCATTCTCCAGTTTAACCCTCTTTCTTCTCTTTTTTATATTGTCTCCGATAAATTCTTCTGGGTAGTTGTTGTCGAGTAACATTTTGAATAACACGTTTATTACTTTTCGTTGGTCATCTGGTGTTATTGTAAGTCCACGTATTCTACCTGCAAGATCTTGTATTAATCCTCGTTTTACCGTGAGTGGATAAGCTGAGTGATAATCAAGGAATCTTCCAGAGTGTGTAGTTTTTCTATATAGCATCGTTTTTATGCTACTATCTGTTACTCTTTGTATTTTGCAGTCTAACATAGGCAGTTCCCCAATTTCATTCTCTATTTCCATAGTGAATTTTATTCACTCGACATGACTGTTCATGTGTGAGAAGAATTTCTCAACATCGTTTCTTTCTTCTCATTATTACTAACGTGTCGTCTACATATCTCCACCAACATCTGATTGATGACCTGAATGGTTTAAGTGCATTCTTTTCCCAAAAATCCAAGAATATGTCAGTTATTATTGGAGAGATGGACGACCTCATGGATACTCCTTCATTTTGTTGGTATATTTTTCTTTCAAATGTAAAATCTGTTGTTGTTAGACAGAATTCCACCTCTTTTTATTATTTCTTGTACGGATAACTGTGTTCTGTCTTTTAGGCCATTATCTTCTTTCAGTTTCTCTTTCAGTGCATTCATGGCCATTTGAATGGGTATTTCCGTATTGAGACTGTTTACATCAAAGCTGACTAGTATTTCCTCTTGCTCTTTTTTAGTGGTTTTATTCGTGTCACTAGTTCAAATGAATCTACTATTCTGGCTTTTGAGTTGTCTCTTGTTGGTCTTAGTATGGTCTTAGTTGATAGAAATCTTGACAACAAATACGTTGGTGTGTTTCTAAAGTCTACAATCGGTCTTATCTGATATCCTTCTTTGTTATGCAAGTTTATCTTACCATATATCCTAGGTGTATTACATGATTTTGGCATAATTTTAAACCATTTCCTCTGTCTAACCACCTTTGCTGTTTCTTTCGTTGTTTTGTTTGTGATCGTTTCTAGTGATTTGATCTTTAGGGTATAGTCAACTTTCGAAGCATTGTTTGACCATGCAGTTATAGGATGCATGCATGCCAACGGAGACAGAAGAGTTTCTTTCTATCTAAGTCGCTTACTCCTGTTAACTGAAAACATTTTATGTTTACTTTCTCAAATAAACAAAACAACAACATGTGATTTTATCTTTATTTATGCATTTTAGAATGATATATCATGGTTTAGAAATATGATGGATTTCGATAGAAATTTGGACGCGTATAAACTTGCTCTTTCCGACTGTCTGTTGGCTGGTCACCTGAATTCAATTCGACTAATCTGTGCACAGGCTGTGGCTTGTGTCAGTAGTCATTTTCTGTGCACATTCAATAGTGGATCAGGTGCACTGACCACGACAACAAAAACAACATCAACAACCGCACCAACATCAACAACAAAATGTCTGAAAAAGCAAGCGACCCTGATAGATCAGCCAGCTTCTGGACTGAACAGTTTCAACTATTCACGAAAGGAATTCAACGCCGACAGCAGTCAGTTATTACCACCGGTACAATTGTTAGAAGCATTGGCGAAAACCGATTTGTCAATAGTTAATGAAAGTGACAATGGCCTGCATCAGTTGACTGTAAACAATGAATTCACAGATACTGTGATACCTATTCATTCTAGTGTAGCCATGAAAATAGCTACTCAAGCTTTATATTTATCAAGAGATTTCATATGCTATCTTGTAGTGGAATGCTTGTTCCCTGCGGCTAGATATCTACTGTCTGATCAAACAGCGAAAGAATTGTCAGTATTGTTAAATGCATCAAAGTTGACATCACACAGGTGTTCTAAACGAGAACGTCTTCGGCGTACACTGTCTGTATTGTTTAGACATTGTAATCTGCCACAGTTGGATGTATTTAAAAGTGCTCAGCCTTTAACAAAGAAAACCGCGTTGGCCTTTTTAAGTTTTGTCTGCCGTATAGACTGTCAAAGTTTAGAGAAGGTATGCTGTCTAACTTAAATGTGTTACTCCTCATTACATTAGTAATGTTTTTATTGTTGTTACTCCCGTTTCTGTGTCTTAGCCATTTTGTAATAACAACGAATGAGTGTCGATTGTCTGACTAAAGCAATATACAGTTATTTTCAAGTACGGGCTTACAGGTATCTGATTGATTTCACTTCATTTAGAGAACTCCTGGAAACCAGGGACTTCCGGACAGCTGTTTCGTCCCAACTGGGTACTCTTTAGCAGCACGCATGCATGCGTTCGCCAGTGATTGAACCCAGGACCTTCAGGTTGCAAGACGGGCTCATAGATCATTCAGCCACTGGAGGGGAGTCGAATAGTCCATCAATTCTGACTTCTGCCAGTTCGTGATACAGTGCAACGGCCTTCAGATGGTTCTTTAAATGAAATCAGTTTTTGAACAGGACCATTATTCAAAACGGCAGGAGAGCTTCAAAATATGTATAAAGAATATTTTAAAGTTAGGAGTTGGAAAAAAAGAAGATGGGATAAAGTGAATTAAGGCAGATTTCATAACAAATAATTGTGCAAGTGAGAAGAAAGCCTTTAGGCCATAGTAGTGAAAGTGATTAGAGTAACCATTTCTGTAATATACAGTTCCAGGCTTTTCTTGTGAACAGAAAATGAACCTGCAGATCATTGGAATAAATTGTCCTCATCTTATACAGCACGAAGTGCTCAACAACTGAGTTTTTGTTTTGTTGAATTTCTCCTCTGCACAACCATTTCGGGTGGATATTCATGTTCATGTGTAGACAATATTCTACTGGTACTACTGATGTTCTGATTGCCACAGTAGCAAGTCAGTTGATATGTGCATATGGATGCTACCAACACCCAAAGATACGAGGCCACGAAGTTGGTGCCCTAAAATAAAACTAATTGAAATACAATCACTATCTTTTCTTTAATTACACTCTCCATGCCTCTGGATATGATTCATCAGATTAAGGGTACAGTCTGCAGCCAACAGGCCAAGGGTTCAAGTCTTGTTTCACCTAATTGAACTGGAACAAATGGGCAGTGTGGTTAGCCCCCACGTGATAAATGTGATTCAGCCTGGAACATGAAAAAACCGTACTGGGCTAACTGAGACCAAAAAGAAACAAATCAAAGAATGCATTCATGTTACTTTGTATTCATTAATTCAGTTTAATATTATTTTATTTTCATTTTTTTTCAATATCTTTGATTACAGCTTGATGTCACACCGTATTTTCAGTACAAGTATGGAATTTTCAGCATGGATATCGGTAGCCCAAATTTTGCAGGCCGACCATAGATATCGGGTGTGCGTCGGCAGGGATTCGAACCCCGGACCATGTGCATGGTCGGCGAGAGTTCTAACCCCTGTGCCACCGACGCACTATATATATACATATATATGTATATATTAAGGAAATGTTTTCGCTGTGATTAGAAAAATGCCACCTGAATAAATGTATTTCAGTATATGCTTTGTATATGCTCTTTTAACTAATTAACATGGAAACTTAATTACTTGAAACCTGACAATTATAACCAGGTGTAACTTAAAAATATATAGCTGATTTGAATAAAGAAAGAACAAAAATATTTGCAGGATAATACGAGCTCGTTTGCCTTAGTGGATTCTCTTCAACTGTGTGCATCCTAGACAAAATCAATTATAAGTTCCAGCTCTACATACTACATCCTAACATAAAAAGATGAAATGCTGGGACGACTGAAAACTCCAACTGTACGGAAGAAACCTGAACTGGTCAATACTTGAATAATCATAGATTATGCCCAATCGGCTACAAACGGAGTCTGATGAAAATACTCTTCAGCACAGCTAGGGCATTTTGTTCAGAAAATAAGATTGAAGAGGAACTAGCAGTCATCGAAAAGAACTTTATCGAAAATGGACACTCTCGAAAGTTCATATCAACACATGGGAAGGAAAAACGACCTAGACGAGAACCCAAAATAGTTAAAAAGAAACCAGTTTGTATCTGTTTTACGTAAAAAGATGAAGGAGTATCCACAAAAGGGAAATCAGAATTTAAGCTGGCGTTGAAAAGAACATTTCCCGCTGCCACACTTATTCCGCTTGATAACACAGTATGCCGGTTAACCCAGTCAGAAGTAGATAAGCATCGTGCTCTGCATGTCAGCTCCAATTGCATTTACTAATTCACCTGGACTTGAGGCAGAAAGTACATAGGAAGGACTGGGGGGAGAGTGTCTACTAGATTTTCCGAGCATATGACCAAAACTCTCCGTGTGAAGAAGGGCAGCAGAATGTTCTCAAGTACAGTTGTAACAACAGAAGACAAGGGCCAGGCAACAGATTGTTTATTCAGGAAATCAACACATTTATACATTTTCATGTACATTATTATAGATTATTGTTAGCAGAAAAACACAGTCTTCTGATTGGTTGTTTCTCACTGAAAGTTAATCTTTCATCTCTATGTGGCTGTTTCTTGAATGTCAGATCATCTATATGCTAACTGTATCCGCCTACGCAAAGTCTGATATGGTTGGTTATTGAACCAGTCTTTGTTCATATTTTTCTCACGACCAATATTGAGGAAATAAACATTGACGTAAATTACCATCTATCAATTTGGCTAGCAGCTAGCTCTCACCACACAGTTACCAGACACTTACCTGATTGACACGGAACATACAGTGAGAATTAGTCAGACTTTCAAATACCTAAATACCCGTAATTTAAATCGACACCACTTCGACGCATGTAAAAGCAGAGCGTTCATGGTGCAGCAGGTCGCTTCTAAGAGAGAGGATGCAACTTTGAAGCCTGAAGCCTGAATATGTGACTATGAAGCCGTCCTAACAAATACCTCATAAGAAAATTTCTCCACTTCATAATGTAGTGTCAGATACCTAAATTACATATTGCTTATGTCATTATATGAGTATAGTAACGCTACAGTGAGCTAGCCGCCTCACATAATAATGCCACGAGCTGTATTTCATCACTATGCATAAGATCACTCTAGTTTAAATCGTTTCGAAATGAATACTTTGAATTTGCATTACATACAATCTAGGATTAATGATGCAGCACTTGGTGAGATGACCGAACATGTACTACTCAAATGTGAGTTTATCTTGATTCGTTCGGCAGTATTTTTGATTACCTGACTTCCGTTCATAATCAGTTAGATAAAATTGATGTTCGAAAGTGAAGGAGAGCCCTCGATGAACTGGATTTCAAATGATAATTTTTGGATTTTCAATCATTCAGCCTATTAAACACAAACATGACTTCAATCCCAGTTTTCTTGCCTTCTTAGGATCAGTAGTCTTGAAATTAGTTAACTGTAATTATCTACAGTGCCCAATGTTCCCTGTTTTTTTCGCATCTTTAGACCGCCTAGCAAAAATTGAACGTCCAACAGTGGTATGGAGACCTTGTAAGAATGAGTGAAAGCCAATGAGCAACCGTGGAGCTCGCTAAGGTAGACTGCAGAGAACAGGGTTACATGGAGATGTGGTGGTGAGGTCCAATGTTCAAATTGTTCGTTCTAAATAAACTGATTAGTAATATTTGTCAATTACTAGAATTTTATTGGGATCTTATAGGCTTTTCTACTTTTCATAGTCTATCTCACTTTCTGTTTGTTTTTTCTCTTTCTTCCCTAGCTGGTTAACTTACTTATTCTTTTGCATCATTCGCATAAACCTGATCAAAATGGCACAGGTGCTGGTGTATTGTCGATTTCACTTCGTACATCTGAGACAACATTTGATCCTGGCGCATATCAACAAGTTACAGATGAGCTATCAAGTAAACAGCACCACAAAACAGAAAATCTGGTCGGTAAAGTGAGTTTATTAACAGGCATTTTAAAATATCATAAAGTTCTATGATGCGAATGAAATAATGTTTGACTTTCACTGGTGTGAAGTGGTTCAAATTGTCAGTAATGTGTTTTTTTCTTCATAACTGGACAGAATAAACTGACCGACTGACTGACTAACTGAGATTCAATGTACAACTTTATGTAGAAATTCACCAGTTCTAATTTCGACACTCCATGTTAGAGAAAAGAAAACAAATCAAAAGAACTATAAACAGCAGACATATATGAGAGCAAGAATTATTAGTATATGCAGAATAATGACGACTTAATCGATGTGAGAGGTGATGAAGAGAGAAGGTATCTGCACCGGTGAGCCATATCACCAGCAGTTTCAAGCCAGTGGTTCTTAGCGTCTCGAGGACGCTAACCAGGCGCTAACCACACCTCTCCACATGACTGACCTAAACCAGCATTCAAGGACCTCATAGACAAATTCCAGGTTTTGGTGTGTTCAATTCTAACTGTTTTCTAACCTGATCTAATGTCATCTAATATTGCTCTACGAGAAAGGCAATAAGTAGTCTGAGGGTATATTTCAAATTAATGCTCTCTGAGAGATAGCTTTCAATCTGGTTCTACTCTTTTACAAGGCTCTGGCAAGCGTTTTTGTATAGGTGCATCTTGTCAGAAAGTTTCCAGGGAATGCTAAAGAAAACTCTCGGCATCCTTGTGTGAGTTGTAACCATTGGTTACCAAACACGCTGATCAATATATTTTTCAAATACTTCCTTTTAGTGGTTGGTAGATGGTTATTAGACAATCAGTTCTATGTTTCTATAACTGCATACATTCCATAATGAAAAGAGACTTGTACTGGTATTTTATGAGGCTCGGGAAAGCAAGGTAAGCTTTCATTACTCTCAAGTCTGTGTGGAAATCAACAGCACTCAGCATGAAAAATAAGATCCGGATTTTCAACTCCAATGTGAAGTCAGTGCTACTTACTATACGTACGGATCGGAGACTTGGCCAGCGCGTCACGAAGGGCACTTTGAACAAACTACAGATCTTCACCAACAGCTGTCTTCGCTCAACACTTCGCTCAAGATCAGATGGCCAGCCAGAAAAGATCAGCAACAGGATGGGATCTGTGGCAATGAACGAACCAACCCAACAGGAACCAATTGTGCAACAAATATGCAGGAAGAAATGGAGGTGGACTGAATTGTGGCCATACTCTGAGAAAACAAACCATCAAGTGAGTGAAATCACACGCCAAGTCATCGCTGGAGTGGAACCCGAACGGGAAGTGGCTAGTTAGTTGGTCGTCAGTGCGAGGGTGACATGGAGTAGGAGGTGGTGTGAAGAGGAGATGCAGCCGGGTGAAAGCATTGGCATAGAACCGAAAGCAATGGAGACGTGCGGCTGAAACCCTATGTTCCTCTAGGAACTAAACTAAATAATAAATATAATAATATACTCGTGTTTTAAGCTTGAAGGAAGTAATCACCTTCAAATTTTCGCACGTTTAAGTGTTTCCTTCCTCATGAAACCTAAACTTTATATAACGTCTAAAAACTTTTCTCATTTGGGTTCGTTACAATATGACTATAAGGAGCAGAGGGTTGAACTTCTCCAGTTTTCATATCATTTCCATTAATGTTTATAATAATTGTGTAACAGTGATATCTGACAATTGAAAATTAATCTAGTGACGGACTACAGGACGAAGTTGCCTGAAGTTCCAGTGAGAAGCTGTGACCAGTGAAGTCCTCCAAGTTGAGCGCGAGGAAGATTACTCACCGATGACACTGGCGATGACCGTTGGTCACGCTAAATTCCCTCCCAGTGACTGCTCCTTAACTTGAATGTCCAAGGTCCGATTCCCGAGGAGAGGGTCACTGGGGCGTACTGGCGAAGAGTCCCACACTGGGACAACACAGGTATTCAGTACTCCTCTGGTTTCCAATGGTTCTCCAGCTGATGGCAATCTGTGATCTAAATTGACATCAGTCAAATCCCTGAAAATCAACATTTGAAAACAAATCCAGTGGTTCCAGTTACTTGTTTTTGCCTAGACCTGTCACAGGTTGGTTTATAAAAATTGCATGATTTCCAACCAGTAAGGTAGTTTAGTTGTAGCGACTGAGAAAACTTTACTGTTCCGTCCCTTTTAAGAAAGAGAATTTTGATGAAGTAATTTTCATTTCATTAGATTACCGTCAGATGACCACCACTTAAATGCTTATTTGTAATGGGCATGCAGTTGCACAATGAGAATTAAGCACATCGTAAACCACAGTGTAAATTATGCTAGTGTATTCTGCACTGCTCTGTTTAATCTCGGCAGGTGATGGATGATTTTATTTTCCTGTTGCGCTAATCTATTTCCTCTCTTCTCTGTATGTATATTTTTAAGGCCGGTGTTCACTGGGATGTACAACCAATTGTAGCTGGACGTGCAGAATGTGGATTTGTTGGTCTGCGTAATGGTGGGGCAACGTGTTATATGAATTCTGTCCTGCAACAGCTGTTCATGCAACCAGGTGTAGCTGAAGCCCTGTTGGCTGTTACAGATGCAGACGATACAGATGACAGAAATATTCTCTTCCAGACACAACGTGTTAGTGTTCCATTACCTGAATGATAATTTGTTTTCAGAATAACTTTTATTGTTATGAATGTTATTATTATTATTACTATACAAAGCATTCACTTAGTAATTTGAAGTTGTGACCACCTGCGTCCACCAACTCAGTTAATAGGATAGTTGGCTGAAGATTTCTTTTTATGTAGTGCGACGCAAGAAGTTGAAATGCATGGGCCATCGGGTTGAATTCCAGCCGCTGAATGGTCTACGAGCTCGCCTTGTAAGATCCTGGGTTTGGACCGCAGTGGTTGCGTACTGATGAAGATCCCTAAACTAGGATGAATCAACTATCCCGTCCTGTCGTTTTCCATTGGTTGTCCAACTGATATCAGCCCTTGAACCAAACCTGTAACCAATCCAATCCTTGTAAACAGACACTTGAAAATTGTAAGCTTCTTGCGATTCAATCTATGCAAAAGGATGGCAGAGTTAACTATAGTCCTGAAACAAGTCACATCCCAGTCTCCTCATCGCACAGTATATTGAGACTATAGAACACGGTTTTTACATAAGTGTGTAAATGATTGCATGAGAAGTGAATAGGAATGCAACAGATTGCATAGAAAGGCTAGCAAAATAGACATGACAAACTTTTATCATTGAATATACACATTGGATCATAGGAATTATTAAAAAGACGGTTGTAGCGAAGAAAATTTCCTTTACGACGAAGTCATCAATTAGGCTGTACATTCGTGTACTTATGATAAATGGGTGGGAAAGTTCCAGAATAGTTTCCGGTCAAGGGTCAAATTAATACAATTACAATTACAAATTAAAATGCTATATTAATCAGGGGGACTTTTATCATTAGATAAACTGTTTAGTTAAAGCAAATTCACGATTTGCCGTCTAAATCGCAGAAGATACTGATCAGGACATTAGAAAGAGAATAACAAAGATGAACAAGTTGAGCAAAGATATCTTTTCACCGATTTCACTCTCAAAAGCAGCTGTACAATCCCATTTATATGCGTAAATTTACACGAATACAATTATTACTTAATCCCACATAATAACGAAGAAGATTGAAAGTGATAATAATTTCTACCTTGATAAGATAATTCGATGGTGTGAATATAGATTGTAAGGGGCTCAGAGAAGAAATTACACAGGATTGGAAAATAGTTTTTTTAACGAATATGGGTACGAACAGGATGAGTGTGGAATAGTTGGCTGCCTGTGAGTTAAAAAGCAGCTGTCATCATTTCACTAGACCACTGAATCAGAAGAATTTACAACAGTGACTGTTCAGAAGAAGTGTTCTTATTTCTCAAAAATATCTTGGCTCAAAATGGATACCCTAGCACGTTTCGCGGAGAAGAATATGAAACCGAGGCCGAAAAGCAAAGCAAAGAAAACACTGTATTTGAATCTGGATTTCAAGGGAGACTAAGTGGCAGACAGTCTTGAGAAGAGAATCTCTAATTCCCTAAAGAACACATTTCCTGCACCACCTGTAAGAGTGATATACTTTTGACACCCACTGCTCCTAAGCAGTGTGAGGGACAAACTTCCGCATATGACCGCTCGAATGTGCATATATCATTTCATTTGTTCGTGCGGAGCTAAGTATCGTTCCATGCAGGTCCTTTCGAAACGTGTTAGAGAACATTACCCAGCATGGCTGCACAGAGGAAACACTGCTTCTGTTAGGAGCACCATAACCAAACACCTCGTCAACGCCTGTCACGTCATCTCATTCAGAGTCACTTACAATGTGAACAAAAATCTACCAAAAGCAGTGTGTTCTCCACCTCTTTGACCTGCAGAAGCTCTTGCACCTTATGCATTGAAAAGTTGGAGCTGCGTCTTCAAATTGTCCAATCTCTACAACATTTACCATGGATCTAGTTTGGTTTGGCCCCTTAGTTTTCGTTTTGTGTCTTTTCATGACCTAATTTTTTCCATTTTCAGTTTTAGGAACCATTATTTCGGTTTGTTTCCATGCTCATCCCATTCATACCTGTCTTCACTAAAGAAATGCTTTGCACATGACGCAACTATTTTCTACTCCTGTGTAATTTTGTTGCTAAGTCCCTCGTAATCTATTTTATTCGAACCCTCGAAAATTTATATCAAGTTGAAAATTATCATTACCTTTAATCGCCTCCGTTATTATGTGGAATTAAATAGTAATTGTTTCTGTGTGAAGTGATGTGTATAAAAGCTATTTTACAACCGCTTTTGAGAATGGAATCCTCGAAAATATATCTTTGTTGAACTTCTCGTTCCCTTCTGTCTAATCTGCCGTTTACACCCTTCGAGGTGAAGTCTAAGCGCTATTTCCTTTGGACAGCAAATCTATTTAGATCACATTTTGTGATTTGCTTGATACAGTAACTGGCACTCATGAGCGCCCTACTGGTTGATGTATGAGAGGTATTCAGTTACTCATCTCAATCATCCAGTTGTATTTGGCATTATGGATTTATGCTTTCTTTATTGACTGCCATTTATGTGGTGTCACGCCGATCAGATATTATGATTCGAATAATTTCGGATTTTTCAAGGAAAATGTTGTGGTGGAAGTTCATCTTTTCGAACTGTGGAAATTGAAAATCGCACAAGTAGGTAACCAGAATTCGAGTAATTGGAACTAACTGTGCCAGGTGTATCGCTGATGGGCAGGCCTACGCCCGGTGTTTCGGTCACTTCGGTCTGTCTAGCAAGCACTACTGGTTGATGCGAGTGGTATTCAGCGACTGGTGTCAACCAATCAGTTGTACATAGGGTCTTGCAAGCTGCTTGGATCATACTGTAAACTAACAGGAGGGATTTCAGTTGTACAGCACGCTGCTCGCCACTTTAATGATGATCACTAATTAAAAAATGCTGACGTAAATACTGAACGATTGAGTACACTGTGTGCAACTACTCATCGTCACAAAATGGGTGAAATTGTTCAAAGCTTACATCATTCTCACCACGAATTGAAATGCTCATGAATACCTTTGACCATTTATTTTTAAAGCAGTGGGGTTTTCATTCACTTAAATAAGATTCGGCAGTAAATCACCGGTGTGTGCTTATGATACCTAATTGTCGTCTCACACCTTTTAATCTTCCAGTTATTCGGTCATTTACTCGAATCTCAACTGGAATATTATGATCCTGTTGGATTTTGGAAAAGTTTTCGACCATGGTCAACAAATGTGGAAGTTAATCCCTTCGAACAACAGGATGCATTTGACTTCTTCCAGGCATTAATTGATCAGTTGGACGATGCACTTAAGGTAAGTTTCTGTTGTTTTGCCCAATTTTTAGTTGACAGCATTCAATCACACTGTGTGCATCTTTAAAGTGCTAAATAGTGAATGTGAATGTGTACTGAGAAGATTATAGATAAGATTTTATTTTGATAAAATCACACAGTGTTGTTATGCAGTAATATTAACTGATGACGTTTTGAGCATAAACTATTGCTCATAATCATATCAAGTTACTCACACAACGTTTTGCTTCATTTATATACACGAGTAGAACTGATGATTAGACATTTGAATAAAAATCAACAAAGGATAAAGTCCATTCACAAATAATAATATCAGTGTTATCAATAAAATACAATCAGATGGGAAATAAGACGAGTGTTTTTATAGTCAAAATAAGTAACTTGTTTGAATGTTATAATGTACGTGAATTGAAATAGTGTTTTATGATTATTTATTATCCTCCTCTGATTTGACTGACTGATGGTAATAATATCTCCCATATCTCTGGTATTTGCGGTGAGTTATTTCTGTTGCATGTGTTGGATGTAGACTCGATGAATAAGGATTCCGTAATCAACCTCTCTCTCCACCTACCTATATTACTTCTTCGAATTTTGACTCTGTCCCACCCACTTTATTGTGTGGTTGTGTGTTAATGCATGCAGTGCAATTGCTGAACTTCTTTCTAAATTAATAATCTTCTCGGGGTGAACCATTCTCACCTTAGCTAAATTCTTATGTTCTGACAATCTGACTACCCCCGATCTACTAGTTTGACCTATGTAGTTGACTTAACTCACAGTCATTGTAGGGTATTTTGTAAATTATATTATTTTATTTAATTGGGTCCATCGGGTCCTTTAGCTTACAGAGGTTGTCTCTGAGTGAGTCACATCTGCTGTCTTTAGATTCCAGGGCAAAATATATAAACTGACTGACGGTATACTTTATCTTATATTGATTTTATTCAAATGTCTAGTCAGTTTTTACTCATGTATATAAATGAAGCAAAAAGCTGTATGAGTGACTTGATATGATTATGAGCAGGGATAATTTGTGCTTGAAACGTTGTCATGAGTTAATATTACTGTACAACAATGTGTGATTTATCAAAATAAAATCTTTTCTATAATGGAGTTAAAGCGCCCAATTTTTATACTTATGTCAGTAGTACTGAGAAGAGATTCCTTACTTCATCATTTATGTTATCTAAGTTGGATTTTTAATATATTTGTGCGTTGAAGTTTTAGTAGCAATTTGGTTAAGTTTTGGGGATGGAGTTGCTAGCACCACGCCCCAACCCTCCCTCTTTATCCGGGCTTGGGACCAGCTAGAATACTAATGACCTAGTAATCTAGGCGAGGTCCAGCTGCTTTTCCAGCTTTCAGGAGCTTGATTGCATTCAAGACTTCAGCTTTCGTTGGAGGATTTGTATCAACTTGCAGTTGTGTACGTGCTGTCGTTGATAGACAAGGGTGCCTATTATCACCAATGATATTCCTAATTGTGGTGGACTGGATTATGCGTCAGACAGTGGGAAACGAGAAGACAGAGATATCCTGGACCGACGTGAAGAAACTAGAAGACCTGGATTTCGTGGATGATTTATGTTTGATGTCACACAAAATCGAAGACTTACAAGCGAAAACCGACAAACTGGTCGAAGAAGCAGCAAAGACAGGACTCTAGGTGAACATAGACAAGGCGGAGGTTATGAAAATAACCAACCAACAACAACAACAACAGCAGCAGCAACATCCAGTGCCAATCACCATCAACGGAAGGAATTTGAAAGAAGTTACTTGATTCACTTATCTAGGGAGCATTGTCTCAACTACAGGAGGAACGGACGAGGATGTCAAATCGAGAATCGGAAAGGCGAGAAACACATTCATCGACCTGAAATCAATCTGGAAATCTTCGTCACTCAGCCTGCATCAACAACAAAATTCGGATTTTCAATACAAACGTGAAGTCAGTCAGTTCATCTATACGGGGATCAGAAACTTGGCGGGTCACAAAGAATATTTCAAACAGCCTGTTGCAGACTTTTATCAACAACTGTCTTCGTTCTATACTCAAGATCAGATGGCCGGAAAGAATCGCCACCAAGAAACTATGGGAACAAACAAAACAAGAACCAATCGCCCAACAAATATGCAGGAGAAAGTGGAGATGGATTGGACACTCTCTGAGGAGGCCACTGGGTGACATCGCGCATCAGGCCATCACTCGAGTGGAACCCGAAAGGGAAGCGGCGAGTGGGACGTGCAAGGGTGACATGGAGGAGATCATGTGAAAAGGAGTTGAAACAGTATGGATTAACATGGATGCATGTGAAAAGTACAGCAGAAGACAGAAGCAAGTGGAGACGTGCAGTTGAAGCCCTATGTTCCACTAGGAACCCAAGGGAACAATAATAATAAGTTGGATTTTGGTTTTTCCAATCATTTTGTGAGCGGAATTCATGGGGAAACCTACTGATCGGCAGTATCACCTAATCTGGATTTAAGCCAGCCTTTTGTGTCGTCATTGATGTGATCTAAGTCGGTAAACTGGCTTGAAACGTTCTCAAATTAGACTTGTATATTTTCTTTGCCAACGTGTTTTCCTGAAAGCTGGAACTAAAATCCGATTTAGCTTCACACCTGATGAGTTAGTAACATCTTTTTAGGGTTTTCAGGAAAGCTATCATATAATTGTTCTTTCACAAGTATCTTGGATATAGGGTCATGGAGAAGTCAAGACACTTTCTCCATTGTAGATTTTGGATGAAATTTATGAATTTAACTCTGCATTAGATGTTTGAACCGCTGCTCAGCTTCCCTCGTAAGTTTCATTATCAGTATTTGGTCAATTCACTGTGGGACTTTTAACACATAGAGAAAGTTTTAAACATTTAGTCCCTTGTATGAATTTGGATAGTGTTATTAGAAGACGGAGATTACCTGAAAAATGTGATGTATTTGTGCCATATATTTCGAACAAAAATCTGATCCCTCACACATTTACTTGTCAAGTCAGTTTGTATGAAAAATAAAAACGAATTAATATACACAAAATGACAATAAAAATAATAGTTAACACAACGTTTGGTTATCTTATCAGATAAGGATTACCAAAGTAGGTGGGTTAAGAATAGTAATAAATTGTTTCTGAACATACAGCAGGGAGGACTTAAGTTTACAAATAGCTATCGCCTCAGTGTATTTGAATAAACGCTCTTGACCATTTTTAAAAATAACTTTAAAAGCTGTTTTGGCACTGATCTTGTGGTTCATATCGATTAGATGTTTGGCTATAGACGAAGTTGGTTTTCACATGTGTCTGTCGATTTTCCAAAGTTAATCTGTCTTTCTTTCTCCCTCCCCTTACATGCAAAGCGTGATTACTCCCCCTCTCTATGTATGTATCATCATGCACTCACACGTAAATTGGTCTGTAGTGTGGGGTGTGACATAATCACTAGTGCACTTTTGAGGTTTGCAGGGAAGCATATTTTTGGCTTTTTTTAGTGGTTACAAGCCGGGCTGCAAAATAGGTCCTACGGATGAGCAAGTTTAATTTGTGTCTTTAAGTCCTGCTATGTACTTCGCCATTGTACAGTAATTTAATGATTGCAGGTTTTAAAACTAACTGACTTCTAAAAGGGGTTAAAAATTTTTAAAGGATATCCGTCTTCAACAAGAGTATCCATCAATATTTCATTTGCTTCCTTTATAAAATCAGCTGTACAAATGCGCTGAATCGTCTTGAATAAGCATTTCACCAAGCCTGTCTCATACTGTAGTGGACAAAAACTGTGAAAATTTAAGTATTGCCCTGTCTAAGTAGGCTCTCTGTAAATTGATGGCTTTATCGAGCCATCATCTTGCCGACTCAGAAGTATGTCTAAAAGTGCAAGGTGGTTGAAACTGTCTTCCTCGCATGTCAGACTTATACGAGTTTATCCAATAGACGACTCGCATCTTCATGATCATCGCATATCAAAATAATGTCATCCACATATCTGCTATAGAAAGGCACTTAAGCAATTAAATCAAGGGACAATTTTTCAACATAAGAAATATAAACATCCACTAACAATGGTCCTAATGGACTCCCCATAGCAACACCATCCACTTATCGAAAGTGGTCACCTTCAAATGTGAAATAGACGTTGTCGGTACATAGTAATAGAAATAAATCTTTCAAATAAGTTAAAGGAAAAGGGAATGAAAAACAACTAGATGATGTGTAGTCTTGATCAATGGTACATTAGTAAACAAGGAATTAACATCAAAGGAATACATTTTCATATCTTTTATATGCATGTCTACAAGACACGAAGTTTACATCAATGAATGTTTTTTACTAACTGACAAAGGAAACACCATAAACGTCAACATTAGTCATGAAACTTAAGACAAATGACTTTTGGGTGTATTTTGCTACCTACGGTTGCTAAATGATTCAGTGACTCGGAAGATTCAGCAGGCAGCAGTTTCTTGCAATACTTCATGTATGAGTCCTCTACTCAAATTTATGAAGAGGAATTCGGGTGTGACATTTTGAAAGTGATATCTTACGTTTGAATTAGAGATAACTGATTCACACGTCCACCCCAAATGTATATTATTGCGATAGATGTTTCCTTCACTTCTTTAATTACTGTTTTCGTTTTTATTTACTTCTAGAAAATGAAACGAGAACCATTTTTCCAGGCATTGTATCAAGGCATTTTCCTTGATTCAAAATTCTGCGATGAATGTGATCATCGGTAAGTGAATGATTCAGTCGGTAATGTCAACTGCAAACATGTAAAGTGTTTAATACTGAACGACTTATGAATACTAAAACACCACTATTTTGAAATATTCCCATGAAGATAATTCTAGAGCATAATTAAACATTAATTATAGACATTTGAAGACAATATAGTTAATAGAATTGAAATTAAGTCCACTTGAATGAGTGGACAACAATCGAGGTGAATCGAGCGTTTGTATAGTCTAAGTAGTCGTCGTGAATGCTTTCCGGGTGGAACTGGCTATGGAAGTTTCAGTATCACTGGTGTTGCTTTTATGAGGTACACTTGTTAGCCTCCTGGTCAAGCTTCGATCCTTCCATCGGCTAGTAGACTGCATGGAATCGAACCCAGGCCAACATTCTATCATCAAATCACTGAAGTACCGATAAAAGTGAATTAAAGCCTTAGTACATTTTTGGAATGTGTTAAAAAATAAATTGTCTTAGCAGTGTGTTTTCCATGGAGACCTGTTTTACGTGCCTATCACGTTTGGTTGTGAATTTTTAACTTCTTGTGAACTAACTATGCGCTGTTTCAACACAACGCATAAACACATTTGTGGAAAGGTAAGTTTATTCACCGCGTCAAGACAAATTTGTCTGTCACTTTTGTCTAAAATCACATATCAGCAGGAGTATGGAATTTGTCGACGATATGTGAAGAGGCCAATCGTCTCTGAACATAGGTGTCTGCGTTTTGTCTTCTGTGTCAAGTGTTATAATATGCTGAGTGGTATTGAAATTAAGCCTAGGATTAATTTAATCACACATTCGGAGTAGTTAGTATGTATCTTGAAATAGTAAAGTAAATTATCACAGTTCAACCAGGAGGAAATATATTTTATTCTAAAGTTTGCCAAAACATTTCCACTTTTGTGTGGTGTGAGCTTTTGGTCTTTGGCGGTAGGCAGCATAGATGATTAAGTGAATTAGGAACATTATACCCACATATGAAGGAGAGGTTCAGTGTTAATTTTTGTTACTTATTGTATTTGTTACTCGCAGAACACACCATCGACTAAATTGTTATATTAGATCCTATAAGAAAGACTGGAGGTGAAGTCTAAGTGTTTGTTAGGTGAATTGCAGACAGAACCAGATTCTTGTTTGGGTGTCCTTGGGAATACACACAACGAATTCACCTTTGTTCTTCTTAATATCATTATTGATCCCTTGGGTTCCTTGTGTAGCAGCTTTTCATACTGATTTCAGGTTGATAAACGTTTATCTTGCCTTTCGTATCCTGCTCGTGATATCCTCATCTGTACCGCCTGCAGTTGAAATAATGCTTCCTTAGATAAATGAGAGAAGTAACTTCCTTGAAATTTCTGCCGTTTACAGTGATTGGTGCTTTTTATTGCTGTTTCTGTTGTTGGCGGTCAGGTATCTTCATCACCCATGTTTTCTCCATGTTCACTCGAAATCATGTCTTCGCTGCTTCTTATGTTAATCTGTCGGTATTTTCTCGAAGTTGTGTGAAATTAAATATAAATAGCCGCAAAGTCGAGATCTTCTGGAGTCTCTTTGCAGTCCAACATATGCCTGTCTACTCACACATCACGATCCACGACATGATCCAGTCCAGCACAACCAGTTTTGTTCTGTTCCTGTCTTCATTTCAAACTCTTCTCTGAGTTTTCGTCCCTTAAATCACCTGACTCGTGGTTTCACCATATGTCTGTTGGATGAGACCTTTAAATATTAGGGTGCTGCACTCTGTGGTGTTGCAGTAGTTTCAAAATTATTTCGCAGTCAACGCTGTCGATGTCCTTTCCAGGGTTTATATAGCTGGAGTAGATAGTTGACTGCCATTCTATGCCTCGTTCGATGGAGTTGCGTAGAGATGCAGTCTGATTTCTTTCTCCATATACCATAATGAAAAACACAGCTATTGATAAGAGAAGAAATATTTCTTTTCGACAACTTCATTTTCAAGCCAACTGTACAGTCGTATTTATATTACGGAAAAAGAAGGCATTAAGTGTTACGAGAAATTACTCAGTCAATTTTGCACATATCATAAGAGTAAAGATAATTAAAATGATACACTAAGGAGGGGAGGTAGAGTTGAAGTGGATGAATTACAAAACTTTCAAAGATTATCAAATAAGTGAATTGGTAGCAAGATTTTAAACATAGTAGATCAAGTGTTGTAAAAAAATGAAGAGTACAGTGATGACAACAATAAAGACAAAGAAGATGAAGTGAAGTGTGGAACGAATTCAAATAGTAAATTAGAATAAAATACCAAAATAACCTTACAGTGACTGGGATAAAGAAATTGGTTTAACAAAACGTTTAGGTTTCTGTTCATGTGTGGCTAGAGCTTCGGCTATGAATAAGTGGAGGGAACGTAAGCTTTTAGAGTGGTTGGATTTGGTCCTGTAGATAACCTTAAAGAATAAATCACGTGGGGTTGAATGGTCCTACTCCAGAAGGTGTTCACTTACTGAAGACTTCGTCGCCCTAGACTCACCTTTCATCAGCCGAATCGGATGGTAGTGTTCAGCTACGCGTTTTCGGGGAACACGCTTGCTACATTCAGTGTAATCAGCTTCACACGACCATGTGCATAACGAAGGTGTACATAAGCGGTAGTTTATCATTGACGCATTGTCGAATCATATTTTGGCTGGTAAATACTAAATGTAAGTCAGTTGCATAAAAAGAGCGTTAAATACATTTAGATAATCAACTTTTAATTACTTCAGAAACAGTGTCACTTTTGGACGCCAAACTCATAAACAGTTTCTTCTGTGGCACTGAGAGTCGGTTGAAGACGTTTCCTCTCTTGACGTTCCTGTCGATAAACCTTCTAGGATATCCATTATTTAAGAGGTTAAATGTTTTATTTTGTTTACTTCTGTTGTTTTTTTTACCTCAGTTATGATCGTGAAGAAGTGTTCAGTGCAATTAATTTAGCAGTGAAAGCCAATGATCTATACGAAGCATTAAATCAATTTGTTCGTGGTGAAGTACTTGAAGGCGATAATGCTTATTACTGTGAACGTTGTTGTGTTAAACGTCGAGCAGTAAAACGCCTGTCTATACACACCTTACCGCCTGTGCTGTGTTTACACTTGAAACGTTTTGACTTTGATTGGGATCGTCAAATACCTGTGAAATTTTCACACTACTTCAAATTTCCAAGACAGCTGGATATGAGTCCTTATTTAACCGGTTCTGTACAGGTAATGTGTATTGATCGGTTTATGCTTATTGAATGCATATCGGTATTTTTATTCGGTGAAAAAATTTATACATATATTTCTCTTGATGTGTGTTGGCAAAATTCTCTGAATTGTCTATACCGGATTACTACGTTACCTTTCAAATCATGCTTTCAGTATTGCTCACATTTATTATTTACTAAATTGCAAGACAGAGAGCGTGAGCTAGCAAAGCTGCACTGAAATCACACAACGTCTGGCATAAGAATAAACTCGTGAACTAGTTTTATCCTCCCTAAAAAAGGATATGATAGTGTCCTCTGAGCTGGGTGCAGTCTGCGCTGAAGGCGTTTTCTAGAAGTGAAATGAAAGCTTGACAATTAGACCACCTAGTTAAGAGAAAGAAACCGTTTCAATATTATCCGTCTGAGTTACAAATCCTCTCTATTATTATCTCTATAAATCATAAAATTGTCTATCCTAGCCACTTTAGTTGTGGATGTATAACGTCGTCATATAGGAAACAAATCTGACACCTGCTAAACATCACAGCATGCTATTCAATAATGTCCGTGGGAAATTCCCTTTGGGAAATACAGAAAATCAAAATAAGTGATTCAACAAAGAGACTCTTTTTAACAAAAAATTTATTATTATGCTGTACAATCATATAGATATATGGTTTTTCAGAAATTAGATCGCGTGAAAACATGAAATAATAGCAGTATGGAGGAGGTAAATTTCTCTAAGAAAAAAAATACCAAGGGAAAATAGATTTCTGCCACGTTTTATGGACATGGACATACAGTCAAAACCTGTGGAATGCGAACTAACGTCCCTAGCCAATAAAATGCTGTACACGAACTTCGAATTCAAAGGTGACTTAGCTATCGACCACATAATTAAAAGAAGTATCTCACAGTCCCTTAGAAAAGACATTCCCTGCAGCATTGTTGTGAATGTTGTTTTATAGTCGACGATTACTCCTCAATAACCTGAAGGAGAAGATCCCTCTATTGACCAACTCTATGTGAGTTTATCGATTCATCTGCTTCTATGGAGCTAGGTAAATCGATCTTTAGACTTGAGTTTCGTCCAACAGAGTGCGAGAACACTATCCTATCTGGTTACAAACAGGTGGAAGTGGGGTTATAAGAAGCGCAATCGTTGAACATCTTCTGGTCGATACTTGTCACTCTGTCTCTACAACCTCTTCCTTTAAAGTCGTCTTCAAGGCGAAAAATAACCTGCCCGTATTCATTATGTAACCGACTCATGTGTATTATTGAAGCTTTGGTCATCGAAATAGAAAAGTCAGATCTCTGTGCACAGAAAAAAGTTCACTGAACCCCTTCAATTTCCATGGTCTTAATCCGTCTATGCCAAAGTATGATAGTCCCCATTCATAATTTGGCTCAACTTATTTTTGGTTTTGTTTATTCAGTTTGTATATCCTTCCCTCATTAAATCAGTTGTTATTAGAATTACTCTCACTCTGAACTGTCTCCAGCATTATTATAATTATTATTAGACAAAAAATGTTTCTCCAATGTTAAGTTCTATGTTATCAAATTCCACACCATGTTATGTAACCTTTTATATTTGCCTAGTAATCCTATAATTATATACCCCTTTCAACATTTGTACATTCCGTGGACTATTCTCTCGTAAGCTGGATCTCAGTGGCTGAATGATTTCCGGGATTCACTTGTAACCAGAAGGTCCTGCATTCGAAACCCGGAGGATGTGTGCTTTCGATGAGTCGGAAACTAGGACGATACAGCTGTTTAGTACTCTCTGGTTTTCAGTGATTCTCTAACTGATATCAACCAGTGGTCAAACCTGGGATAGGTTAAATCCCTAAGGAAAAACCTCATGAAAATATCTCTCATCAATCTACCAGCATAAATATTATCAAATCTCCGTGAAATAGTGAGGAAAATTTAAATCAAATCCATTCACCTTCATCACAATTATTCAGACTGTGCTAAATTACTTAGCCGTGTAAAAGGTTTTATTGAAGAGTGAGACCAACGATCAACATTTAAGGTCTTTCTCTTTTCCTTTATGTACTGACCACCAATCCAATCGTTTGTTAGCTATGGATTAATTCGTAAATAGTCTCCATCCATCCAGACACTGTGCGTCGTTGGTCCAGTGGTTAGGACTCTGGCTGACCATGCACATGGTCCGGGGTTCGATCTGCTGCCGACACACACCTGATATCAATGGTCGACCTGCAAAATTTAGGCTACTGATATCACATGCTGAAAATTTCATACATGTATCAAAAATACTGTGTGGAGTCAAGCCATAATAAAATTTTTTTTTAATAATGAAAACAAAATAAGTAGTTCAACCAAGAAGCGCTTTTATGAGAATCTACTTCCTGTACCTGTACAATCGTACCAATGTACCATTTTTCAAGGAAGATGGTACTAGTAAGAAAAGTGATGAGTTGTTATAATCATGGCTGTCAATATTAGTCAGTGCTTAAGAGTAGTTAGGTTGGGATGACAGCTGATTGCAAGCGGAAATTGTAAACAAAAATTTACGTCAATCTTCACTTAGCGAATCAGGGTCATGAGAAAGAAAATAACAAAGCTTAACCTAGAGAAAATCACCAGCCAGTCACAGCAGAGTTAACTTGTGGAAATATGATTCGCAGATGTATGTCTCAAGTTTCTGAGAAACGGCCGCAAAGAGATAACAGAATAACCTTCAGCAAGAAAACAACCAGTCAAAAGGGGTTGCTTCTCCGCTAACAATGATGTACATAAAAATCTAGAAGTACTTCTTGATTTTCTCAATAAGCGATCAGTTGCCTGGCCCTTGTCTTCTGTTGTTACAAATTAAGATAATTAATTTTTACGGATGAGTTGTAATCAAGATACACACAGAAACGAAGGACAATGTTAAGTTACTTAAGAGTTCTAAAGAAATACAAAAGTTATAAGTAGTTAAAAAATAGCAAACAAGCAAGAATAAACTTAGTAGAAATCACTACGGCTGTTACCATGATTGTAGAGGTGGTTGATAATTTTATTTTGTATTTACGTATCTGAATGGCAAGAGCTTCAGTAATGCAAAGGAGACGAAGGCGTATTGCCTTTGACAGGCTGTTCTTCATTCTGTAGACTGTCTTGTAGGAGGCATTTTTTGATATGACTTGACTGGTGTTGATGAGATGTCTGATTACCGCACTCCTTATAAAACCGCTACTACCTTTCTGCAACCATAAGGGATAGGGTTCTTGGACCCTTATGAACAGGATACTCATCGAACGAGCAGCAAACCTGGTTCCACAAGGTCAGGTGAATTGTTATATGTGCACATAGAAGTGGTCGGATGCGAGATTTTGTCTCTAAGGCCTTTGTAGGCCAACGGACGACTGTAGAGCACAACTCTTAGCGTTGCTGCGAAGGATGATCTTCCTCTTCAAATGCAGATTAATATAAAGTTTCTTTCCCGGAACAATTAATGTTTCGTTTATCTAGACTTTTGGTTTGATATTCTTGTCAACAAATCTTGGTGGGTATCCATTTTGGATGAAGATTTCACTTCAGATGTCTAGTTCTGCTTCTAAGACAAGTATAAGTATGACTGGAAGTTACTAAGAATTTGTACAGAATAATTAACTGTTTAGTTTTGCTTCTTACTTCTGTGATCATTTTTTTGATTTTATTTTATTTTTGTTTGTTTGTTTCTACAGAAATTTAGATCAGCTGCATTTTTCTCACCACATTCATCGACATCAGCTTTATTACAACGTGAAGCTAAGGAATCCAGATTTTCCCAAGATCCGCAAAATGTAGGTTTATAGAATGCTCTTCGATTGGATGTCTCTTTACCAGTTAAAGATTTACAGATTTGAGACAAACACGTGTGTGGCTTGGGATTCGATACCAGGTCGACAAACTCCTCAACCTCGCCTAACTGGTAGCGGGCCCGGTCAAGAGGGAAGGTTGGGTGTGAGACTAGTACCCCCACCCCGTAAAAAGGAATACCACCGCTACCACTGAAACTGCAAAGCTCAAGTTTGAAGCCCTGTTTTCCACTCAGAACGCAAAGAAATCAAAAAAGACATTCTCTACCAGTTGACCAGCATTAAATATATGTCTATGATTTGTTCCGGCAGGTTCAACGAATTAAATGACACCGAACAATAAGTCCTTTGTCCCCCAGATTTTAAATTAACTTGCTACATCCCATGTCACAAGATTTTGACGGAAAATGTACATTAGTTATCTACTAATTACAAAACTACACGTATATGACTGAGTGCATGGGGTAGTGGCAATGTGTTTGTCATAGAAATGTAAGGAAACAGATTGTTCTGGCGCAAAAGTGTGCGTTTCCTCATTATGGGCATTGCGGATAAGAACCAAATGCCAGGTCTGATTTCTTCTGTCCTTCATTGTGCTCAACAGAATCTCAATTAGTTTAATAGTTCACTGGCATAACAGCCGCTCTTAATCCCGGAAAAAAAGATGAGTCTCATCTTCCTGGAAATCTTTCTAGACCTCATTCAACAGCTGTATGATGACTTCAAATGCTAAGCGATTCATGGCAAAAAGATCACTGGAGCTGTTAAAAGATAAGGCCTCCTACTGTCACTGGTGGTATTCCCAATCGTGGTGGACTGCATCATGTGGCAGACTGTGGGAAGTGAGAAGACTAGTATGCGTTAGACTGGCGAGAAGACATCAAAAGATCTATAGGCGAAAATCAACAAGTTTTCAGATGGGGCAACTGATACGCGAATCCACGTGAACCGTAGCAGCGATGAAAATATTCAACCAATAACAAAAGAGAACTAGTCACCATCAGCGGGGAGTCTTTTCTTCCTCTTACCCCAACATCATCGTTTGGACTGGAGATCTACATTCAGCACAGTGGGAGAAGATCCGAATTTTCAACACTAATGTCAAGTAGGTGCTTCTGCGTGGTTCAGAGATTAGGCCTATCCGTCACCAAAAGTATTTCCGACAGACTGCCTTTAATGCCACCATACGGAAGATCAGATGACTAGAAAGGAACAAAAACAAGGAACGGCTTTGGCAGCGAGCTGACTAAGGACCTATTACCCCAAATATATGCAGAACGAAATGGAGATGACTGACTGACTGGTTTCAACATAGAACTTTGCAGAGATGTGCAGCGGTTCGAGTCGCCACCCTTCACTCAGCACACAAAGCAACAGAAGAAAGAAAAAATGGGTGCAAAATAGAGACAGTAAACGGAGATCTGAGGCAAAAAGAATAGTAATATCGAAGAACAATATATTTTTATTGGGTATTATAAATCACAAGGAGTGGATGCATTTGCGCCATTGAGAACGATTTTGAACCATATTACCAAATGTCTCCATCCATGGGTTTTTACCGTCTAGAGGACCCCAACCTGGAAGTCTGCATCTTCCTATATGGCCGTCGATTCTTATGACAGTTGTAAGATTGATGACAATGATATAGGAATTAAATCAGAAATTAAGTATCTTGGACTTATTCTCTCTTCTGATCTCTCCTGGTCTTCCCATGTCTCAGCGATCTCCAGTAAAATATTCTGCCTGACATTTTACATTAAGAAGTTAAGGCACTGGGGTATAACTCAACCCCTCCTCTTACAGTTTATAAACTCTTGCATCCTACCTATTCTTCTTTATTGTTCACCCTTATTCTTTCCTGGTTTGCTTAAAAGGGACTTTGTCACAATTCATAGAATGCTGAAGACTGTCAGCAGAGTGAGTGGTGTCCCAGTGGACTACATAGTTAACGTCGTTGTCGATAGGCATTTGACTTCGTGCAGTATATTTGCCAAAGGGATTTTGTCTGACTTGGAGCATCCACTTCACCCTCAGCTTTCACCTTGCATCTCCTCAGGTAGAACGAGAAGTAACTTCAGAAAACTGTATGCTCGCACGTCTAAGTATCAAAATTCTATGATACCATACTTGGCACGTATTTTATGTGATGAAAATAGCGTCAGGCAAGAATTGACTAACCTTTTTTGATCTAGTAAATAAACAATTTCCTCCATCCATCCATCCTTATATACCTTCAAGTTATACTTTTATCATTTCTATTATATTTATGGTCCTGTTGCTTCTTGTTCTCACTTTCATAACTGCAAACACCAACTTATCTCTATGACAGCTGTAATTTTTGTTTTTCCCCTCACCATATCATGTAAAGAGAACATCATATTCAATATTTTTAATCATGCAAGGATTCGTATACCGCATCGACAATACTGTGATACAAGCCGACGGCAATTTTCACTTGTATTATTATTATTATTATTATCATTACCTTAGCTGCTATCATTATTATTATTTCCATTTTATATGCTGCATGTTTTTTTTTATTTTTTATTTATTTATTTTTATATTAACCCTATTGTAAATGTAGAAAAATTTTTCTTTGTGATTAATTTTATTTATAATTTGAGGAAATTAGATGCAATATTGTGATTAATGCTGAAAATTCCATTCTGTATCACAAGTACTGTTTTTGGAATAAAGTAAATTATTATTATTATTAAAAAACTAAATGTTCTGGATTTCGTTGACTGATGCCATCTATTGGTTTGACCACCACTGGCTCTTTTCCAACCTGATCCATCCTATGTCACCTAACATAGCCCATCGAGGAAGGCAAAATGGAGATGGATTAGGCATGCCGTCAGAAGATTGTTCAGTGGCAACACATATTGACAGAGCCCTCGAGTGGAACCAGAATAAGAAAACGATGAGTTGTGGATGTCCGAGAGTCAGGAGGAAATGAAAGTTTGTGGGAAATTGTGCAGCCGGCTGAGAAAGACAGCTGAAGATAGAGTTCCACGAGCAAGAAAAGCAGTAAACTGGTCATTACTTTGTTATTACTATGAGTTTTTGTGTGGTTCTGTGTGAATTCTTTTTTTTATTGAAGATTCACCGCTTTTGATACGCTAGAGAAGTGTGTATTACTCAACGATGTTTTACTTTACAGGATGACAAAATTGATGGTAAAGATTTAACCGATGCAAACGACAACAGAAGCACAAATGAAAATGCAAATACAAAAAGCGTTGTTACATTTTCCAATTCACCATCGTCTTCACCACCATCTTCTCCAAAAGAGACATCTCCTGTAGAAGAACAATGTGACGATGATATTGGAAAAGTCGAAATGAAGTCAAACAGTCTACTGAATAATTCATCCGCGTTAAATGCTCCTTTGTCTTCGTATAAAAAGTCGTCAGACGATGATTCAACGGAAAATATCTACAAGCTTGTCGGTGTTGTCGTTCATTCTGGTCAGGCGAATTCTGGTCATTATTATTCATTCATTAAAGATCGTCGTCGTTGTCAAAAGTAAGTCGTCCGTCTTTATTTTTTGTTGTAGAAAATGAGGGACAAGAGTTACATGACAGTAATAGCAACAAGATACTTCAACAGTAGGCACTCATACTCACACAAGAGGTTTGAACCAGGACTTTCAGGCTAAAAGGTGATCGCGCTAGCCATTCAGCTACTGGTATGGGCTCCCAAAGCCCATCAATTCTAACTCCTGCCAGTTCGCGATGTACAGAGCAGCCGCCAACCAATGTCATCCACAAGTATTCGTTTTTACGTTCGATTTCGCAGGCTACGATGCTCGCGACTTCTCATTGGTGAGATTAGCTGACGGTCACGCTATATATATCAAAATGAGAGAAGTTAGGACTGATAAATTATTGAATTCCAACCTTTTGACTGAACTGTCAATGATCTCTCTTAGTAACTTGAAAGTCCTAGATTCCATCATTGGTGCGTATTACTGAAGAGTTTCGACCTAGAATGTGAAATAAGTGGCCAGCATGTCCAGGTTTTCAATGGTTTTCTAATCGATATCAGTTTGTGACCAAACTTAAGGATGTTTTTTGCTGACGTTTTGCGACAGAAACAGTTGAGAAAATCGCAAAAGGATGATGACTGCTGGTTATAAATGAGAATTTCAATGGCAATAAAATTGACATGTTTGGCCCTAAGATCACTGATTGCCCCTTGTACCAACTACAATACCCATCTAATATATACTAATCGTGCCAACTTACACGAAACCTAGGTCCAAGGTTTTCTGCCGATTGCCTCCAACTATCCGTTATCATCAAATCAGTGTGCACCGTGATGGCCAGCTATCTAGAATGGTGGCCACATTGCAAACCTGACTGATAGAATTCAGTCTTCACCAAAGAAAGGACTAGACACATCATACTAGTTACTACTCTCCAATCATACTAATCTTTGTAACCTAGTCCTTTTATTGACGTCCTGTATAGCTACTTATGCATCTCCACCGCCTGTGAGGTCTTCTCATTCGATGACTAATCAAGTAGATCAACTATATGATAACTGACAACTACATTGAAGATAATCATTCTAATAAAACCAGCTTATTTCAATACAGTTTAAGATTTGTAAGTGCGACTTGATTATATTCCAAACCTCCTTTTTCTTTGCTATTTACTGGGAAAAATTAGAAATAAGACATCTAGAAAAAAGCGAAATAACTGAGCAAAGAATATCCTTTTCGACAGTTTCCTCTTCTGGCTTTACAATTATATATATATATATGTGTGTGTGTGTGTTTATATACATAGAACATTCTAGGTTAGTAGTCAATAATAATATTAGCGTTTTTTAAATAATGTCGATATGTTAAGTCAAACAGGGCTTCCTGTAGCCGATTGCATCCAGCCTTCTGACATGAACAATTCAAAGTGCACTGTGATGGTCAGCCACCTAGGATGGCGGTGATCACACTGCAAACTTGACTGCGAGAATTCAGTTGACAGCGAAAACAAAGGACTAGACACACTTCACTTGTTACTAACTAGTGTTCGATCAAATTATCTAATACTATCCCAATGTAGGTCGATCGAGAGCCCAAATAGCACAGTGATAACGTCTTTGACTGCAGGCAGCAGCATTGGGTGACGCGGGTTCAGACCTCAGAAGGGACATGAGTTATTCCTTTAAGGTTGTAGACACGCCTTGCTGACTGGCAAGTGCCAACTAGCATGAAACCGAGGTCGAAGGTTTCCTGTGGCCGATTGCCTCCAACCATCTAATATCAACAATCAGTATTAGCACCTAGCGGACAAATCATCAATGTTATTACATCATCATCATCACAGCACTTCTTCACATGTCCATCGCTTTCTGATAATATACTCTGTTTCTGAGAGTAAACTGTTCACCTTATTCGTGGATACATATGAATATAGGAAATTTCCTGTTGTTTCCTAAATTCATATTCAGCATTTTGAATAAATGAAAAGGATACCTTAAAATTTGAATTTGTTTGTTTTTCACCCTCTTTTCTTTTGAAAAAAAATGACGATACAATCTAAGATGGCTTTTCGTCCTGTGACTTACTCATCAGCTGATTAGAATGCCTACTTTATCTCCATCTCAATCAGTGATAGTGTTTTCACTGGTAATATGAATTCTGGCAGTATTTCGATGTTGGTGTTGTTTTTTATTGTGTTTGAAACAATTGTTGCTTAACTCCCTTCTCAGTGGGGGATTGACTCCACTGTGTGTGTGTGTGTGTGTGTGTAAAGGTGGGTGGATGGATCTGTCAGACCAGCTTTCAACAAAATCGAACCGATTGGTCAAAGCTTATGCATCGGTCACAACAACTTGTACCTTCAGTCTTTATTTGTTTATTTATTTATGTGTTGTTGTTTTTTCTGTTCCTTAAATATTCCCAGTATTAATATTAGAACAAGACAATATAAGCGAACAATATTGTTGTTTTCAATTAGATCTTCTTCTTCTCCAGGCTTTTGCTAGATTTCTTTCTTGCTAAGCTTCAAAATGGTCCATTGAAACAAGTAATAGATAAAATGGATTCTTATTTTACTTTATGTTGATGATATGTTTATTATTCTTGATGAGAAAGCTGACAAGAGTGAAATGTTAAAAAAATTTAATGATGCACATCCATCGCTCATCTTCACTTGTGAAGAAGGAGAACATGATGGTGCGGACTACACTTCCCTGATGTCCAGTTGAGCAGCAGAACAGAGGATGGTTCACTCAAGAGAGATGTCTACAGAAAACCCAAATCTGTAGGACAATATACACATTTCCTCAGTTTTGTAACAATCCATTACAAAATCAATTTGGTCAGATGCCTCACGAATAGAGTAAGATGTATCTGTATAGATGACTCCCTAGAAAATGAGTTAGGATACTTCCAAAATACGCTAGTCCAATTGGATTATCCGAGTAGATTTGTGAGGAGACACATGAAAACCAGGTTTAATAAAGAGAAACTGACAACACAGTTAAAAAGAAACAACTGTTCCTCAAATTCCAATTTAATGGGGACGTGGCTAGTGAAGTCTTACATATAAGATTATGGAGAGCAATAAAACGGACACATACTGCCACCACCCCTTATTTTTCATTTTCCAGCCGACCAATTGTGATTGCTCAAGCGAAAGATAAGCTACCTAGCTCTGCCACTTCTATGTGTATCTAAAAATTTAGTTGCTGCTGTGGAGAGAGCTATATAGGGCAAACAGCTAGACAGCTCAACAAGCGCATTAATGAGCATCTTCCTTCCCTCATGGTTCGGAAAAGGCCAAATAAAATCTATAAGAAGTTCTGTTTTGACTCATTCGATAAATGATAGCAGTCACCAAGTGGACAGAAGAAGTGCCTTCAAAGTTATCTATGGCATTCCATCGAGCCTTTCGAACGGAATTCGATCCCGCCTCTTACATACAGGGGAAGATATGGGAATTAATTCGAGAGAACAATCTTAGTTTTCGCCTACAAAAAAGAAGTTTGTTCTACCTTTGTCTCTCCCTTGCTTGCCTAGGTGGATTCTAATCAAAACCCTTCCACCCTTTCTTAATATCCATTTCCTTCGTACTTTTATGATATTTATTTAAACTCTGATTATCTGTCCACTTCACCTTTAGCATTACTTAACTTTTAAGATTTCACCTAATTTATTTAGTGAATTATCTACATATAAACACATATTATCGCCACCTGCATAAACCTTATTAACATTATTTTGTTATCATTATAATCGTTGTTATTACTGACGTTCAAAACATTTACCACATTATTATAATTATTATTTGACCCACAAACTCACCATCATTGGTTAAATTTTCTATATGTGTAAATCTATGTAAATTAGAGTAAAGCCTGAAGAAGATCTAATTGAAAACGGCAGTATTATTCGCTTGTGTGTCTTGTTTTTTCTGTTGTCAAATCGTAACTGAATCGTACTCTGTTTACTTCTTCTTCAGAATTTAACCGTCCATCTTTTTTTATTAAATTTAGTCCTACAAATTCATCAGTAGACACATTTGATACTGTTGACCAAGTCAATGCAAATATTGCAAGCCATCAGCACAATACCACAACCACAGTGATAAATCAGTCATCAAATCATGGTGTACAAACATTCGAAAAGTCTAATTTGTCAACAATTTCTGAAACTCAAATCAAAGTGGATTATAATTGGCCAATTCAAAGCAACCAGAAGGATACAGAAAATTGGTATCGATTTAATGATACATGTGTTGAGCCTGTAGAGCTGACAGATGAATTGCTTGAACACGAATGTTTCGGTGGAACGTATAAAGTTACTGGAAATGATGGTTAGTCTTTTTTTGGATTTTGTTAATAGCACACAGTGATGTCCTTTCTTTTATTATATTTTATTCCCCCTGGGTTCAGAGCGGAATAGCGCATCACCACTTTGTCCTCTTCTCTACAGTCCTTTGCAGGTGGCTTCACGTTGTTCATAAGGTTTCATCTCCTACTCACAGAACCTACTGCATGCCACATTTGGACACCTGATGCTTCATTTTCCGTTCGGGTTCCACTCAAGGGTCTGGAGCGTGATGTCATTTGAGGATCTTCTCAGTATATGTCCAATCCATATGCATTTTCTTCTGAATGTTTGTTGAGTAATAGGGTATTGATTCTTTCCTGCCGGCCGTATGATCTTCAGGATGGGGCTGGCGAAGGCAGTTGTTGATGAAATTCTGCAGCCTGTTGGAAATACTTCTCGCGACACTGTGGCCAAGTCTTTGACCCATACAGAAACACTGACTGGTTCAACATAGGTACTGAAGGCCTGAGTCTTGTTCTTAATGCTCAGGTGGGGTGCATCGAATTTCCAAGCTTGCCTTTTCGATCCTGGTTTTCACATCCTCATACATCGGAGTTGCGTTGTATTTGGAACTATGTTGCTTGTGAAGGAAGTCATCCCTTTCAAAGTTCTCCCACTGACAGTAATTATTACCTGCTATTATTGTTGGTGGTGGTTGGGTGGTATCCGCATCTGCTCTGTTTTCTGTATGTGTGCACATAAATCAGGGCTTACCATCCAAATCGCTAAAGTCTAGGGGATGCTAAGTATACCGTGGCATACTGTTTTTCAGGAGTTGTCTTTTGACTTTGTAAATAACTTTGAATGGATTATCCTTGCATATTGAGTGGCCAGTTTTGAATTAATGTTCAATTACAGTACTTTGCTGTAATCGACAGGGATAACTTTCCTTGACTATTCTAAATTAAACACTTATCAAACAACCTGTGTATCTCATTTCACAAAAGCAAGTGAATTGGTAGATAAACAAAGAAGTGGTGAGACGCGATAGTTTATCTTTGGAATTGTTTTAAAACAATGGGCGATATGAGAATACCAATCGTAATGTGGCAGAAAAGAGAGTGTTCTTTACAGGGTGTTAGGTATTCCTCTCTTTAGACTGTCAACCATACGGTCTCCTTCAGACACCACAGCCATGTAAAACATCTTCTTCAACATGAGGGTTGGGGTTTTCTTTGTTGATTTTGCATTTTATGGGTTCGACTATGAAGTGGGGAGGGTAGCCATTTTTAATCACTGTCTTCCTCAGAATAGTTATCTATTCATTTAGCAAATTAGGGCCTCAGAATCTTTGCATTCTGGTTGCAAGAGATATTGTCAGGTTTCTCTTCCGATATTATGGTTACCCGCCTGTAGACATTTGCCAACTGACCGTTCCACATATAGGTTTTATATGTACTGATCTACTCAACGCCCTATCAGTCTTCTTTACTAGTCGGATATTCAGAAATGAGACTGTGAGTTCAGTTTCTGCTTCAGTTTTTAATTCGGATTACTGGATGCCTACTTTCAGGACACTTATTAGGTCACATTCTCATTTTAACCAATCACAAAAATCGATCATTGATAGCTGTGTACACACATAAAAAATATTTATATACAGTTGTGAATATACAGGTAAGTTATTGAGAGAGACTCTTTGTTGAACTGCTTCTTCTTATTATTATTTCCATGTCTGGTTGGGTAGTTTCCGTGACTTATTTGTATTCTTCTTATCACCTGTATGTTGGCTGATCAGTTTGTAGTGACACTAAATGCCCTTTTCCTCAGGATAAATATGATTGTGCAGGTTAAGTTAAAAGGACATATTGAAGGTTAAAATAACAATGAAGACCACTAAACCAAATAGCAGAGGTAATAGTGTAACGGTAGGAGACAAGGGCCAGCCGACAGATCGTTTACTAAGGAAATCAACATATAAGTATAGATTTTCATGTACATTATTATAGATTATTGTTAGTAGACAAACAGTCTTCTGATTGGTTATTTCTTCACTGAAAGTTAATCTTTCATCTCTTTGTGGCTGTTTCTTGAATGTCAAATCATCTATATGCTAACTGTATCCGCCTACGCAAAGTCTGATATGGTTGGTTACTGAATCAGTCTTTGTTCTCATTTTTCGCATGACCAAAATTGGGGACATAAACATTGACGTAAAATACTGTCTACCAACTTTGTCTAGCAGCCGGCTCTCACCACAGTAGTACATCTGCTATGGTATCAAAACAAAATTTACCAAGGAAGGTTTAATGTGATGACTAATTGTTTCAATATGTCCTTTTAACTGGACCTAAGTAGTCTAATTTCTCACCTCTTAACTCTTTATAAAATTTTATATATATTCCTATCACAAGTCTGTGGAGTGTGATCAGATTGTTCAAAATGTGCTGTGGGCGCAAATACATTACAAGCCGATTCAGACAAATTACGTCTTCTTATAGCTTTATCGAAAATGAAGTTGTTGAAAGGCGATATTTCTACGCTGGACAAAACTGTTTTTTCTTATCAATGAATAAATTTGCCCACAATAGAGACAGAGCCTGAACATGGTTAAACTTGGAATGAAATATTTTCTCCCCTCCAAAATTGAATAAATTGGTATAATTCGTGATATATATATATATATATATATATATATATATATATAGTGAGGCTTATCATCGATCTTGTTTCCATATTAGTCTTAAAACTAAAGATACTAATCAAACCGATAATTTCAAAGAGTCACTTCGATTTCAGTCTAAATTCCTTCTTTGCACAGAACTATACATACTACTGATTGTGTGATATGAGTAGTTTTGAAATAATAGAGAAGATTTGTAGTTGCTTACTACGCATATCAACCAGTAGTACTTGTTAGCCAGATAGAGGTGGTCTAAACACGCGACGGCCGTTTCGCTTGTTTGGGGTCACATTCATCATCTATGTATGCAGTTTGACTAATATCAGCGGGAAGGCCGAATCCAGTTAAGCCACCCAATTTCTGGCTAGCATTGTGAATATGATTAAATTCCTTGCTTCCTTTTTATGAGAAAAGCCCCACATTAATGCATATTCTTATTGCACTGTTGTGCAGTAGCCCTCGATGCTATGCCACATTTCTTCACATCAAGTAGAATGTGAAGAAAACACACAACAGAAAGACAAATCCATCAATGGTATTAGAAGATATTATGAGTCACACCGTGTGAAGTCTGTAACTATAGTTTAGAGCAGTCACGTTCAACCCGAGAAGGCATGAAAGTGATATAATCAGGTGGAGGGAGATGTTGATTACTTGAACTTTTCTTCATGGAATCTGGGAATGCTACAGCGTCAATCCTAGAGATATGGAAAATATTACGACTAATAAAATGAATGGATGAGAAATAGTGGTCGTTGATGACTAAAGTTTGGAAATTATGTGAGTGACTTGATATGCTTATGATCAGGAATAAGTCGTCCTATGTGCGCGTTCTCCTCAAATAAAATTGCTGTGTCATGGAATTATACTCTACCAGAGTGGCCTAATTCTATTCTTTCTTCTTATCAAAGGACCTTAGTATCGTCGATATAGATAATAGGGAAACTAATAACGATAACATAAATAAGAAAGAATATAAGGCATCTACAGTTCTACCATGTAAGAAGGGGACATCCGAGACACTACCTTGGATTCTCAATATAGCAGGAATTACAGTGGCATTTAAACCTACAAACTTACTCAGGTAGGACAAGCTCTGTAGGTTAAAGGACCCGGTGGACCCAATTAGATAAAATAATATAATTTAAAAAAACCTTACAATGACTGTGAGTGAGGGTAAACTGCATAGGTGACACCAGTATATCGGGGTAGTTACACTTTCAGAATATAAGAATTTAACTTAAGTTAGCATGATTGATCCCACGAAGATTAGTAATTTAGTCAAAAGCTCAGCGATCGCACTGAATGCATTAACACACAACCACTCAATGGTGTGGGTGGGAGAGGGTTAAAATTCTAAAAAATTAATACAGGTAGCTAAAGATAGAGAGAGGTTGATTACTAAATCCTTGTTCATCGAGTCTACACCCAACATGTGCAATAGGAATGACTCATCACTCATACCGGAAGTATGGAAAATACCACTGCCAATCAAGTCAAGCGATGGAAAATAATGGAATTATATAAACGAAGTTCGAAAGTTGTGTGAGGAGTGCCTTGATATGATTATGAGCAATAATTTGTTCTCGAAACGTTGTTATCAGTAAATATTACTGTATAACACTGAGACTTAATCAAAAATAATTTTTATCCAAAATGTGACCTTAGTACCAGTTTTAACCCTAAGTACGTTTATATGCTTCGGCAGTGACCAGATCGTACAATCATTAGTTGGTTAATGTTGGTGTACAGTTTCCCTGCATTGTCAATCTGAAAAGAGACTTTGAATTGAAGGTATTTGCTTATTTGAATTTCGCAGTTCGAATCGTCTGGGATACAGCTTTGTAATTAGTTGTCATTAGTACGCATAGGTAACCACTATTTAGGTATTATACTCATTATCTCTATAAGACTACTGGTCAGTTATTTTATTACTGAAATAACCTTCAACTGCTTCATCTACGTATATGAGTCGAGACTGGTAAGGTGTTATTCTTCCAGTTAAAGTCCACATCTTTCGTCACGGGATATCCTCTACACATAATTGTTTATTGTGGATTATAATGGATTGTTTATTGTAGTTTAAAATTTGTTGACTGCCTAACTATGATACCCACAATATTTAAGTAGTTATGTGCGAATAAAATAAATTTCCTGGGCTAATGTGCAAATTACTGAATTATCAGCAGATTTGTATAGCACTGAATGTCTTAATTTTTTTTTCCTGAAATGAAATCAACATTGTCTTCATTATCAGTGCTTCACGAAAAAATCTGTATAGTTTTTAGATTGCTTAAGAAGTTCTTGAGCAAAGTAGACGAATTTTCAGCTGTCTTTCAGGTGTTCCTGTTTTCATAATT